ACTTTACTTTTTTCTTCAGGTAACTGTATATTTCTCTGAGATGACATTTCCCTGAGATAACTACATTTTTCAGTAATAACTGTTTATTTCTCCGAGATAATTATATTTTTATGAGATAACTGTTCATGTCTCCCAGGTAACTTAAATCAGATAAGAAGTTTTCTGGCATTCCAATGTGCAGCTTTGTACCAGCACCACAGGATAACATACACAACATCATCAGGTCAGCACCACAGGATAACATACACCACATCATCACCAAAGGATAACATACACAACATCATCACGTCAGCACCACAGGATAACATACACCACATCATCACCACAGGATAACATACACCACATCATCACCACAGGATAACATACACAACATCATCACGTCAGCACCACAGGATATCATACACAACATCATCAGGTCAGCACCACCAACATCATGTAATCTGGATCCTTCCCCTTTCCAACATCATTATTCATGCCCTGTCTATTTAATCTACACCCTTTGGAAACAAATCACTCAGTCAATCTGTCATCCATCTTCTTTTAAATGAGCAGTTGTTAGGCCTCTTATTGGAACAAGAGGAACTCCGAAACTATAGATTGGTACCCACGTACCATTTCTCTTCAGAATTGTTGAGAGAGTTGTTGCAAAACATTTAAACCATCAAACTGGATTGAACCATCTAAAGCCTAGAGAGCATACCATGCCTTCATTCAATAGAATCAGCCTTGCTTCAAGTGCATCATGACATTGTAACAGCCCTAGATTCTGGCTCCACTGTTTCCTTTATAAAGTTAGACCTGTCACTGGCTTTTGACATTATTGCAGTTATGACTGACCACACTCAATTCTGTTTCAAGCGACTGGAACTAGCAGTTGGTATATCCAGATAAGCCCTCATATGGATACAGTCATATTTCTCGGAGAAGACCCGGAAAGAGACCATGGGATCAACACTTTCCAAAGATTTCCATCTTCAGTATGTTCAATGTGGTGTACTACAAGGATCTGTTTTAGGACCAAGACTCTATTCTCCAAACCTATTGGTGATATCTAGCTGTCAAAAATATAACACTCTGTACCACTGATATGCTAACAACACCCAAGCATACCAAGTTAGTTTTTAGACCTGGTAATGATTGGAATTAATCCATCATTTAACTTAACATCTGTATTTAGGAGACAGACTTGGATGTGCTTAAACTTAATTAGAATATGACAGAATTCATTGTCTTCACTTTACCATGCTTTACATACCATGTAGGTTTTTACCAAATAGAATTAATCCAACTTTTACTATAGACACTTCACTTATACTATGAGTTATTTTAACCTGTCATTATTATTTTTATAGTTTCCTTTTTTTTTAATTCAAAAGACATAGTATTTTCTCACAATTTTTATGTGAAGCATTTTAAAGAAGTTTACTAATTATAAAGGGTGCTTTAGATATGTTTAATAATAATAATTTTTTTTTAAAATTTTTCTATCAGATTACTACATTCTATTATTTCTATTTTATTTTTTTTATTTTTCTATTAGATAACTACATTTCTGTGAGGTAACTGTAAATTTCTTGAAGATAATTGTACATTTCTCCGATATAATTGTACATTTCTTCGATATAATTGTACATTTCTCCGATATAATTGTACATTTCTCCGATATAATTGTACATTTCTCTGATATAATTGTACATTTCCCTGAGATAACTTCATTTTTTTCCTGATATAACTATATATTTTTCTGAGATAATTGTACAAATCTCTAAGATAACTACAGTTGAACATCAATATCTCGAACACCAATATCTTGAATACCATGGGTATGTCAAAATGATTTGGAAGTCCCAACCACTTATTCCTTTAGTGATTTTACCCTCATCTCAAATCCCCAGATATCTCAAAGTTTTTTCTCGGTCCCATGGAGTTCGCAATAACGACAGACTTGTCGAAATCTGTCGGTCCTGTCGGCAAGGCTGATAAAAAATTGTCTGGACTGCTAACTCTCAAGAAAATGTCGGTCCAAATGACCGTTTGAAAAAATCGAGAGTGAAGCAAATTTTAAAAAGATCGGGATCGTGGTGTTCAGATGAAGGTCACAAAAACAGCAGAAATGGCCGTGTGGTGACGATGGTGGATTAAATTTGTTACAGCAAAGACATTAAAACATGCCATTTATGTCTCTGATTAAAGACTCTCTATTCCAAGAAAAGAAACTTGTGAGATTGAAGGCTGTTGAAAATAATAAAGGGCATTTTAGTGCAGTTATTTATTTTCCTTTCTCAGCGTCAAAATAAAGTACATGTATCTGGTCTGACAAATCTTTGTCCGGTCTGACAAAACATTTGACTTTGTCAGACCAAATGTCTGACTGTCACAATGATTTCAAAATTTCGACAAGTCTGTAACGAGGTTTGACTGTATATCTTTTTGAGATAACCATATATTTCTCTGATATAACTATACATATCTCTGAGATAACTGTATATTTCTCTGAGATACTATAAAAATCTCTGAGATACCTATACAAATCTCGGAGATACCTATACAAATCTCGGAGATACTATACAAATCTCTGAGATACCTATACAAATGTCAGAGATACTATACAAATCTCTGAGATACCTATACAAATCTCCGAGATACCTATACGAATCTCTGAGATACCTAAACAAATCTCTGAGATACCTATACAAATCTCTGAGATAACTATACAAATCTCTGAGATACCTATACATATCTCTGAGATACTGTGACGAAGTTGATTTTTTTTTTTGTATATACTGTTTTAATTTCGGTTTTAACGGGTTTCCTTACTATTGAGGTTGTTTTGTTACGAGTATATAAAGGGACCGGTTTTGTAAGAGTGGTCAGATCTAGTTTGGTGTCCGGTATAGTGACCAGCCGGAGGTGTGCCACGTTTGTTGTTTTCCCCTGCATGATTATACAAGTGGCGAATATATTTCGGTGAGATATAGCACCGAATTTAACAGGTAGCCATATAACTTGTTTGGAGGACTATTGCAGCGTGTGTATGCAGTTCTAGCCGGTAAGAGTGTTCAAATAATGTAAATAGTTGATTTATTGTTATAATTTCCGGTTTTCAGTTGTAATATAGGTTAGGTTTTTGTAAACGTAAATTCATTTCAGTGCATAAGGTGCTGAGAGAATATTGTGTACATAGAAGACGGGCTGAGGGTCAGTTGACGACTTTTATAAGCGTTTGAGGTCAGTGGGGAGCGTTGGATGGAGGGCCAGTCATGTCATGTTCAATCGTCGATGCTGAACAAGAACCGATGTTGTAGGATAACCGCAGTGGGAGGCGATAGACCCGGGGCTACGGTTAAAGCAACTACCACGTGGTGACGAGAGAACGGTACTGGCGGATGCACGTGTGGTGTGACTTCCGGTGAACCTTTATAAGCAGCTGTGATATAGTAACTATTGAGTAACTTTCAGCCGTTTAAGAAAAGGAATTTATTTTTTGAAGTATATATAATTATTAACCAAAATTATTTGAGCTTTTTCAAATATTATTTAAGTCAATTTTGGTGAATTTTTCATTTGATATAATAGCTGATACTTACTGAATCAGAATTGTAGAAATTAATATTGAATTAATGTAAAGTATCGGAATTGGTGAAAACTGAGTTAACAGTTTACTATTACATTTATTTCATTTTCGGTGTGTGAGCCTGTATGTGAGAGTGAGTGAGTGACATAGAATTTATTTGTTTTCTATTTTATTTATTTTGTGTAAATAAATTTATTTGTTTATTCTGATTGATATCGTTTTCCTTCTCAACTCTACAAAATCCAAAAGAACTCATTACAGATACCTATACAAATCTCGGAAATAACTATACATATCTCTGAGATATTATACAAATCTCTGAGATAACTATACAAATCTCTGAGATACCTATACAAATCTCTGAGATAACTATACATATCTCTGAGATAACTATATAAATCTCTGAGATAACTATACAAATCTCTGAGATACCTATACAAATCTCTGAGATAACTATACAAATCTCTGAGATAACTATACAAATCTCTGAGATAACTATATAAATCTCTGAGATAACTATACAAATCTCTGAGATAACTATATAAATCTCTGAGATAACTATATAAATCTCTGAGATAACTATACATATCTCTGAGATAACTATACAAATCTCTGAGATAACTATATAAATCTCTGAGATAACTATACAAATCTCTGAGATGACTGTATATTTCTCTGAGATAAATAAATATTTCTATAACTGTATATTTCTCCAAAATAAATGCAACATTTCACTGAGATAACTGTTAATTTCTCTGACACAGCATCTCTGTTGGAGAAGCAATGAGAAGTGTGTTTCCTTTCTGAAATACTATTTGAAAGTATTTTATCTTGGTATGCTACTGTTTACGTGGGAAGACACTTGACACAACTAGGATATGAGCAAATAGTTTGAAATATATTTACGTAATTAATTTTGTTTACCAACATTATCAATAATCATGTCCTCTGTTAACTTGGTACTGTCATGGGAAATGTTAAACACCTACTCCAGTCCCTTCATCAGGTGTCATAGCAGCTCAAATTCAATTTTCAAACAGAGCAACGACATTTAATTATATCTATGTAACTGACTTTATAATTATACTAACCAGACCTATAAAAGCAGGAAGACAATAATTTAATGTTCTTGACACTTCCCAGTCTTTGGCCTTCTCTTGCATGGAGCGCATTCCAATTTTATTATTTTTTTTCTTCAAATGAACATTGCTGAGTGTTTTAGATCTCCATGAAAGACGAGATTAAGGTCGGAATCTGTTCTAGAACACAATTGTGTTATGCATTGTAACCGAACACACTAATGTACATTATAGATTTTAAATTCATACAAATCTTTATACTAAAACTGTGATGTCTTCACATAATCTCAAATTATGGCATTACAATAAATTTCAGTAATTACAGTCAAGAGAGAGTTCATACTCACATTTCGTCTTCTTTGGCGGAACATCATATGGAATATCTGTAGAAAAATATAAATAATCATCAAAATACATTCAAAGAGGTAATTACTTCTACTATATATACATGCTTTATATATGTAATATAATTACTCTGCAGTTCTTGATATTGCTGATTTGGGGGGGGGGGGAAATTATTCATGTGACAATTGTGTATCATATTCTTTAAAAACTTAAAATGACATCAATATAAATTGATGGATTGACACACATTTAAGGTGTATTACAAACAAGATATGGATTTAAAACCCCAATTCTTCCTTTGACTTTTTACTCTAAACACCTGGCCATATTAACTCCTTAATTCTGATCAAATATGGTTTACCTTTGGTACTTAATCTCTGATATGTCAGGTATCAAGTCAGGAGTGAGTATGAATTTTCATCTCAAACATGGACATCTGGACATTTATCTGTCTATCCCTTTCTCTGTCAGTTCTAGATACTGATGTTTACAATTATATTTTTTTGTTCTGTGCAGTTAACCCTCCTGCTGTTATGGTTAATATTAGAGTTATATATGGACAAACAGACAAACCAATTAATGTATATACACCCCTGTCCTCAAACAAAGATTAACCAATATTTACATCCACTGAATATTATTTCCTTTATTTCTTATAAAAACCATTGCCATTAATCAGTCCATAAACAACACTAAGCAAGCCACCTGCGTAGATTTCTTAAGCAACAGCTGTTCCATCAATTATGCATACAATGACATACACATCTATAATACAATATTTAACATATTTAATTTACTTTGATTTTTTTTTAAATAGATATAAATATAAACAATAAAATGTCTTTCTTTCTTTGTTAGTATGGCAATGAATGTCGCAGCTATTGCAGAAAAAATTCACAAAACCCGCTTATGCGGGTTATTTATTTTTTCTGCAACAGCTGCAACATTAATTCCCGTACTAACAACCAAAGAAAGCATTTTTAGACACAGTCCTTAGATTTACAGTAAATGGAACCATACATTAAGTTCTGCTTCTTATTTATAAATATATCAATATTATTCCCAAACACAGTTTAATAACCAGTACTAATCTTCTGTTTTAAAGAGATATTTAAACAGAAGCCCTAGTGGAGCCTTAATTAGGGCTTGACTTTGTATATATATATATATATATATACATTGTACATGGTGTACATATCCCCCAAAAAGGAGACTAAAAACCAAGCATCTAATACTTCCAGCACACCCAAGTTATTATCTAACCCAATAAGGTGAATTATTACGTATCATGTGAAACAATGGAGTCCCATGTGTCGAACTTCACAATACAGATATTCAAGTTCACGTAATTACTTATTGATTAAGTTGATGTGGGGCCAGTCACTAACCGCTCAGGCTTCAGCTCTGCCAACTCTATCATTAAAATTCATATTTGATGTAATTCTTTTTACCATTTTCTGCTAACTGTGCCAGATTTATGAGATATTTATTGCATTTTTTCCTCCATTACCTTCAAAGGCAAAAAGGAAATTATCACATCTGTTTCTCATCTCTAATGGAGGACTGAGAGATACCAACAAATAAGGAAGCCCCGTTAGTCCCTACTCATCACCGTCAAACCTTGTCAATTCTCAATAAATACATCACACATATGTACCACAGTTAAGTTCAGTAGTCCAGTATCATCTTAGTGACTTCTTATTTTCATTTTGCTTACTATGTACTTAACTTAATAATTGGTATGATTGGTTTAAGGTTTTAATGCTAGAAATACTAAGTATTATTGATGTTTAAGCAAGAGTATAGACTTGGGAATCATGACAAAACTAAGAAACATCTCACTGACAGTTAAACTAACAAGAGTAAAGACCAGACAATGCATGCATAAGTGAGATTAAAGTCTGTCATCAATAAACTTGAGAGAGAGAGAGAGAGATAGAGAGAGAGAGGGAGGTATAGGTAAAGAGACAGACTCTCCTAGACAGATATAGAAAAATATACCAATAGATGGAAGGCCAAACACTGGGGGTTAGAGTGTCCCTCCAAGACAGACAGACATAGAAAAATATACCAATAGATGGAAGGCCAAACACTGGGGGTTAGAGTGTCCCTCCAAGACAGACAGACATAGAAAAATATACCAATAGATGGAAGGCCAAACACTGGGGGTTAGAGTGTCCCTCCAAGACAGACAGACATAGAAAAATATACCAATAGATGGAAGGCCAAACACTGGGGGGGTTAGAGTGTCCCTCTAAGACAGACAGACATAGAAAAATATACCAATAGATGGAAGGCCAAACACTGGGGGGTTAGAGTGTCCCTCCAAGACAGACAGACATAGAAAAATATACCAATAGATGGAAGGCCAAACACTGGGGGTTAGAGTGTCTCTCTAAGACAGACAGACATAGAAAAATATACCAATAGGTGGAAGGCCAAACACTGGGGGTTAGAGTGTCTCTCTAAGACAGACAGACATAGACAAATGTACTAATAAACAGACAGCCAGACTAGGGGTTAAAGTGTCTATCCAAGACAGTCACAGACAAATGTACCAATAGACAGACAGCCAGACACTGGGGGTAAGAGTGTCTCTCCAAGACAGACAGAAGATAGATAGAAGGCCAAACACTAGGAGTTCAAGTTCCTCTCCAAGACAAACAGACAGACTGACAGACAGAAAAGATAGATTAGACAATGGGGGTTAGAGTGCCTCTGCAAGACAGACAGACTGACTGACAGAATAGAGAGAGGGACAGACACTGGGGGTTAGAGTGCCTCTCTAACACAGACAGACAGAAAGAATAGATAGATGGCCAGACACTGGGGGTGTTAGAGTGCCTCTCCAACACAGACAGACTGACAGACAGAATATAGGGCCAGACACAGGGAAGTTAGAGTGCCTCTCCAACACAGACAGAATAGATAGGTGGGTCAGACAACGAAAGTTAAGAGTGCCTCTCCCAGACAAACAAGATCACACAGATGAACAGACCGATATGATGCTAAAGATTATAGGACACTTGTAACAACATTCAACAACTCTGTGTATTACTATATTTCAAATTACCCTTGGAAAATAAATGATTTATTAATCTGAATATAGTCAATATGCATCTGTTTGTATGAGAAGATATCATTTCATTGATCAGATATTTCATTTTAATTCCTGGCATGTTCCTAATGCAGATCAGAATGATAGAATCTATGAAATACCACTGTATTATTTTCCAGTACACAACTGGCATACTTCATTATAACAGAGTCCCTCATCTTCAGTGACACGTTCTTCACATTGGGAATCATTTAGCAAGGATTCTCAGTGGTTTTAAATGAATACAAAATATCTCCTGGTATACACCTGGGAATTCGCGGGACGAGGCTAGAATTTATTTATGTAAAACACCGTAACATGTCATGACAGACAGCAGAATAGGAGAGTTCTCAAGGGAGATCACTCCTGACTGATCGCACTTCTAACTGTTGTGATGTAACACAGCTTTCATAGCGCAATCAGTCACATTAAAAATGTCAACTCAAATTTTTATCCCAATAAACGTAACCATGTAATTTAAACATACAAATAAATATAAAAGTGGAAAAAAAATGTTCTTTCAATGTGAACCCAAGGACCAACAACTGACTTACGGAAAATAATTGATCGATTATTATTGTTTAACGCCGAGTCAGCAATATTTCAGCCATATTTCGGTGAAGAAAAATAATTAAACATATCACTGGAAGGAATTTTATAATTTCTCTACAGTTTACATTTTTAAAAAGTCAAACATAATGTGGCAGGGGATGCTCACTCCTCCATGGCACCTGACCCCACCTCTGATGTTTTAGAGGTTCTTGTTTGCTCTGCTCCAAAATTTCCATTGTTTAATGGACTTTTGAGCTTGAATACTGTTCGTTATTTCCATAAATTTCATCAATTACATACAAGCAGCCCAAGGGCCTTGAATCACTGATAAACTGTACAACCTATCACTTCTGTTTGAAGCCTCTCAGTATCCTGTATATTTAGATAAACCCTTGAAATTCCAAAGGTAGGCCATCGTGACGTACATTTTAGAAGAAACACTATGAGAACCCAAGACGATTCTAAGCCAATTAGTACCTGAGAGTTGGTCATGGTGACCTACTTATCACTTGTCATTCTCTGAGGACCCAAGATGCATCAACTAAGTTTGATGATTCTAATCCAATTAATACCTAACTTATTTTTAAAATTATAACCATAAAATTTCAAAAATAGGTCACAGTGACCTCCTTTTCAGATGACATACTTTGAGGATCCAAGATGCATCAACTGCCAAATTTTGATGATTCTAAGCCAAATAGTACCTGAAAATATTAATTACAGCCATAAATTTTCAAAAGTAGGTCTGGTGACCTACTTTTCAGTTGACTTACTTCAAAGACCCAAGATGCATCAAGGGTCTAAGTTTGATGATTCTAAGCCAATTAGTACCCAAAATATTTAATTATAGTCATATAAATTGAAAAGTAGGTCACAGTGACCTACTTTTCAGTCTACCTACTCCGAGGACCCAAGATGCATCAACTGATAAATTTTGATGATTCTAAGCCAAATAGTACCCGAAAATATAATAAAATACAGCCATAAAATTTCAAAAGTTGGTCATAGTGACCTACTTTTCAGTCCACTTACTCTGAACACCCAAGATGCATCAACTGACAAAGTTTGATGATTCAAAGCCAAGTAGTACCTGAAAAATTCAACTATAGTCATATAAATTGAAAAGTAGGTCAAAGTGACCTACTTTTCAGTTGTCGTTTTTTGAGGACCCAAGATGCATCATCTTACAAAGTTTTATGATCATAGGCCTTAAAATATCCAAATTATGCCTCTAAAACGCTTTGAAATCGAATGCCTGCAAAGTTCAAAAAGTAGGTCACTGTGACCTACTTTTTAATAAATATGTTTTATGGCCCCAAGATGCATCATCTTACAAGATTCAATGATTCTAAACCTCTCAGTATTCGAATTAATGACCTTAATTGTTTTGAAAAAGATTAACCATAAATTTCAAAAAGTAGGTCATGGTGACCTACTTTTTAGTCGACGTACTCCGAGGACCCAAGATACATCAACTGACAAAGTTTGATGATCATAGACCTTAAATTGTTCAAAATATGCCTCTAAATCATTTTGAAAAAGAATGGCCAAAGTAGGTCACCATGACCTACTTTTGAGTCAACATGATTTGAAGTCCTTAGATGCATCAACTGACAAGATTTGATGATCCTAGTCTTTATAGAAAGCAAAATATCAACATTTTAATGAAATGTAATTTTTGGTCAACTCTGAAGTGACCTTGAGACCACGCCCTTTGCCCCAGGGTAAATCCCCATGCAAATTTTAATCTATGACATATCCTCATCCTTTTGTGTAAGTTTGGTGATAATCTGCCCAGTGGTTCTTGACAAGATTTTTTAGCAACCAGTACTTTTGTTTCTATTATCCTAATTATCTCCCCTTGTTTAAGGGTCACAAACCTAGTTTTAGTATAAACGGGAGCCCTTGGGCCAAGGATACCCTGTGACAAATTTGACCACAAGTTTCATTTTTCAGGCCCAGTGGTTCTATATAAGATTTTTAAGGTTTTTTCCTACACATTTCAATGAAAAACTTTGATTCCCCCAAGGGGCAAAGGTTTGAACAATTTAGAATCTACACTACTTCTGGAAGCTTTCATGTTTCATCTTTTCTGGAACAGTGCTTTTGGGAAAAGATTTTTAAAGGTTTTCTTATAAATATATTTCAATGTAAACCTTTGATTCCCTAGTTGTGGCCCCATCCTAACCCAGGAACCATGATTTGAATGAAATGTGAGGATTACAAACAGTTATCATGCTAATAAGACTAATAAAACAATTATACAAACTGTAAGCAGAGCAAAGGTGGACTTCTGAAAACAGAGATGGGATCATGTGCCATGGAGGAGTGAGCATCCCCTGTAAACTTGTTTCACCCATCATGATCAGGTAAATGGAAAAATCTGTATACAATCCGGTATTAAAAAAAATAGACTTACAATTTCGATGAAAAACATCAGTCAACATTCAACATAATGATAGATTGTATATAATTTGCAGACAAGGTCATTGTATTGATCATAGAATTTGGGAAATGTTGACTTAAAATGAGATTGTTGATATCTTTGTATTGTCAACTTATTTGTCAGTAGCCTGCCTCATTTCAGAATTTGGTCATACATTGGACATGCTATTGCATATCGAATCAACTGAGACATAAACCCCACATGTAGGTGAAAATGGTATATTGCTACATAGATACCAGAAGTTTACTATAGAAAAGTTGAAGTCATCAAGTTTGCCATCAATGTCTTTTTCTTGTTAAACATCCAAATACAAAATAGATGCGTCAGACTCTGTGGTGATTTTTATTTCGAGTTCAAAGGGATACATATATATATTGAATCAATGTAGGAATAAAAATGAATATTGAACAAGTTAGAATTCACACTACCTCAGGAAGATTCCACATAAGTCTCACCTTTTCTTGCCCAGTAGTTCTTGAGAAGAAATTTTTTTTTAGGACCTCAATTATTTTTCCTTTTCTTGATTATTTCCCCTTGGAAAGGGGATTGGTCCTTCATTTAAACAAAATAAATTACCGTTTACCCAAAAATACTTTGTGCCAACTTCAGTTAAAATTGGCCCAGTTTTTCATGAGAAGAAGTTGAAAATGTGAAAAGTTTATAGATGGATGGATAGACAGAAAACATGTTCATCTCTTACCTCACAAAATTTACTGAATTTTGAAAAAGAAAAATTAGATTCAAAGAGCTAATCTTTTGGGAAAAAAATATATTAATTAAAAACACCTTTTAGAACTACTGCTTATGAAAAGATTCTTACTTTGTTATAAGCAGGTCTTCACTACATGTATATTCATATACTCTATAAATAAAGTTTTAATATGTATAAAGCACTATGAAAATTTTCAAATGTCCCAGAACAGTCGTAACAGTGCTTAAAACTGCTAGGCACCAATGTTTTAAACTTTGTACTAATCCATCATCAGCGAGGAACAATCTCAGCAATGACAAGCATGACAGAGAAGTGGATTAAGTGTTTTTATGACCTGGCCTCTCCAGACTTCACACAGAATCATTAATTTCTGAACTGCCTCTGATCTATCAATTCCTCTATCAGATCACCTGAGTTAAGGCCACTTAACATTTACAGAGTTCTAAGTTATTTCTTCTGTTCAAACACATTCCTGGTGCAAGGGTCCAGGGACCTTGACGATTGCCTGAGAACAATGCAGTTGCATACTGTTGAAAAAATGCAGTTATACACTGCTGAATCAATGTAGTTACATACTGCTGAATGAATGACTTCCATTATGGGTTCATCCTAAGGGCAGAATTTTTCAAGACATTTATGCATTAGTTGAACTTGATACTAAGACTGCGGCAGACTTAAAGTAATGAAATGCAGTGTCTCTGTCACAATTAAAACACGTAGTCCACGGGCCTCTGTACTAATCTGGATTACCTTCCCTTCTTGACAAGAATGATTAACTCAACATGCTCAATGCAGTTGAATCATGCTAATAGTAATAAATGGGAATTATGTCTAAATATTACAAAATATTATCAACCCCTCCACATCTGCTATGTACAGGGACCTATATACTAGTTAGTATATAGGTCCCTGCTATGTATTCAATTTCATTGAATCTGTTGCTATTAGGGATGGAATACCTTCAGTCATAAATTAATAATTATCTGATGAGAAAATGAAAATAAAAATGACAAATATCACTGCAATTAAGATTTAGTTTAAAGAAAGTTTTAAAAATATTTTACTCATAATTTTTACACATGTTATCATAAACCAATTATTTTAATATCGAACTGATAAAGAAGATCGTCTCATTTCCCCATGATCGGCCGCTTCTGCGGCTGATAATGAAACCATTTAAAGTCCATTATAAATGTACCTGCAACTTAGAATTGTCACACCTGTTCAATGAAAGAGAAGCTATGGCTACACCAGGACAAAGTCTACGCTAACTATCACCAGTCCTCCGCATCACTAGTCTAGGCCTACCTTGCTTCACCCTCCACAATTCCCGCCATCCGGTATATAACGTCAAAAACCGAAATGGGAACTTGCAAATTTCCGGTTCAGTCAAAGGCACCTCGGGGAGGGAGGGGGCGGGGGGGGGGGTGTAAATATTGACAACAGAGAAAAACCACCAAGTTTAGATGAATATATCATCCGCAAAATAATAAAATTCACAATGTCATTTCATGTAACCAGAGAGATAAAATAACATATATATATATATTTATATATCAGCATACTACTTAAACATACATTGATCCTAGCGGCGTAACCTCAACAGTTTTACATCAATGTATTACCCTCCTCCCATCATTGATAAATTTTTCTGACATAATTTAGCAGAAAATTTGTTGCAAAAGTATATCAACGGGTTTCAATTCTATAAACGCGATTTATTTTTGTTTATTGTTTCGTTTGTTTGTTTGTTGGGTTTTTTGTTTGTTATTTTTAAAGGGGGGTGTAGACGTGTGCTACCAGGGACGTATATACAAAAAGGATGGTCAACTCCTTCAGCTCCATGTTTATTTGCCCAAAACGTCACACAAAACACTACAAGTTTTTCAAACTACGTTTATTCCCAGTAAATTAGAGTTTGTTTTCTGATAAATATCAGAAAGTATTAACACCAAAACTTCTTGCAAACTATTTGGCTGACAGAAACAGCACCAGATGATTGGAAGGTTGGTCTCAAAGTGAAGCTACTCAAGAATGGTGACTTAGCCGACACAAATAATTGGAGAGGAATTATGTTGCTATCATGCAGTTACCAGCAAAGTCTTAAGCAGAGTCATATTAAACAGAATGGCCTCAGTGGTAGACCCATACCTTCGTAAAGAACAAGCTGGATTCAGAAAAGGAAAATCATGCACAGATCAGCAGATATTTTCCTTAAGGCAAAAGAACAGAGCAATGAATGGAACACAACGCTGTATGCCAACTTCATCGACTTTGCCAAAGCATTTGACAGTATAAATCGTCCTGCTTTTAGGAAGATAATCACACATTATGGCGTCCCTGACAAGATCATTTCCAATCTTCAGATGCTTTACAAGGACTTCCAAGCAAAGGTGATTTGCGGCACAGAACTGACAGATAGTTTCCCAATCTAAACGGGGTATGACAGGGATGTCTGCTTTCACCGTTGCTCTTTACTTTCTGCATAGACTGGCTTATGAAAATCACTACTAGTCAGGCCAAAAAATAATATCCTGGACATTTCTACAGTCACTCGAAGATCTTGACTTTGTAGATGATATCTTAATGAAGATAAAGAAGTTACAGCAAACAACAACAGAATAGAAGAAGTAGACAATTTTATCTATCTTGGCAGCAAAATCACAGCCAATGGAGATTTCACCATGGACGTAGAAAATAGAATTTAGCAAAAGCCCGTGCCACCGTTGCAAACCTACTGAACATCTGGAAGTCTTCAATTATCAGAACGAGATCCAAAAGAAGGATATTCAAAACAAATATTATTGAGGTCCTCCACTATGGATCTGAGTCCTGGAAGGTGACAAACAACATCACCCAAAATATAGATACCTTCCAAATAAGATGCCTCCGTAGAACACTAATTTCTGGCCGAACAAGATCAGCAATGAGGAGCTGTATGAAAGAACACAAACAGCTGCCATATCCGACCAGATTAAAGAGAAACGACGGAATTGGATTGGCTATGTCCTGAGAATGGAAACATCGGATATACCGAGGGTAGCCTTAAGATGGACTCCACCAGGGAAACGAAACAGAGGGCGACCAAAGGAGACATGGCGACGTCCATTAGAAAAGAGATGAAAAATCAGGGATGGACTTTAGGCGTGGTGGAGCAAATGTCAGCGGACAGGACAGGCAGAGATGGAGGTCCTCGATGCAGGCCTTATGTGCTCAAAGCACGAAGAGGACTAACTACATTTAAGTAAATAAGTTTCTGATAAACGTTGTTTATTGGAATGATTTTTTATTAAATTTTCAAGCACACATTATAAAACAATTTAAATACACGTATAAAGAAAACAAACACAAAATTTGACAAATTCTTTGTTAAATATAACAAGGTAGTTTACAATTTGATCTTTGTCCTTTTGAAAGGAAAGATAATTTATAAGAAAAATGTCGAAACGGCCCGGGGTCTATATCGGGGGGGGGGGGGGTCCTGGCCTCAAGCACCTGTGATTTGCAGTTGTAGTATATTCAAATTAATTTTTACTAGCTTACCAACTTATAATTTTTATTCATCACTTTTTCCACTGTAATAATTATCCAGAAAATCATTAAAAAAATTGCGTTCATGTCTTGCACACTCCCACGTCGGGGAGTGCCTATAGTAAACTTTTTAAAAATAAAATCATAAATAAATAATTATCTGATGAGAAATGAAAATAAACTGAAACATAATAACAACAATTAATACATATTTTATAAATGTTATAATTCAGAACTATTTGAAACAACAAAGAAATATCATCTCATTTCCCCATGCGCACTTTCTAACACAACCAATGATAGATCGTCCGCTCCTGCGTAACCCACCCATCTCCCTTTCCGCGAATTCTTTTTAAGACGCGATATACATGGATTCCTAACATAAAACCCATAATTTGATATAATTTTCCATTTTTGTTACGATAAAGAGATTATCCCTCTACAGGTATATTAATCAAAATTAAAATCAATAAACTAACTTAAACCTAGGTTTAATACATGTACCATTACTACCATGCAAAAGTTTTATACAGACTTCCGGGTGGCACCCATCCCCACCCCCTCCCGCTTGCCGTATCATAGCCCAGCCACGAACCTGCTTTTTCGACACAAGATTTGCATTACTATTTCTGACATTACGTTCTATGACCATGAATTGTTTTATCATTAATCGATCATCTCCCCCGCTTCTTTCAAACCATAACTGTACCTTTTTTATTTCATTATATTTTTTCTCCTCCTTATCTGCAGCATTTATATTTGATTCTCATTCTTGTCTGTACTTTAATTAATTGTTTTGGATCTGAATGACGACACAATAGTCAATACATGGACCAATATTATTCACGACAAGTTTATCTTCATGAATTCTGATATGTACTTTGTTTTGACAGGTATTATTCATAATTAAAAAATAATTGATTCTACTTCACCGAACAGAGCTATTCAAGGATATACATGTACTTTTCTGTTTGTTTTAGAGGGAATTACAGCGTTATATCTTTATATCTTTAATCATTGCTCTCAATCACTCAGGCATTGCTACACACACACACACAGAGAGAGAGAGAGAGAGAGAGATTCAACTACCAAAGTTTTTAACAAAAGAATTTTTGGTCAAAATATATTATTTTGACAAAATTTATCCATCCCACAAGATCCGTCCCCCTGGAGATATCGGCCGCTAATCAAGCACATTGAGAAATCAGCCACAAAAACTCAATATTGAAAACTTGGTATCGAATACCCCCATACCTTAAAAACCAAGACTTAAATCAGGTAACGGATGGCTTTAAAATTAATATATAACACTGATGAATTATTTATACATGTACCCATTGATTACTTAACTTTTAATCTATATCTGTTAACTACATTTTGTATAGTACTCATTCACTACATCAGATTTCCGGTACTCCCCCATTGTATACTCTTTATCGGGCTTTGGTTACTTTAATTTGGCCTGAAAATAAGGACCAAGTTCACTCCTTCTTTCGTGCATGTATAAGGTATTTTAAAGAAAAAAGGCCGCAGTGGGAAAGCTTAAAATAAGAAGTTATAAATACAGTGTAGGTTCATATGAATAATCTTGATCATATGACATTTACCCTTAAAACTAGAGGAAATGTGAGCACTGAGCTCACAAAATGATACCCCGCCTCTCAGATGATTATAATGGTAAAGTCCATGTTTTGCGGCTATGGGAGATCCGAAATAAGTGTCGGATCAAAAAGTAAACTAGGAAGTGCACAATAGCACTTTGTTATAAAGATTCTGTGAAAGTATCATTAAATTTTATTCGGTGGTATAGGAGGAGTTGCGGATCAGAGATGGGTTCCCCTCAATATTATAGAAAGAATGGCAGTGTCTATGTTTTGCTATTGGAAACCCGAAATATGTGTCCAATCAAAATGTAAAACAGGAGGTGCACAATGGCACCATGTAACAAAGATTCTGTGAAAGTCTCATTAAATTTCATTCAGTGGTACAAGAGGAGTTGCGGATAAGAGATGGGTACCCCAAAGCGTAACGGACAGACGGACGGACATCCCCATCACTATACTTCCCCAACTTTTCAAGCGGGGGTATAAAAAGTGAGTGGAGACATAGAGAAATGGTCACAGGCGGATCTTGTCTTTGTTTACAGCTGAGATCGCAGAGATCGGGGTGGGATCTCACGCCGGGGGGGGGGGGGGGGTTAGGTATTTGTCTACAGCAGAGAAGGCGGATCTTACAATTTACAGTCTATATCAGTGGTGAAACTTATTTGTCTTTGTATGTCTACAGCAGAGATCAGGGTGGATATATTACGATTTTACAGCCTATATAAGGGGCGGGTGGGTGGGGTGGATCTTCCCCGTTTTGTGTACATGTATGTCAACAGCAGAGATCGGGGGTGGATCTCACCTGTGTTATTGATAGGCCGATAAACAGCGAACAGAACGATCGGAATTTTAATATGATATGATCCCTAACTGACAAGTGCTTTTTCAGAACAAATAGGCACGACCTAGCTGTTGGCCTCGATGTATTAAAATCCAGCAAATGTACCGGTATCTCGACGAAGTGTTGTTTAAAGCATGTGTTACATGCTTTATGTATCATCATAGTTTTAAACCAATGAAGCACTGCCTAAACTAATGAATACAAGTATACAAATACATGTATATCACAATGATTGTTACCGATAGTGTTACTAGTAATATGAATTTATTTACATCACTGGGAACAATTTGAGTTATCATAGAGACCCATTTCTTCAAAATTTCAACAGAATAGGAATAATGTTTTATAAACCCGATCTCGATCTCTCTCGATCTCTCTCTCGTCGATTGATCTCTAGGTGCACACTTTCGACATATACATGTAAAACAAATGATCCCCTCTGGTATGCGAAGATGCAGACTACTTTTACTAGTAAATACTTATTCTTCATATACAATATATTTTTGAGTGTTTGCTGTCTTACTAATAGATACGATATTTATACTAGCTGGTGGCTCCCCACGTCCCTTACTTTAGACACTGTGACTACACTGGACACTGTGACCACAATGCATACTCTGACTGCATTAAAACTTTACACTCTGTGACTACAGTGGACTCTGTGACTACACTGGACACTGTGACCACAATGCATACTCTGGCTACATTAAAACTTTACACCCTGTGACTACACTGCACATTCCGTGACTGAACATAATCTGTGGCTACATTAAAACTGCATACTCTGTGCCTATTCTGTACATTTTGTGACGAAAATGGAGACTGTGACTATATTATAACTGTAGAATGTGACTACACTTCAGTCTTGAGACTCTGTGGTGACATTATAACTTTTTATTCCAATTTCTACATGGAACCTCATTATACTGATCTAATACTAGTCGGTACCTTCAGGTACAGTGTACTCATTTGGCTCGTCTCTAGAATAAGACACATGACTGTGTGACTACACTTCAGTCTTGAGACTCTGTGGTGACATTATAACTTTTTATTCCAATTTCTACATGGAACCTCGTTATACTGATCTAATACTAGTCGGTACCTTCAGGTACAGTGTACTCATTTGGCTCGTCTCTAGAATAAGACACATGACTGTACCTCACTATACTGATTTAATGGTGCCCTACCTCATTATAATGTCGCTTACCTCTGACGGCGTATTCCACACGATTCAGGGTCCTCAATGAGAGTCTGATCACACTGGAGTTAAGTCTCAAGGTCACTCCGTCCTCAAAGGTCAGCATCAGAATACGCGTATCGAACACTCTTACGTCACTCTCACAAATCCCCGGATCCCCAAACCCTCGCACGGTCACCATGCGACCCCTTACTGAGGTCAGACCCTTGACCTCAAATAGTCTTTCTTTGCCCTTCATAACCCTCTTCACCTCTACGTTTGCTGAATATAAATTCCTGTTCCGGGGATCCCGGGACTTTTTTCTCACTGTTCCGGTTAGCACAACATCTGCCATCTCTTCTCTGGCTTCCACGGGCGGATCTGAACAGTCTTTATTGAAAATGTCACCCTGAATGGAATCTATTCCGAAAATGATTGAAGCATGTGAAAAATTAATGTACATACACACGAAGACACACAGAAAAGTATATATCCCAAATGACTGAAGCAACATGATGCTGTTTTAAGCCATGCACCAAATGCAGAGAAGAAGAAAATTGGGGTTCACACAATGTTAAAAGGGTGATCCGGTTATAACGGGGTACCCCGACCAGACACAAGCCTAACTGGAGCACTCATTGACTATTGGGTTATCAATGCACAGACCTTACACCGGGTAAACCAGGGCTTTACCTATGTATATATTTAACACCTGACACAAACATTCCAGAAAAAAATTACACCCAATGTGGGTTACCTTTATATGCACACCTTTTGTAGGTAAGTGTACACGTGCAAACAGTTTCTTGGAGGTTTCATTCATAAGAAAAAATAACTTTCATTGAAGTCGTCTACATAGCGGTTTAGATTATTATCGTAAAATTGTTAACACGGGTATTTTAAAGTGTTGATATGAATGAGTACAGTGTGGATATGATTCTAACACACGAGAATAGGGGGATAAAATCAGGGGGATCAAATGAAAGCAGCAAATTGATCGTGAAGCGACAAGCAGTTAAACTAATATTTCATAAATTGGTTTAAAGTTAGTCTCAGATGGGGTCCCGCTGTGTGAGGGTTTAACTTATCTTCGGAGGGTCATGTCAGGTGACGGGGTCTGTTGTGTCGCTATCAAGTCACGGTAACAGATCATCACCCAGACATAAAATGTCCAAGGAATCGCGGGTATAATAACGGAAACGGCTTTTAAGATGATTGTCAATATGCCCTCCCCCTAAACATAAATTACCAATCATATACTATAATAGGTAATTTTTTTTCAAGGCAGCATATAAATATAATTTTTACATTTTCTGTAAACTTATTCTTTTTTGCCTGTGAGAAATTTCTGCGAATTTTGCGACCTTCACTATATCGTGAATATTTCTCGCCGCAAACAAAACATTTTAATTTACATTTGTATATCTGAACAGTATAGTCAGTAGCGAAAATTAATAGTCTTGAATGGATTTCAAACTTACAAATCGCGAGTAGAAGTTTCACGAATAATAGTTGTGTATAGTCATTTGCAAATTTATTACGAATACACACTTACCGGTACATGGCAAAAAATGGTGCACCGTAGAAACTGCCCGGTGTGCAGTATGTACGTAACATTGATAAGAAAGCTGATAGAGGCAGGACACATAAATTCATTCAGAAAATAAAAGTTTCATAGTTGGGATGCTTAATAACATGCATGGATCTTTAAAGAGGGGGGGGGGTCTGGACCTCCTACAATTTGCAGTTATTAAAAGTACAATGACGCAAATAAAAAATGAATTTGGACACACACCCCTCCTAGTAAAAAGCCCCCCCCCCCCCGCACCACCATCACCACGAAATAAGTTTCTTTTTTGCTTGTCTAGAAATTTTCTGGGTTCGATACGTTTGGGAAAGATTTTTTGATGGGATTTTTTTGACTGGCGATTTGTTATGCAAGGATGACAGAGAGGTTGGGAGGGGGCAAGGAGGGGGGTCTCCCAAATTTTGAATTGTTTGAAAGAAATGTACAGGTGCATGTAGGTAGAGATGGAAACTGATCTAATGAATGGTGAAGGAACATAGCATCAGTTAACATTACTTGTTTCTGGATCTGCCACGTAAAACTACTGTTGAATTGACATCAGGACGATCTGTCATGATAACTGTACAAACGTCTGTTTTAAATGAATGCATCGGAAATTCAAACAAGGATTTTGAGAAGTTCCAGTGATGCGACTGATGTAACAGATAGACAGTTTTTTGTCAGCGTTTTTTGTTCGTGTCACTCGCTCCAGTGGTGCAGACGCTGATAGACGAAGGAACCACTAAGAGCCCGTAAATACTTTCACTAAAGGAAAACCGATACGAGTTTTTCACCCTAGTGTTTGATCAGCCCTTGAATAATCTCCCAGACAAGTGTTTGATTTACTTGACGTAGACCATATTTGTTCATAAATACCAAAATCTTATCTTGGTGACCAGGTTTAAGTTGAACATTCCAGCACATCACAGTTGGGTTGAGTTGACAGAACTAATAGAATACAAATGCAGCCAAGTGTTCGCATTTTTACAATGTGTAGACCACAATCAAACCCTGTGAACGTAACTTTGTGCCAAATTATTAACAGTTTGTGAAAAAAATTACCAAATGTACTTGGGAAACGCGCCAGTCCATTAGCACATATAAGCGTTACAAATGCAGAGTTTATAACCCAGAATTATACGTTTAAATCATGATGTCGCCAGAGAGGGGTGGTTATGTTGTCCGTACGGGATAATTTAGATTGTGAATCTCAATATTTCGGTTTAAGGGTCAATCGAGGGAATACACATCACAAAAGAATGTTTTGAATTCACATTGATCGTTAGATTAAGGCAGATGACATATATTGGCGCGATTTTGCAATTGTGAAGAAAGGAAAGAAGTAAAGATTTTCTTCTGTCTACGGGTTTGTCTGTCACATAGCAAATAAAATCCCGTCATTTGAACTTTTGAATTAGATATAAAATGTCATCTTTAAGACTTAGTAAATACATACATGTAGTGGATAACTGAACGCTAGCCTATACATTTCTAAACGACTGATAGGTGGTAAGGATCACCATAATGGTGGACAAGACCCCCCTTCCCCACCCCAAACACACACACCACCAACACCAGATATTAACTAGTTGGACTTTTTTCTCCTTACATAATCTTTATCATATTTATTTCAGCTTCTTCTCTACAACCGCAGAACCATTTCAACCAGTTGTGGCAAAGATCATCTATGGGTAATGGCCCATTTTTGGCTCATTGCTAATAGGAAACAATATTTGCGAATTTCATGCCCTCCCTTCTCTAAGGGAATAAGGGATGGGGCCAAAACCATTGCTTTGAGTGATTTATTCAGTGAAAAACGCATATTTATTTAGTCATGCAGATCTAAGAAAAATATAGAACGCTCTAACGTTGACGTAATATAACATCTTAATGAAAATATACTACGGATTATGTTTTAAGAAAATTTGTCAAATTTCATTTTTGTTTTGTTTGTTTGTTTGGTTTTTTTTTTGTTTTTGTTTTGTTTTTTGTTTTTTGTTTTGGCAAGAAATGGAGCTAAAACACGTCCATTTCAATTTGTGGGCTGATACTACATTATCTCTACATTCATTGTGTCGAGTAAAATAAAATTTATTCGCTTCATTTTAAAATTATGAACATGGTTTTGAAATGCGTTTACCGGCGAGAAAGGTGCATTTTACCATATATTTCTTTGAGATGGCGTCACCTGTGTTCATCAACATTGGTACATTAAAGATACGATTACAACATAACAACGCAGACAAACCTCAAAAAAAAAAATTCAGAAAAAAAAAAATTAAATCGAATAGATCCTGCTGCAAAATTTTCAGGTATGTTATAAGAAAGACATGCAGTCAACCCGCGAGCTCATTGTGCTTATGCCTGGTTTTCTGTAACCATATCATGCTGAAGCACTATATTGTAACTAAGATTAGTGATAGTGTCAAATGGAAGTGTAGCTAGCACTGGTATATACAGGAAAGTAAAGAAGTTGTTGCAGTGTACCAGACACCATTTTGTTGATTATTGATGATGATCTCTCAATTTCTTTCGTGTGCAACATACCTTCTCCTACCAATTTAATATTTGCTCAAATATATAATAATTATCAAATTGCCATTCTATGGATCTTCTACATGATTGGCTTTTCCTCACAAATGACTACGTATTTTAGAATATGGTGCTAAACTAAATGCATTGTTTTCAATCACCCCACTCTTACCTATGATGACGAACAAGTTAAGATTTCACAAAGAAAGTCTATATTGCATATTTTTCTGTGAAATTGACTCCATTCTATGGCCTATTCTAACCCCTTGGTCATTATTTATACACAACATGAAGATTATAATTACTAGAACAATGACCTTTGGCCCCACTTTAGCCTTTGAATAAATTGAATGTATAAACCAGAAGTATCTGATGAGACTGTAGCTCTACTGTTCTGTACGAATAACAAAGGAAAAGTAGCACTTGGATTTGAAACTTTGCAACATGCAACAATAAACAGAATTTGTATCTTATTGTAGTCTACTTCTGAGCAAAGTTATATTGAAATCAAACGAAAACTGTAGGAGGAGTAGCGTTTTGACAGTATTTCACAGAAATTTCTATTTTTAGTAACCATGACACCATTCTGAAATCAAAAACCGAAATACATATTATTTATCGTAGTGTATTCTGATTGTGTGCCAAATTAGATTGAAATCAGACTAAAACTGTAGGAGTAGCATTTTAAAGTAATTTCACAATAATTTCTATTTTTAGTAACCATGGCAACATCGTTCATCGAAATTAAAAACCGATACACTATATTATGTACCTTAGTGTAGTCTACTTGTGTGCCAAGTTATATTTAAATCAGACCAAAACTGTAAGAGGAGTAGCGTTTTAAAGGAATTTCAGAAAATTCTATTTTTAGTAACCATGGCAACACCGTTCATTGAAATCGAAAACCAATGCATTTAATTATGTATGATATTGCAGTCTACTTGTGTGCCAAGTTATATTAAAATCAGACCAAAACTGTAGGAGGAGTAGCATTTTAAAGGAATTTCACAAAAAATTCTATTTTTAGTAACCACGGCAACACCTTTTATCAAAATCAAAAACCAATGCACTATATTATGTATCATTGTACAGTCTACTTGTGTGGCAAGTTATATTGAAATCAGACCAAAACTGTAGGAGGAGTAGCGTTTTAAAGGAATTTCACTGAAATTTCTATTTTTAGTAACCATGGCAATGCCATTCATTGAAATCAAAAACCGATGCACTAATTTATGTATCTTAGTGTAGTCTACTGGTGTGGCAAGTTATATTGAAATCAGACCAAAACTGTAAGAGGAGTAGCGTTTAAAGGAATTTCACAGAAATGTCTATTTTTAGTAACCATGGCAACACCGTTCATCGAAATCAAAAACCGATGCACTAAATTATGTATCTTAGTGGAGTCTACTTGTGTGCCAAGTTATATTAAAATCAGACCAAAACTGTAGGAGGAGTAGCGTTTTGAAAATTGTTTACAGACAGACGGACGGACGACGGACACCTTACTATCGCATAAGCTCTTCTGGTCTCTGACCAGTAGAGCTGAAAATTGCTTGCACATCTGTCCTTGAAAACATTTTTAAAGAATTCACAAGATTTGAACGCCCATCATGACCCACTCTATCCCAAAAGCCAAAGTGCAAAGTTGAGTCTACATTACATGTAGATCCTATCACAAATTAACCATTCTTTGGATTTTTCTACAAAAAATTACATTTTTCTACAGCTGGGGGTCCTTTTTCGACGTCGAATTTTTCTACGGGGATCATTATTCTGCTTTCCACAGGGCTAGAGTTGGGGAAGGTTAACCCTAACCCTGCTGCAGCATTCTGTTCTCATCCAGATTTTACGATTTTCTCATACTATTCAGTAAAATTTTGAACTATCCTGAATCAAAGCTATGAAAGGGATCTTCCAAATAGATTAGGAATTCCTTTCTACACTACATTTGTATGTGGTTCTTGTGTCAATTTTTAAATGACGCTACGAAAGGCTGGGGCATGGACCTTCATTTGAACATATTGTTGTCAAGGGTATCTTATTGATACCGTGAATTAGAGGTTATTTATGCAAGAGGACCACAGTCAACCATCCGAAGTGTTCAATACTGTAAACCAACTATTATTCGCGTCATCTTTTATTCGCGATTCGTCATTTTGAAATCAATCTGCAACGATTAATTTTAGCGATTGAGGAAACATTCTCTACAAATACAAAGCAAATAAAAAGTTCACAACGATTATTATTCGCTAGTTAACGTAGGTCGAGAAACTTGCGAATATTCCTCGCACACGAATAAAAGTTAGTTTACAGTAATCATCAATATTTTTGCCCGACATGCAGAAAATTTCTTAGGCACGTTTGAACATGAAACACCTCCATTTGCTAACAATACCACCTTTGGGAGAAGCTTCAGACTGAAGAATGGCAACAGAAGACAATATGTTTAACTGCAGTAAATTTATTCTCCAACAATTAAACCTTAACAATAAAATAAACATTTAACATAGTATCACAGATATTTGCTTCAGACCAGTTCCAGTAAATATGAGAACTTTTTTTCTGTAAAACAATAACAACAGAACAGAAACAAAGAACATCAGCAGCACCTTCTATATCAACAATACCTTAAGAACTATAGGCATTTAAAACATTTTATTCCTCTATCAATTCAAAAGGATCAGAGTCTTCATCTGATTGGTTTACACCCACTGCTCCTGGAATTACCATGGATACAGATATGGCTGACTGAGGTTTAGGGACTGTCTCAAAATCAAGGCTCAGGTCCTGTCCCAGATCCTCCGACTGTGTGAAGTCTGCCTCAGTGCTGGGCACGGCCTGCTCCTGGGGGTCCCTCTGACCAGACAAAACATACTCTTCCTCCTCTTCCTGCTTTATGTCTTCGTCCTTCTTCCTTGGCTCAGTTGACTGGTCTGTATGATCCTCTGCAAACTGGTCAGGTATATCTTTCAATTCTTTGGATTCTTCTTGGTCAGCAGTTTTATTAGCTACCTTTTGAACAGGACTGAACTTCTTTTTCTTTGGTAATTTTTTGCTCTGTGGAGCAGGTTTAACAGATATCTGTGCCAGCCTTGTCTCCTCCCCTGGGCTCTGCTCATCAGAATCCATGTCCATGGTGAACACATCAGGGTCCAGTTTGAGTTGCCTGTGGGTCTCAGTATGTACATAGTCTTTAGAGGGAGTCTCATTGTCTGGCTGACTGTTTAGGGACTCTGATTGGCTTTCTTCATCACTGGCCTCAGGACTCCCTACATCTAGGTCCAGTTTCAGTGGTACATGGGATGATGAACATACACTGTGTTGGGATGTCTCCTCCCTATCCGTGTGATTGTCAGTCCCCTGTTGTTCGTGCTGATGCTCTGTCTGATGGTCATTATCACTGTGGTTAGGGTTCTCCATCTTTACCTCCTCACCTCTGACAGCTGTGTTATGACTGGATCTCCTTGATCTACTCATCCTTTCCCTGTGAACTCCTGAAAATAAAATGATTTATCCATCAGTCAATCTGTACCCTCAGTTTCAGCCCCATGGGTCATTGGGTAAAACGTTTTCACATACAGTCAAACCTTGTTATCTCAAACTCCATGTGACTGAGAAAAAACTTCGAGCTATCCAAGGATCGAGATATCCAAGGATCTAGATATTGAGGGTAAAAATTCTTATAGAATAGGTAGTTGAGACTTCCAAATCACTTCAAGATATCCATGGTATTCCGGATATCAGTGTTTGAGATACCAAAGTTCAACTGTAGTTCATAGACAATATCTTAGTTTGCTTGTTATCTAAGAGAGAATCTACAGGTATTATCATATACTGAAAGTGCATGCCATGAATTTCAAAACAGTATTTAATCTGAATCAATCAGTATTCATTTTCTTCTCATGGTAACTGTCAAAAAGTTTTTAGCTCACCTGAGCTGAAAGCTCAAGTGAGCTTTTCTGATCACCCGTTGTCCGTCTGTCTATCTGTAAACTTTTCACATTTTCAACTTCTTCTCAAGATCCACTGGGCCAATTTTAACCAAACTTGGTATAAAGTATCCTTGGGTGAAGGGGAGTTTAAATGGTTAAAATAAAGGGCCAAGTCCCCTTAAAAGGGGAGATAATCAAGAAAAGACAAAAATAGGGTGGGGTCATTAAAAAATCTTCTTCTTAAGAACCACTGGGCCAGAAAAGCTGAAACTTATATGGAAGCATCCTGGGGTAATGTAGATTCTAAATTGTTCAAATCAGGACCCCTGGGGGCAGGGCGGGGCCACAATAGGGAATCCAATTTTTACATTGAAATATATAAGAAAAATCTTTAAAAATCTTCTTCTCAAGAACCACTGGACCAGAAAAGCTGAAACTTATGTGGAAGCATCCTGGGGTAGTGTAGATTCTAAATTGTTCAAATCAGGACCCCCTGGGGTAAGGCGGGGCCACAATAGGTATTACAAGGGGGGAAATCTGGTAAAGAACAGCATGGCCAAAGTTACTCAGGTGAGCGATGTGGCCCATGGGCCTCTTGTTTGTTTCATACTATAAATGTAGGAAAATTTGTGAACATACTAGTAATTACAAAGATAACTTATTATGCGATATAAAAATCCGAAACTATGACAAAATTAACTTCAAATTAACTGAAATAAAGCGTGTATAGATTTGAGCTTCTAAAACATGGCAGTAATGAAGGAAAAAAAGAACAAGTAAGATATCCAAGTGCTTGAAATTTAAACAATAAAATGTTTTCTTTGGTTGTTAGTACAGGAATTAATGTTGCAGCAGTTACAGAAAAAATACATAACCTGCGTAACCTGGTTATGTAAATTTTTTCTGCAATACTAATTCCCATAGTAACAAATGAATAAAGACATTTTATTGTTTATATTTATATCTGTGTTAATAACTACAGGTAAACTTCGTTATCTCGACATCGACGGTACCATCGGAAAATGTCGAGATATCCGAGGTGTCAAGATATCAGAGTTGAGACTTGACGTCCAAGATTTCATTGCATAGCAAAAGACTTCAATATACTTGTAGACTGTAGCTCAACATATTTCAGAATTCCCTCCATTTTTATTAAAAATCTAAGAAGTTATTTTAAAATTCTTGTTTATAATTTAACGTGTTCTTTATCGAAATCATTCTAAATTCACAAAGTTTCAGCACAAAGTTACAGCATTCTTGGGACTGTGAATATACATCAAGATAACCCGGGGTTGTCGACGTTACCAAGGTCGATATATCAGAGTTTTTGCAAATCATTTATATAGTAAATACTGCCGGGACCGCGAAAGGACATCGACATATCCCAGGTTGTCGACACATCCGATGTCGAGATACTGAAGTTTACCTGTATATAAAGTAAAATTAAGTACGTTAAATATTGTATTATTGATATGTACATCACCGTATGTTTCATTGATGGAAGCGCCGCTGCTCAAAATATCTGTATAGGTGGCTTGCTTAGTGGCATTTACTGATTGATAAATGACCATGGTTTTCATCAGAAATAAAGATAATATTCATAGGATGTAAATATATGACTTACGATCACAAGACCACTGACTAGTTTCAATATGTTTGGGGTATTTGACATATCAATGTTTTATTGTAAATATAATGCATGGTACACTGTCACGGCATGCAGTTCTTTACCTGGATTGTTTTCGCTGTTCTCGTCCTCACATTTAACATTCTCCATTTCCTCCTCATCTGACAACACAATGTCTGAGTCTAAAAACAACAAGACATCTCTACAGATTTATTAATTTTTGGGGGTTAATTTTGCAAAACAATGCATAAGATCACAATTAATGAAACTTAAAACATAAATCACAGGAATAAGTCAAAGAATATGATGTCTCTTTAAATTGTATAGTGAACAGGAAAGTCTCCAAGGTTTCAACCTCTAAGAAAGGTAACTCTTAATTAACTCTCCAGACTGTCTAACACATCATCTAAACTACTGAGTCTGTATCAAGTCCTTACCATCAGTAAAACTCTCCAGGCTGTCTAACACATCATCTAAACTACTGAGTCTGTATCAAGTCCTTACCATCAGTAAAACTCTCCAGGCTGTCTAACACATCATCTAAACTACTGAGTCTGTATCAAGTACTTACCATCAGTAAAACTCTCCAGACTGTCTAACACATCATCTAAACTACTGAGGCTGTATCCTTACCATCAGTAAAACTCTCCAGACTGTCTAACACATCATCTAAACTACTGAGTCTGTATCAAGTCCTTACCATCAGTAAAACTCTATAGACTGTCTAACACATCATCTAAACTACTGAGTCTGTATCAAGTACTTACCATCAGTAAAACTCTCCAGACTGTCTAACACATCATCTAAACTACTGAGGCTGTATCCTTACCATCAGTAAAACTCTCCAGACTGTCTAACACATCATCTAAACTACTGAGTCTGTACCAAGTCCTTACCATCAGTAAAACTCTCCAGACTGTCTAACACATCATCTAAACTACTGAGGCTGTATCCTTACCATCAGTAAAACTCTCCAGACTGTCTAACACATCATCTAAACTACTGAGACTGTATCAAGTCCTTACCATCAGTAAAACTCTCCAGACTGTCTAACACATCATCTAAACTACTGAGGCTGTATCCTTACCATCAGTAAAACTCTCCAGACTGTCTAACACATCATCTAAACTACTGAGTCTGTATCAAGTCCTTACCATCAGTAAAACTCTCCAGGCTGTCTAACACATCATCTAAACTACTGAGTCTGTATCAAGTCCTTACCATCAGTAAAACTCTCCAGACTGTCTAACACATCATCTAAACTACTGAGTCTGTATCAAGTCCTTACCATCAGTAAAACTCTCCAGGCTGTCTAACACATCATCTAAACTACTGAGTCTGTATCAAGTCCTTACCATCAGTAAAACTCTCCAGACTGTCTAACACATCATCTAAACTACTGAGTCTGTATCAAGTCCTTACCATCAGTAAAACTCTCCAGGCTGTCTAACACATCATCTTAACTACTGAGTCTGTATTAAGTACTTACCATCAGTAAAACTCTCCAGGCTGTCTAACACATCATCTAAACTACTGAGGCTGTATCCTTACCATCAGTAAAACTCTCCAGACTGTCTAACACATCATCTTAACTACTGAGGCTCTGTCAAGTCCTTACCATCAGTAAAACTCTCCAGACTGTCTAACACATCATCTAAACTACTGAGTCTGTATCAAGTCCTTACCATCAGTAAAACTCTCCAGACTGTCTAACACATCATCTTAACTACTGAGGCTCTGTCAAGTCCTTACCATCAGTAAAACTCTCCAGACTGTCTAACACATCATCTTAACTACTGAGGCTGTATCCTTACCATCAGTAAAACTCTCTAGGCTGTCTAACACATCATCTAAACTACTGAAGCTGTATCCTTACCATCATTAAAACTCTCCAGACTGTCTAACACATCATCTAAACTACTGAGTCTGTATCAAGTCCTTACCATCAGTAAAACTCTATAGACTGTCTAACACATCATCTAAACTACTGAGTCTGTATCAAGTCCTTACCATCAGTAAAACTCTATAGACTGTCTAACACATCATCTAAACTACTGAGTCTGTATCAAGTACTTACCATCAGTAAAACTCTCCAGACTGTCTAACACATCATCTTAACTACTGAGGCTCTGTCAAGTCCTTACCATCAGTAAAACTCTCCAGACTGTCTAACACATCATCTTAACTACTGAGGCTGTATCCTTACCATCAGTAAAACTCTCTAGGCTGTCTAACACATCATCTAAACTACTGAAGCTGTATCCTTACCATCATTAAAACTCTCCAGACTGTCTAACACATCATCTAAACTACTGAGTCTGTATCAAGTCCTTACCATCAGTAAAACTCTATAGACTGTCTAACACATCATCTAAACTACTGAGTCTGTATCAAGTCCTTACCATCAGTAAAACTCTCCAGACTGTCTAACACATCATCTAAACTACTGAGGCTGTATCCTTACCATCAGTAAAACTCTCCAGGCTGTCTAACACATCATCTAAACTACTGAGTCTGTATCAAGTCCTTACCATCAGTAAAACTCTATAGACTGTCTAACACATCATCTAAACTACTGAGTCTGTATCAAGTCCTTACCATCAGTAAAACTCTCCAGACTGTCTAACACATCATCTAAACTACTGAGGCTGTATCCTTACCATCAGTAAAACTCTCCAGACTGTCTAACACATCATCTAAACTACTGAGGCTGTATCAAGTCCTTACCATCAGTAAAACTCTCCAGGCTGTCTAACACATCATCTAGACTACTGAGGAGAGAACTCGGGTCATTAAGTAACTCCTCCACTGTTGTATCATCGACCACCTCCACTTGACTCTCCTTAGATACACCCTTAGATTTCTTCTTGTGTTTACCCTTCAAGGATTTCTTCTCTGGTACTAAAGTTAATCAAACTGCTTTAATTTTTAAAACAATGCTTTAAACGGTTTTTATCAAGTATCTATTTTTTAAAAAAATGAAACACTATTATATTCTTGAAACATAATTATCATTTAAGTATGAAATAACTTCAAAAACAGTCATAATTAGGCTATAAAACCACCGTTATATGGAGTTCTCGAAGTAAAAATCTCGATTAATTAGATAGGGGTCACGTGGTACTGAAACGTCAAAGGTGTCAATGGTCAATTAGAACTCGTAAAGCTTATTGTAAGAAAAATATATAAAATAGATTTTCACGTTAAATAATATACACTACACAATATGGTCTGTGGAAATTTTGACATCAATGATATTCTTTTAGTTATGGACAGTCAATCTTTCATGTATGAATGTCTAGCAGAAAGAAATAACCAAGAAAATATGCCGACAATAAGAGAGGACACCGAAGACGAAGCTGTTGACAACTTGGGACTTCCGACTAAATAGAATGAATAACTTAAGTTTAAATTCAACTTCTTCATTATTTCAATAAACTTTATATAAATATTCTATCTGTTCCAGTGAATATCATGAACTAGAAATGACACTTCTTCAACACTGTTTGATGGCGCCGTACACCATTACGAAGTTCACAACATTCCTACTAGCATGTACTAGATTCTGTGCGACTTTAAAAATGCGTGTTGGGTATTTTTTTCCATTTTAAAAAGTACCATGTCCTTAAAATATTTTATAGTTCAGAAAAAAATCGTGATCGAGCATAAACAATTGTTCTGAATGGAGACAAAGCTCTCGCATTTGCAGAAAAAAGGGCCCCCTTTCACATCTCGACCAAGTCCAGGAAATGTGGAAAAAAGTCTTCCTAAAACCTTTCTTGTGCGCATTTGTGCATCCTAAAGCCACAAATTATACCTTACTAGCTGTCAATAATCCAATTATCACTTACTTATTTACTAACAGGTTTAAGACACAAAGAATGAGCCGTTTTGTATACACAATAAGTACTTTGCTTGACCAGGATTGACACCTATGATGTCAGAGCAATGGTGCATAGCATCGACGATCAAAATATGCATATTAAAAAATTCAAACTTTGAATCGCTGAAACATCAACAATATTAATTTTCTAGCAAAGATTTTTTAAATATTTGATTTAACATGTAAACTTTGTCATATCAAAAAATTTCGAGTCGTGAGAAAAACCCTTTAATACACATATAAATAAGGTGTTTATATATTTTTTTATGTTTGTTTCTGGGGAACAGTACTAGTTTGGTTAGTATTTGCAATATGCAGCACTGGTTTCATGTTTCAAACACAAACTTGTATAAAGTGTTTTGAAAGAAAAATGATATATGGACTGATTTTGTATCATACCATGGCCTTGTGAAGTGTGGTCCTCTTTCCTCCATTTCCCTTTATATCTCTTACAGAAACTGTATGTTTTCACTCTTTCCTAACAAAAAAACCAACATTTCACATCATATACAGCTTTTCACAATTTTAAATATAAATGTTTAAGAATTTCTGCAGTTTTTGTTGTTTGCATCTCTGTTCTGATAATGACCTATTTTTATTATGGTTGATATGATGCGTTCACTGTACGGCATGCATTGTTAAAACATCATATTCATTGTGACCATACATTAACAAGATTTAAATGCCCCCATAATGCACCAAAATAGGTAACAAAGAAAATCAAAGAAAGATTTTGAGTGTTCAAAGCAAGAAATTAAAAGATGTTATTTTTAAAACACAAATCCTAAAGATAATGCACCGGATGCCTCTAAAACTTTAAGTTACCTGAATGTCTAATAGTAGAGCTTGACTAGCCTTGGCTTTGGCTGCCGCAATCTCTGCTTTGTAGCTTGGAATTTTGCTTTTTTTCTATAAAAATATATTTCCACTATTTTAGGTACATCAAGTGTACTAAGATTCTTTCATGTGAAGGTAGATAACTCTGAAAATTTCCATCATACAAAATGTGTTTCTGAAAATTTTACATGCTGCTGCTAATTCAGGCAGAAAACATTAATTCCCCTATGAATTATTATTTGGCCAAGAGATTCTTAAGTAGAATGTCAGAACATCCAAGTCAACAATTTCTGTTCAGCAAGCTTGTCTGTAAAGTTTGGCACTTTAATTATTGATTATTTCTTCTCTAAATCATAAGTTATTAATTGACCCCCCCCCCCCCCCCCCTTCACATAAAGCTGTTGCTAAGTATGTTATGATGTTGAGGTCTGTACACCTTATAATGAGGATTATTATACAAAAATTTGGATAGCCCCCCTTATTTATTTGTTTTGAAACAAAAGCAAACAAAATACAGGAAATAGGTAAGTCCTGAGTGACCCAGATGTCCCAAAGCTTATCAAGGAATGATGAATAACAGCTCTTCTGCCCCCCCCCCCTCCCCAGTCTCTGTTCATCCCTCCATCACCCTCTTAATCCATCTCCACAAAAGTTTTAACTGTATGTAAGGAGTTAATAGAAGTATGCAAAGTCTGACAGAGTTTATAGGAAGAGGTGTGTACTTACAGATAGCAGTAAGCAATTCAGATTTTCTTTTCCTATGAATGGCAGGATACAGGATGTTCTCAGCCAGGCTCTTGATACTCGTTCATCAAAGAACACCACGTGATAGTGGCTCTAATAATAAAAATAATGCCCTTTATTTATACAGGATAGAACTATTAGTTTACAAAACTGTTAACACTGTTCTGTAAGATAATTACATAATAATTCACAGATATGTTATTATTACAACATATATTAACTTAAAAAGACAACTAGATAAGATGGTGCATGTAAAAATAAACAGTGATGACAAATTAGGTGACAGTATCTTGCAGTCATTTACAAAAAAAAAAAATAAACTTACTGGAAACATGCTCTCTGGGTTCTCCAGTTCAAAATAATATTCACTGTCAGGATCCATTTCAATCATTGCTGGCCACCTACACAAGAGAAATTACTTGTTTTAAACGTACTCTATATCTTTTCTATGTGACCAATACATCCACTGCAGGAATACAATGTTCAACATGTATACCATGTGTTCATGATATTTTATTTTATTCATGCATACTTTGTGAGGTGCTAGATTGGTATACTGCAACCTGACAAACTTTATAATTACATTTCCTGCAGTGGCTACTGGTTACATATATAACTGAATATGCTAATCAATTTAAAGACAGATGATATGCCACCACAATAATAGGAAGGCATTACTATTATCTTATTGATCACTGTTTACACAAGCATTTGATTCCAAATAGAGTCCAGAAAAATCCCAAACTCAAATAGTGTCATATAATTATAGACAGATTTGAAATACACTTGCTGATTGAGTGAACTATGTCAATCCTAGAGAAGAAAATCCTGAATTTTGAAAGTATAACAAGAGGCCCAAGGGCCTTAACGGTCACCTGAGTACAATACAACAATTTAGAGGATCCATAAACTGAAAAATGAAGCTTTGTTGCCCAAAAGCAAGAAAAATAGTATGATTAGCATCAACAAAATAATTGGTCTAGTATCTATCTGCCCCCCCCCCCCCCCTCAACTATCACTATTCCCATGCAGAATACAGTGGCTTCCATTTTATCGGATAGCGGTTAAACGAATATTTCGGCTATTTCAATATAATATCAGAGCAAAAAAAAAAATTTATTATATATCTATTAATAATTTCACCTGATATTCTGATGAGAAAATATTGGAATTTCGTTTTATCCGATACAAAAATTTGGACGATCATAGTGTTTTTTGATAATCAGCACCTTGTTCACACCTCCAACTTCGTATGTGAAGCCTTTGTTTACACAGTTTGACACCAATTACCTTGACTGGCTTGAGTACGACAATGAGGGGATTAGTTACGGCTGGACGCACACAGGCACCTTACCTGGTGTCAACAGTGGGCATAGTAAATAGATATGTTTTGATTACAGTTGTGGTGATCAGCTTTGGTTCAATGATGCACTTGTTAATTATGACAATTATTTGTAATTTTTTCGGCGTGAAATTTTAATTATTGAACTGATTAGCTTGTATATGACAATTTGCTTGGATAATGAAATAAGCCTATTCAATCGTTTAACTTTGTCAATTGGCTTAATATTTATTCACTTTTCAGTGCAAAATTTATGGTAAAAATCATAAATGGTCCGTTCTATAAAAAATTCATACCGTCTTTCTCCACATGGCTATCAAAATCTCTCTTCAGCAGACAAGAACGAGACTGGTAAACTCACACACAGTATAAAATACGTAACCGTATTAAAGAAACAAATAAAAACGAAACAATTACATATATTTAATATTTTTGTTTATTTTAATTTTAAAATCTATCCAGGGAAAAATAGTTTACGGTTATTAGTCAAGCATTTAGTCTACTTCCGTTTCCAAAATGGCGACCATCGAAGAAGGAATGTAAACATGTGCTGAAGAAAGATGGCAATAACTATCAAAGAATATATTCTATACGTCAATTTATTTGAAAAAAAAATTCATATTAAATTCATAAGTAAGTGAAATAAATTATTTTTAGTAAAGTCATTAAGAAAACATTAAGTTAACATGTCAAAAGAAAACGAAAGTGCAGGCTTGAAATTTGCTACGATGTATTATCAGTACATGTAGCTCTATACATCTATCTTTGGACTCGGTATGGAGCAATCGGCTATTCTAATTTTCGGCTATTCGGATAAAACTAGGCTGACAACTTGACTATTCGATAAAACGGGAACCACTGTATTAACAAAATGTCTATCATTTAACCCCATATTATTACTTCCTCACAATGGCCTCTCTTGGCCTTTGAAGAACATTTAAAAAGATATGTTGTTTTTGTCTCATTTTTATTTTTCCATTATTTCCAAGTCATTAAAACTATGAAAGTACTTTTTTATTAAACAATAACTTATCTTGCATAATTCTCTTATTCTTATTAAGCTTTCAAATACATTATTTACATTGATTAATTATCAAAGGTGAATGGCAAAGAGGAACAACTTTGCTCAGCAGAATACAACTTAATAGAGCCCTGGCCAGAACTAGAACACTTTGACTAAATGGTCCAGGTGTTCAAAATTCTGATAAAAATACCCTTGCATATTAAAACTTTTACTCTGTTTGCCTTGACCATACCCAGAAGCATAGAAGATTTTCAAAGAAATGCATTTTCACCATATTATTAAATAAATAAAGCCCCATCCTTACCCCAGAACATCTGACCCACTGGCCACAAACTCACAATTCTGGAAGAAGCACCCTTTCTCATTATAACTATACGCTTGTTTCTTTACTTTATAACCAGTAGTAGAAAAAATATTTTGAAAGAAATTATGCATTTTCACTATATAATCAATAAAGCTACCCCCCCCCCCCACCAGAACCCCTGACCCAAGGGCCATGAGGCATTCTTCCTTATCATAACCATGCACTTCCATTGTTTGAAAAATACCCAGGCGCACAGAAGAAGATTTTGAAAGAATTCATGCTTTTCCCTTTATAATCAATAGAGCCCCACCTTAACACCAGAACCCCTGACCCAGGGGCCATGAAATTCATAATTTCTGAGGCAGCCATGCTCATCATAACAATGTACTTAGTTTATTTAATATCCAGTAGCAGAGAAGAAGATTTTCAAAGAATTAATGCAATTCTACTATATAATCAATGGAGCCCATCCCTAACACCAGAACCCCTGACCCAAGGGCCATGAAATTCACAATTTCTGAAAAGGCAGTCATGCTCACCATAACTATGTCCTTAGTTTATTTAATACCCAGGAGCAAAGAAAAAGATTTTCAAAGAATTAATGCAATTCTACTATATAATTAATAGGGCCCTGCCCTAACACCAGAACCTCTGACCCAGGGGCCATGAAATTCACAATTTTGGAAGAGACACTCTTGCTCATCATAACTATGTACTAAGTTACTTTATTTAATACCCAGGAGCAGAGAAGATTTTCAAAGAATTAATGCATTTTAACTTTATAATCAATAGAGCCCCGCCCTAACACCAGAACCCCTGACCCTGGGACCATGAAATTCACAATTTTGAAAGAGGCACTCTTGTTCTTCATAACTATGTACTTAATACCCAGGAGCAGAGAAGAAGATTTTTAAAGAATTAATGCAATTCTACTATATTATCAATAGAGCCCCGCCCTAACACCAGAACCCCTGACCCTGGGGCCATGAAATTCACAATTTTGGAAGAGGCACTCTTGCTCATCAGAACTATGTACTAAGTTAGTTTATTTAATACCCAGGAGCAGAGAAGAAGATTTTCAAAGAATTAATGCATTTTCACCATATAATCAATAGAGCCCCGTCCTAACACCAGATCCCCTGACCCTGGGGCCATGAAATTCATAATTTTGGAAGAGGCACTCTTGCTCATCAGAACTATGTACTTAGTTACTTTATTTAGTACCCAGGAGCAGAGAAGAAGATTTTCAAAGAATTAATGCATTTTCACTATATAATCAATAGAGCCCTGCCCTAACACCAGAACCCCTGACCCTGGGGCCATGAAATTCACAATTTTGTAAGAGGAACTCTTGCTCAGTATAACTATGTACTAAGTTACTTTATTTAATACCCAGGAGAAGAGAAAAAGATTTTCAAAGAATTAATGCAATTCTACTATATAATCAATAGAGCCCCGCCCTAACACCAGAACCCCTGACCCTGGGGCCATGAATTTCACAATTTTGGAAGAGGCAATCTTGCTCATCAGAACTATGTACTAAGTTAGTTTATTAAATACCAAGGAGCAGAGAAGAAGATTTTCAAAGAATTAATACATTTTCGCTATATAATCAATAGAGCCCCGCCCTAACACCAGAACCCCTGACCCAGGGGCCATGAAATTCACAATTTTGGAAGTGGCACTCTTGCTCATCAAAACTATGTACTTAGTTACTTTATTTACTAACCAGGAGCAGAGAAGAAGATTTTCAAAGAAATAATGCTCTTTCACTATATGATCTATATAGTCCCACCCAGCACCAGAACCCCTGACCCTGGGGCCATGAATTTCACAATTTTGGTAGAGGACTCAATGCTTATTACAATGATGCCAACAGTTTAACTGCCTGATGTCCAGGAGTAAAGAAGAAGATTTTTAAAGATTGCATTATTTTTGGTGGTTTTAGCCCCACCCCTCAGGCCCCAGGGGGGCAGGGACCATGAAATTCACAATTTTTGTTCCCCTTCACCCATAGATGCTATATGCCAAATTTGGTTGAAATTGGTTAAGCGGTTTCAGAGAAGAAGCTAAAAATGTTCAAATGTTAACACACGACGCACACCGCACGCCGACAGACGAGAACGGATAGCAATAGGTCACCTGAGTGACTCAGGTGACCTAAAAAGCCAAGGCATTGTGAGGGGTGGAACAAATCAGAAAAGCTTGGAAGCATAGATGCTTGCACTTGTTATGGTCATTTTCAATTGTTACTGACCACTGACACATCTTGTTTTTGATGACATACTGCTATAAAGCAAATCCGGAATTTATACATACACTATATCAAAATTTTACACAGTTTTACTAACTGCCATGCTAAAAAGCAAATGGTGCAGCCATTCAATTCTATTTCCTACCATGGGAATCCTGCCATTTTGGCCCAAACCACAGTGCCCTCTGAGAAGGTGGTATAGATGTGTTCCTCTTCATTGTATTCCTGCTCTGCTTTATCACACTTGTTGTAATCCTCATCTATAGAAACAAATTCAGTACCATATACATCTGAAACCTTTACCAGAACTGAATTTTTACCAGAAAAAAATTACTCTTTCCAGAAAGAAGTGACAGCACAAGGATTTTCCACTGCCCCGAGTAGGGCCCAATTTCGGCCCCATTCCCAATTGCAAAACCCTCCATTTTTCCCCAAAATTCCACCTCAATTTTTCCCTAAATAATTTAAGTTTAAAATTCAACCAGAATCAGAATTCTTACAAAAGTACAGGAATGCAATTCACAACAAATGATATGTAAATGACAATTTTTATTGCTTCAATGAACAGAATGGTTCAATTTAAAATCTGTTTTGGTAATAAACTTTATTCTGACGCACTTGTAGAAATTTAGTCTTACTTGTAATAGCACATAAAAAATTACCAATTTTTGATAAATCGTTGTAAAATTCCCAATTCCTAGGGACCAGGCCCCATTCCCAATATGATATGGAAAATCCCTGCAGCAGATATTAAATACTTTTTACAATATGCAAATTATAACCTAGGAATATTTGAACTACATGGGTTCTATTCAATTACAATACCAATACATGTACAATTATCTTACACTTTCATACAGGTAAAATCATAGAAGTCCAATAGGTCAGTCTACACCTTTCATACATAAATAAATTAATTAAAAAACTTAGTCAGCTTCATCTTATTTTTTTCCAATTACAGCATATTTCACTACCTTTATTCATGCTACAGAACCAGTCTTCAGGCAGCTCTGATGGATCTTTGACATCTGACAGGTACCTCCACTTCTTGCAAGATTTGTTACAACATTGTACCCAGGTTCCTGTCCAACAAAGGCAAATAAATACATGTATAAAGATTTTCTTTAAAATGCATTATTGTTCTAACTACTTTTTATCTTATAATGAAGTACATTTTTAATTTTTGTCCAATTTCCAGCACTTTTCAAACTCAGAGTTGTGGAAAACAAAACTGCCTGTTGATCATGCCAGCAGGACCAATTTAAAATGCTTGTGACCTATGAAAACAGCATTGCTTTCTGTCCAAATGACTGGTATTTTTTCCTGAATGCATAATTTTCTTATAAAATAAAAATTTATAGGGTAAAGCTCATTCCTTTAAATCATATCAAGGCTATTTAAAGCAAAACAAGCATGGCCAAAGAGTGGTCCATCATATTTTGTGACTTATTATTTGGACTGCCTCTCGTCAGTTGGAATCACTGGCAGTCTAAAAAAAGTTTAACTCTGTAAAGAAGAACTTGAAATTGGTTCTTAAACTTAAATCAATAGTTTAACATAGAGCAGTCTGTTCTTAAGAGGTTTTTTTGTAAGTTAACCAAGAAAATCAGTGGAAGACTAAAACTGTCATAACAAAACTAAAACCCCTGCGGAGCAACTAAAAAAATACGGCTTACATTAAATGAGCCAAACTCTTCCATCTTGCTAAAGAAAAAAATCATTGTAAATTCCCTTGGACTGAATTGTATGAAAATGTAATAACTGGTTGAAAAGGTTCTAACTCCTCTGCTCAAAAGCAATCTTTGTGTTGAGTATAAAAATAAAACCATCAACAGTCTAAGGATCAAAATGTCATGGCCCAAGCCCCAAGGAACATTTAATTTCTTAGTTGGGTTACCTTATGCCAACAGCAATGGCATACAATAATGACATATTTCTTGGTCTTAATCACCTGTTTATATCATGTATGACATCACAATAATATATGATAAAAAATCTCGCTCATTTGTCTCACATGGGTATCTATACCACTGACAAGGAGAGAAATTACCTATTTTTACCTGTTCTGATTGTATAACATAATGATTTTACACTCTCAGCTTACCATACTGAAGGACATCTCGTTCCATCATTCTCTGTTTACGATCTACTTTAACTTCTGGTTTCTTTTCTGCTACAGGGATTTTAGCTTCTAAAAATGTTTCCAAAAGTAGTGCAATCTATAGTCTCTGATATTGTATACATGTATGTTTATGTCATAAAAGATTTTATACTACCAAAACAAGATTACAATGTTATGATATGGAGCTCAATGTAAGCAAATGTTTGTGACCTTTTATGCAAAAGATAAATCCTGATACAGATACTAAGTATAGGCTTTACAAAGGATTTAGACATATACCGAGTGGTCTCCCCTGTTTAGAACTCTTGCAACTCTGCTCTTTTTTGTTCTGAACAGTTGAAGACTGCGAGGTTTTACACAATAAAGGCCTCTGTAGAGGTAAGTCAGGGGATCTGACTTTAACTTTCAATGCAGATTTAACTTTCTTCTCCTTGGTTTTCTCTAAACTTCTGATAAAAAATTAATTCATGTGTAATTTTTTTCTTCTTTAAATGTTGAATTATAATTGTAAAATTGAAACACTGTAGAAAGTCCAGTAAACAGAGCTCTAGCTATTTTCTTCTCTTTTTTTATATTTGACTGTTTATTGCACTATAAAGAAGTAAATTACTTGTTTTTCTGTGACGATTTTGGGGTCTTATTTTCTAGCACATTGTTCTTTTTGGCTTGTTTTGGTCTGTTCTCCTTGTCTTCCTCTATACAGCTTCTCTTATCCTCTGACACATCAGCAGAGGGGCTTAGTACTGGAGAAATCATCTGTTTACTCAAAGTGAACTTGACATCCTGGTCTTTTACTGCTTTAGCACTGTCTCCTGACTTGAATTCTGGCCTCTTTTTTATAACATGATGTTTGTCTTTATTAGGTTCTGTTTTCTGCATGTTAACTGTCTTATCCTTGTGAGAAGGTAGGGTTGATTCAATGCTACACCTTGATCTTTTGGAAGAGGCCATCACTGGAAAACAATTTTTTTTTAATTATACTGATCTCAAGAACATGATGATATGTGAGTACCTCTCCATTCCTTAAAATAATGCTGTTATATTAAAGAAATTGGGACAGTAGGTTTCCTTGTAACAAATATATATACAAAGACATTGAAACATATAAATCTCATGTTCATCTTACTAGTTTCAACCCACAGGCACTTGTTTCTGTAATAAATTTTTTGACCCATAGTATAATAATAACACAAGGTATCCAACTCCATATTACATGGAGTACCCCCCTCCCTCAGAATCGCACTCATTTACAATTTCAGAGGACATGCACTGGCAAACTGTTTATACCTATGTCTTCTACGATAATTTATCTACACAACGATATATAGCATGCGTGTCTTTATTTTCTTTTATCCCCGTAAACAGCGTCAAAACTCTGCTCGGCGAGTGGAAGAGTCGAACTCAACCATGAAATGGTATGTGCTAATCCCGGGCAGAGAGCAAAATTAAAAAATGAGTGAGTTTAGAAATTCAATTCCAGTGTTTAAATATTGCAGTGAATAAATAAAATTTGTTTACCTCTCATTTTTCATTAAAGCACTACGATATTTTTCAGATGTAATTTTAAAAACAGATTTTTAGCCAATCAAAATCTCTGCCCGAGATTAGCACATACCATTTCATGGTTGAATTCGACTTTTCCACTCGCCAAGCAGAGTTTTGACGTTGTTTACGGAGATAAAAGAAAATAATGACAAGCATGCCATATATGGTTGTGTAAATAAATTATCGTAGAAGACATAGGTATAAACAGTTTGCCAGTGCATGTCCTCTGAAATTGTAAATGAGTGCGATTCCGAGGGAGGGGGGTACTCCGTGTAATTCGGAGTTGGATACCTTGTGTTATTATTATACTATGGGTCAAAAATTTATTACAGAAACAAGTGCTGTGTTTCAACCACAACACTGAAATTATTCTTTTGCTAAATCCTCTCATCACACATTGTATTGATTAAGATGTTCAGATATGTCTTACGATCCTCCAGGGTTGTGTTCATCACTCTGTTGATGGCATTTCTGAAGATTTCCTCATACTCCTCATCACCTAGGGAACGAACAGGAAGTGGTGGCCTCTTAACTGTATTGGATTTCTAAAAAAAAAAAAAAAAGTGTTGTTCAAATCAGTAGGAATAAACTAGTTTCAAGTTTACTTATTTCATTGTTCTTAAAATTTTCTACAATTAAAAATATACTTTTAAGTCCAGATGCAGCTGCAAGATAGGAAAAAAGCAACTCAATTACTAATACGAAATGGTCACTAACAGGGCTCAACATTAATGTTTGTCCAATTGTCTGTGACCAGTTCATTTTGTGATTGGATAAATCCATTAGATCAGATAAGCGACTTGTTTACCTTTATGGAACACACTTATTGGCAACATGTCCGATGGACAAGTTGATATTTTAGTTAATGTTGAGCCCTAACCATATAAATGCAATCTTTAAAATAGTTCACATAAATCCACATCATTTAAAAGTATATGGCAGATTTTACAATACCCTTGATCCTCACGAGTTTAAATACATAAATAATTTTTTAAAAATCTTTAATAACTCACACTAGCTGATTTGGATTCTTCAGTCCATATATCATTTAATGAATGTTCTGTTTCTGCAGACCTAATCTCTTCTTCATCTATCTGTACTGAAGGTGCAGACAGTTTCGTTTCATCTTCATCTACCCTTGTTTCTACTGAGGAAGATTTTACCCCATCCTTGACCTTTATTTCACAGTCTTGTTCATCATTTCTGAGATTTGTCTCCTTTCTCTATAGGTAAGGAAGTTTTAATTACTTAGTATTGAACAAAAGGATGTTAAAGCATTTGTCAGCAATTCTAACCACGAGTTTAACCTCTGATGGTACAATACCTGTCCTTTCTGTTCACTGGCTTTCAAACCTATTGACATAGACTTCTTTTTGCTTTTCTTCTCTGTAGGTTCATCAGATTTTCTTTTCTTGGTAACATTTATGCTACTTGAAATTTCTCGATTTTCCTTTTCCTGACACTTGATGTCCACAGTATCTTGAGATATTTTTATCTCGGCACTTTCATGTTTGGTATTCTTCAATACTTCTTCCTTGAAAAATAAAAATAAATTCAGAATTAGTGCATGAAAAAAGAGGCGACTCTGAAACTCAAAGTTCAAGAGACCAATAAAATAAACTTATCCAGATGAAAAGATTTACAGATATGGATGAGCAGAAAAAATTCTGCACATTTGTCAACATTTTTTTCAATATCATACAGTTCTTTATAACTATAATTAATGTGTATTTTTTTGTTAACTCAGTTTTCCCTCGAATAATTCACAGCAAATTCTGTTAATTTTTGTTTTTTCTCTAAACAAAAATAGTTCAATCAATTATAATCATGTACCTACAGTTTAACCACAACATATATACTGGTGTCTCATAATATCGCGGTACTTATTTCTTTTGCGTAAAAAAGTTATTCCAAATTCTTACAAAAACTTTTCACCAAATACTATTCATAAACCTATCAATGGCTTAACTTTTTAGTTACTAATTGATTTTCTCAGCTTTCTTCGTTTATTTTGTAATCTATTTTTAAAACAGGAAGTCTTATTTACCTCCTAAAGTGGGGAGTCTCATTGTATCGCGGTACTGAAAAACATGGAGGCTTGGCACTGTCACGAAGTACAATTTTTTTATTTTATGATGTAAATCTACACAAAAACTTAACAATAATACAAACTTAAGGCTTTCAAAATATGAACTTTATTATGGATTTTACTTGGTTATATATTCATTGGTCTAAATAAAATAAAAATGGGAAATGGAAATCTATAAAATTTCGTTTTATTTGAATAAATATTTTTCCAACAAGTGTTCCATACTTTTTAACTATCACAAAAGTCAACATTCAGATGACAGACAGATAGTTCATCAACAAAAAGGATATGAACTATGTATCCTAATCTTTGGAAAATACCACGATACAATGGAACCCGTGATATAATGAGAATTAAGGATAGAGGAATATTTATCCAAAATCAACTACCTTTAATCATTTAGTTAGTCTGATTTACCATACCTTAACATTCTTTTTAGATTTCTTTGATGGTTCTGAAGTTGGAGTAGTCTTCACTGGGGCTAAATTTAAATGTAAAATTAAATCTTTTAATAAAGATTGAGCTTACTAATTGACATATATATTCTACTGGTTTCACTCCTGCAACTTTGGCAGATTTCACAGGATGGTGACCAGGTGATCGAAACCTACCCGTAATCCCCCTTTTCCAAATCAAATTTTGGCATTAGATAATCTTGATTTTATTATGTGTATCTCATGCATGACTTTCAATTAACTGCTATTTAAATCAAAGTAAACTCATACATTGTGTAACAATCCATTTAAAAATGCCATATTAGTTACCTTTTTTTTTAAAAAAATAATTGACCCCCCTTTTTTTCGGGGGGGGGGGGGCAAAACTCTTGGATCCAATCTCTAATAACTATCATTTTTTTATTGCTATTATTTTTTACAATTATATCAGGGATCTATAAACTAACAAGGTATATAAGTACCTGGTAATATCTATGGATCTATCCTTGGATTCTTTGTTTATATGATTATAAAACTTGAATAACTTTTCAAAACTTAAGAAAAACAAAACACCTGAAAATCCTCTCTTGGTTGTTTTCTTTGGTTGAGGTACCGAATCTTCCATACTGACCAACCAGTTTTCAGTTATAGTTAATGCACGTCATCTATATCATATTAATGGAAACAAGTAAATATTTAACGTGCTCACCAGAGTACCTGGCCTCGATCTCCTCCCAAAATGATTAAATGGTCATTTGTCGATCGTACAGTAAAGATTAACAGAGCTGATTAAAGATCTTTGAAGTTTGACGTAATTGTAAACAGAAAAGATTTAATTTAAGTTAGACATTTGTAATGTTAGTACTCAACTGTAGAAGTTATCATCTAGCTTTGCAAAGTATAATCTGCACAGTCTGAGCATCCAGACGATTATGCCGTTTCCGTTTTACCCATAAATCGCCACGAGTAAACATGCGCACTAAATAATTACTATCGATGGGCGCCTGAAGTGTGGGGAAGGAAATTTTGTCAGTTGGCGAATATAAGCGCATATATAGACATTTCCTCTTTTATTGAACCATTTGAGGTGGCAATTGACATTCATAATCCTATATTTTGTGACAAGGTGTGTGACAATTTGTGTTGTTGTTGAGAACATACGTGCAGAAGTTGGAGTTAGTGATTGACCGATAGGTGGCAGTAGAGTCGTTTAGTTTACTCGCAACACGTGCGCGATGTAAACAAAACGCAACGAGTACGTTAGGTGAAGTGATCGTGGTGTGATATGTTCACAGTGTTTCTGAACAATGAGTGTGGAAGTGAAAACGCCGACGAGAACACAGTTTGAGCACACTGAATTTCAGTGTGGTGAAAAAACAACCCCAGAGCTGAACTACAGTGCAGAAGATGATGATCGTGCCGCAAAGTTTGACTTTAAGAAGGAACAAGACAGCCAATCCAAATCACAAAACATTGGATATAGAAAGAGAAAGGCTAGTCATGCCAGTAAGAATGACTTAACAATTCAGCATGGAGGATATAGGAAGAAAAGGTTTCGATCAGAGAGTAACATAGTGCTTCCAACTAAGTTTTTACTAGGTGGGAATATTAATGATCCATTAAACTTAAACAGTTTAAATGATGAAACAATAAATGAACTCCTTAATCAGAAGACTCCCCAATCTTCTCCACTTCCAACCCCCCACCATCGGAAGGACATAGAGGTGACAATCCCCATTAACATTAATGATCCTCTGAATTTGGACAGTAACGAGGATGTCTCGTCTAATAAGAAGAAGAAGCGGAATAAACATAAACGAAAAAGTGAGGATGCACCATTACCGCAGAAAGAATCGGAAAAAAGGCGAGGATTGATGGAGGCTCTGAAAATTGAGATAGATGACACTTTTCCTACTGCTCCAGTGGTGCAGGAGGATTCTCCACAGAATGAATCTGTCAAATTAAAATTTAAAAAACCAGACACAATTGTATCCCCTGTTATACCTCAGATTTCACCAAGCAGTCGCCGTTTCCGTCGAAGAACATTAAGTATGAGCGATGCAAGACCAGACCAACAGCCGTCACAAAGTACATCAAGATCCATTCTGCGGACGTCCCTTAGTCCCCCCAGGCAGTCAGCATTAGAAATTGAGGACTTCACACCTGGGAGAAAGTTCAGAAGACAAGTAAGCCAAAAATCTGACAGATCTCAGAAGAAAAATCGAAGAAATAAGAAATTTATATATGGAAATTATAATCGATACTATGGGTATCGGAACCCCGATGCTGAGGAAGATCCCCGACTGGAGTGCATGAGAGGAGAGTGGTTTGAGGGGAAGGATGTGTTAGATATTGGATGTAATGTAGGACATGTTACACTGACAATAGGGAAAAGGTTTCATCCTAGGAAAGTGGTCGGAATAGACATTGATCACACACTCATTGCAGCTGCCAGAAAAAACATCAGGAATTACATGTCCAATAAATCAACCGAGGTTCAGAAATACCCGCTGTCAGTACCGATTAACTATGGTCCCATTGCCGCCCCCGCTGTATCCCATAATTCACAGAATCCAGGTTTCCCTGCCAATGTAGCATTTATGAAGGTAAATTCACTCTGAGCCTTCTCTTTTATCCATATTAGAATGGTACTTAAGCATAAATATATTCATATGACAAGTAAATGTAAATGTAAGACAAGTGCAGAATGTTAAAAAAAAGTAGTTCTTGCATGAAGAATTCAACTTTCATTTATGGAATTGATTGAAATCAAGCAATTTAATGAAATTTAAAAAAAAAAATGGCTAAACTGATTGATTTGTACCAAAGTAACTAAATTGTTTTTATGTCTTAGGAGAACTATGTTCTGGAGAGCGATGAGCTGGTTGATCTACAGCACGAAGAGTATGATGTCATTATGGCTCTGAGCCTCACAAAGTGGATCCATTTGAATTTTGGTGACAGTGGACTGAAGAGGTTTTTCAGACGAATCTTCAAGCACCTGCGGCCTGGTGGTAGACTCATTCTGGAACCACAGCCATGGTCATCGTATAAAAAGAAGAAGAAAATATCAGTGTGTTTCCTAGCTGGTTTTCTTTTTCATTTTTATTCCTGTAATCTATAAGATTGTGTAATGCTGGGATACATGATTTACCTTAAGATTATCTTCATTTAAAGTTTTTTTTTTCTCATAAAAAATTATTTAGATAAAGTCTATTTTAAGGACACAACTCTGCTCTCTATCAAATGCATTTTTGCAATTTTCAAAAATTTCAAGCAAAGAGATGCATATACCTGACAGCACAAAATTTGAGACAAATCATTGTTAAAGATAAAAAAAAAATTAAATGAAAAAATATTGATTTATCAATTTTAGTCTTACCTCTGTTAGTGAACAGAGTTTATTTCTCCTCCATAGAACAGTGAAAGTTTACAGAATTATTAAAGGAAAAGTATTTTTTTTACTATGAAACAAGATTAAAAGTAGAAAGACTGTGTTTGAGAAAATGATTGATTTTTTTTTTTATGTTTATGTGTTAAGGAGGAGATTCAGAAGACTTTCCAGGAGATTCAGATGAGACCAGCTCAGTTTTCAGATTATCTTCTATCCAGGGAGGTGGGATTCACAACTTGTGAAGTTATAGACATCCCCTACCACAAATCCAAAGGTATGCAAGAGTTATCTTTCTTAGAGTATGAGAAAACAAGATTATAAAAGACGCTTTCCGATTAAGTTGGAATAGATTTGGATTAGCAATCATTTACACTTTGCCAAAGTGCAGATACTTTGAACAAAATAAAATTACATGAACCAATTACAAGAAGGTGGAAAAATGTTATCAGAAATGCAAGAATCTGTCTGGTCTTTTATTTAGGTTTTAGAAGACCCATCCAGATGTACAGAAAACAAGAAACTGCACACAGCAGTCCAAAACAGGATCTGCAACTCTCACAAACAGCAACAATAGCTCACAGCAGCCCAAAACAGGATCAGCTGTCACAAACAACAACTATAGCTCACAGCAGCCCAAAACAGGATCAGCTGTCACAAACAACAACCATAGTACAGAGCAGTCATAAGGGAACCAATAAGGAACAGTTCTCACAAAGAACAACTATCTCCCACAGCAGCCAAGACGGAACTAGCCAATCAGAAATCAGACTTGATCTGGATATAATCACCCAATCAGAAAACAGCTCGGATTTAGTGACCCAATCAGAAATCAAAGTTGACTTAGAGGTGTTCACCCAATCAGAAAATAGACTGAATCAGGAGAGGAGCAATAAATCAGATTGAAGCACAGTGCAGAGTTTAGTTATTTGAAGGATGATGCAAAAACTAAAATTCTTGGAAGAGCAAAACTGCAAATCACCAGGAGAGACTTTACAACTTCCACAAAATATATTTTTAAAATATTACTGCTGAAAAGTGCTGAATCATGAATAACTTCAATTTTGTCAAAAAAATTGTTACAATGAACAGTGCAATATATTTTGATTTTGATAGTATCAGAGCGTTAAGGTGGCATGTGCCTGATTTCAGTTGTATCAGAGAATTAAGGTGGCATATGCCTGATTTCAGTTGTATCAGAGAACTGAGGTGGTTGATGCTGAACTGACTGGACCTTGTTGCTGATCCATTGTTCCGTGTCACAGAAAAAATGCAGTGAACTTGTTAACTGGCAGCTTCATGTTAAATTCTGTGCATGATTGTTCCATGTGTGACATGGAAACATTACAAACATGTATGTAATTGTTCTAAACCTAAACAACATATGCTATAAATTTGAAATACAAAAAAATGAATCTTTTTCAGACTTTGTCAGATTTTAAATTCCAATAGGAGTGTTTCTTTCCTATGATGAAAAATTGAAAATGCATGTCTTTAATATTTATTGGCATGTGTTCAATTTGAATATTTAGGAAGTATTTCTATGTAGCAGCATATAAATCTCATGCAAGCCCCACTCTAGAGTCTGCATACATGTAGCTCTCTCCTATATGGCCAGAATGGAAAAGGATTGTATATTTTGGCAGTGGTTTGTGACACATAGAGCAATATAAGATTCTCTAGAGCAATACCTAAAGAAGAAAAAAAGATGTTATACATGTAAGGGTTGATAATGAATGTATCAAGGATTGGACATACTTCCATCAATAATAAATGAAAGTTATGCATTAGCAATATGTAAACATGATTTAACATTTCATTACATGGGACAATGATGCAATTTGACTCATTCATGCTATTTTAAACATAGTAAGGTATTGGTAATGGCATACATAAGTTTGATTTCATTCTTTATAGACGGTTCCAGAGATTATTGTTTCAGATGGACAGTAAACGTTAGCAAAGCGAATATATGATATTTTCCATACTGTTGAAGGTTGGATAATTACATCTTGTGTGTCCACCCTGTCTGTGGTATACACACACAGACACACACACGCAAGCACACACAGTTTAACAGGCAGGCAGAACTGCAGCACCAGCACTATGCAAATATTACTGGGAAGGTTCTGCATAAAGCTGGATTTTAAAGCCATTCTTCCTGGACATTTTTTGTCTTAAGAGTTCTCAGTAATTTAGTTTCTCCAGGTATATTGCAAGCAGTGTATGATTGGAGCTCAGGGATTTAATGTATTTCTAATACTTGCTAAAGGAAAAATGACACAATAAGGTGAACAAATGTCCTAAGTGAGACGAATTAACAGTGTTAGAAGCTTAGAACCAAAATGCAACAAGTCTTGTATGATAAGAATACATTTCTTAGAAAATTTAGTTAGAATGTAGAACTGTTCACGTAGAATTTTTTGCAATTATTGAAACTAAAGATCAAAGTCCAGATTCAAGATTTTTAGCTCACCTGAGCCAAAGGCTGAATTGAGCTTTTCTGATCGAAAAGTGTCTCGCATCCAATTGTCTGTTGTGTCATCCAGTGTTTGTAAACTTTTCATTTTTTTGGCTTCTTCTCAAGAACTACTGGGCCAATATCAACCAAACTTGCCACAAAGCATCCTTGGATAAAGGGAATTAAAGTTTGTTCAAATAAAGAGTCACTTAAGAATTAACATATAGAAGGAATATCTAAAAAATAATCTCAAGAACAACAAAGTCATGATTATAGTCATACTGAAATGGAAGTATCCTCAGGTAGTATAGATTCAAATTTGTTCAAATGTTACCCGAAGGGGTAGGGTGGGGCCACAAGGGGGATCAAAGTTTTACATAATATATAGGAAAAAAATGAAAAAAAAAAAAAAAAAATCTAAAGAACAACAAAGCAATTATAAGTCACTGATAGTCATGGTATGGAACATCCTCAGGTAGCAAAGATTCAAGTTTGTTCAAGTCATGGTCCCTGGAGTAGGATGGAGCCACAATAGAGAATAAAAGAAATTTTTTAAAAACCCACCATACACTGCACATTAAAGAGTTTCTAATTTAATAGTACATGTATTTTATGCAGTTAGAGTGATCTGCCCTTTAAATCTAAAATTAAATAGAAATGAAAAGTTAATACTCAAATTGTAATAAATCCAAGCAGTCTAAACATTTTATTTGGCCTAGATGAATTAATTGGACACTTTATTTGCTTGTACTTTTCCCAAGTAAGCAATAGTGATTTCTGTTTACCAACTCTTCATTGTCTTTGAACAATTTTTATTGGGGGTAAATGGCAGGTATCCTAGGTTGAAAATTAAATAGATAAAATTCATATTTACATCTTTATATGACATAATTTCCTAATTTCAAAAAAAAAAAATTACATTGGTGCATAGAGTGTCCTTAAAAAACTTTTTGTAATAAACAATGTGAGTCATGATAAGTCATGTTAATATGCAAGCACCCTCGGACAGTGTAGATTCATGTTCTTTCAAATCATGGCCCCCGTGTGTAGGGTGGGGTCAATTTTCTGAAGAACAACAGGGTCAAGTGACTCAGGTGAGCAGTGTGGCCAATGAGCCTCTTGTTTTTCTTTGACTAAATATAAACTATATGCAGTAAATTACTCTCAGACTCCTTCATACATGCATCTAATTGAGCAAAAATTCCTCAGGTGAGCGTATTACTCATGGACCTCTTATGTTAGTATTTCATATAATAAAATCCATACTAGTCTGAATTTAAAGAATTCAATGAAATATAAATTCTGTTTGAAAAGAATTTTTTTTCTAAAAAAAATCTTTTAAATTTTAGGCCTACAATTGACATCCTGGATGAACATGAAAATTCCTAAATCTTTTTGCACATTTACAGAATTCCACCAATCATATTCCAAAAGATAATTTAGCTACTGCTTAAGTATGAGTTTCGGGAACATAGATTTCGCAAAAAAATATAATGTTATGTGGAGCCAAATCCCCCCCCCCCCCCAAGGAAAAGAAAATTCCGAAACCTTATTGCACATCTATAGGACACACCAACCATACTCCATTCCAAAAGATGATTTGGCTACTGTGTAAAGTGTAGGAGTTCTTTGAACAATTAAGGTTTTCGGAGAAAAACGGGTTTTTTTCTTCCCCAATCAGCCCTCTTAGTGAAAAAATTTCAAAACGTTATTTTACATTTTCAGGACACCACCAATTATATCCCAAAAGAATGGACTACTGCGTATTTTATGAAAGAGGCGCCGGGGTTTGAGGAAGTAGACGGTGTGAACAAGAATATATCTGAACTTTCTTTAAAAAGTGCGGTATATACATGAATTTAGAACTAGATTTTGATTTGCACTTAAAAGAGTTATTTTGGTAGAGAAGATGATAATAACGAGATTGCGTTAAGGTTCATTAAAAAGGTTAACTTAAACAATTGCATTGAGCTAGAATGCTGCTAATATTATTATTGATAGCTAAATTTATTTAAAATGAATGCGTGTATCTTACTTACATCACAGCTAGATACTTGGGGACAGGAAACCCCTCCGCTATCAGACTCTCTGTTTCATGTTGTAAATTTTAAATTTACCGCGTGGCAGTCACGCTTAATCAACATGACACAGGTTTACTCTTCCACACAGAAGTATATTAATGTACAGAGACACTGCACCAGAAACAATAATTTCTGGGGGGGGGGGGGGGTGTACACGTGTGTAGGGCATATCGATATTTGTGTAGAATAAATAATGAATAAAAATTGGAAGCTTTGAACGTAAAATGAGACGTATCGAAGGCATGGGGGACGGGGGGTCCTCTCTGGAAGTATGTACAAATGTATCATCGATAATAGAATACTGATTATATCAAGTAAAATGTTGACAGTTACTCCGAGGAACTACAGCTGCATATTTTGGAACCTTAATTAATTTCCTTATGGTGGCTATGTGTTTTTTTCACCTGCTCAGGATACCTGTATTAGTTGATAGGTTGAGTTTTTTTTAGAATACAGTAAAACACGGATATACCGAATAAGGTTATAATGAGTTCATGCTTTCAGTGACCCCATAGAGTTGAAATGTATTATAAACTTTATAATTTAAAGTAGTAGGCACATTGTGCTTTTATCAAATAAAAGTTGTTCTTCCCCGGCACTCCGCTATAAGCTTGTTCTACTGTATATGTACATAGGAGGAATACTTGCAACATATATATTTTAGCATATCAATAAAAATAATCAAAATCAAGGTTTTTAATGATTGTTTTGGTCGACATTGTTTCCATAATTAATCCTGAATGTTTACTCTCTGACAGGGAGAAAAATTCAGAAGTAGTTGATGTACTGTGCAAAAAAGATGGGTGAACAAGGCGGGCGAAGTGCCTATAGTGCGACAAACATGAAGTAAAAAAATAAAATCTCAATTATATAAAAATTTTCTTTGATATTTCATCTAACATTAAAGTATATTTTATGCTAAATCTCTACAATTTACAAAAATCTCACAAAGACTGAAATTATTTGCCTACGAAATAGCATACACACACTAAAGAGGACAAAAAGGATCATTTTCTCACACTTTAACAAAATTTTTCGATATGAGTGGGTCTTCGCTCCATTTTTTTTGAAAGTTGATCCTAAAAGTTTGCATAAAAATATACATTTCTTGGTTTACAAAAACATTAGCATCTTTCCGAGAAATACTTGAAGTCTATTAAGTCAAGGGTCATATCACAAATATGATTTAAATGCCACTATTCGTCAGGAGCCAGGCGCGTAGCTGCCTATACGCAAATACGCAAGTGCGTACACATCATTTTCAGAAAAAAGAAAAAAAAAAGGAAAGAAAATAAGAATTATTTGGAGAAAAAAATCTCAGTACCATCCAACAAATATTCGTGTTTCAAATTATTCTGTGCCATACTGTGTCGATTTAAATTTTAAATTATCATGGCTGTATGATAAAATTTGAAATCTTTTATTTAATAACTGCAAATCCAAATAAATCATTCATTATTTTGTCATTGTTCTATCATACATTGATATTTTTTTTAAAAGATCTTTAAAAAATTAAATTTCAGCCACATCGTAGAATGCTATGATCTACTAGTATGATTTACAATACGATATTTTTTTTGGTTCATAATTAAAATTTTGTATACGTGTTTTTAAACGTTAAGAAAGATTATATGATACAAATTAATATATCGGTTAAATTTTTAGCCTCAATTATATGTACAATAAGTTTTCATGGAATATTAATTTTCGTTTAAACAATAAATATTACTATGTCTTTTATTTCCTAAACAAAAACTAAATGGCATAATTTTTATATTTCAAAAAAATGAATGAAACATTTGGTAAAACTCCGGAGCTTCTGGGCCCTCACCAGAAGGCACGTAGTATCAGGGGAGCCCCCCCCCCCCCCCCAACTTATTCCCAAAACCTAACCTTTTACTATTGAAAATGTATATTGAAAGGGTGGACCCCCACTGTTTGTTGTACCAGTGTTGAATCATGGTAATTTGGTAATGTATTAATAAAAATTTGGTTTGTGAAAGTTGGACACCCCCCCCCCCTTCAACAAACACACACACACACAAGAAATAGGACTTCGAATTTTGACAATCTTCCTTTTTCGTCCTTGCTTGTCAAAATTTTTAAAGTTGTAATTTTTTCCTGGCTGGCAAAAACTATATATCGTACCAGACCAGAGCCCTTACACACTGGGGGTGGGGGGGTGGGGGGGTGGGGGGGGAGGGGAGGAGGCTCAAGACCCCCCCCACCCAAGCCCCTGCCGTTCTCTGCGTACACATCATTTCAATTCTGGCTACGCGCCTGGGAGCTGCGTGGCGTAGTGGTTAGCGTGTTAGTCTCGAAACAATATGATACTCCGGATTTTTATTGATAGGGGTTCGAATAATTTTTTCCGAGATCTTTTTTCTCAGAAAAGTTTTGTTAATCATAATTTCATAAATTTCAATAATGAGAACTTTATTTTAAATACTTAATTCACAAATTGAATATGATTTTATTAATATCTGAAGCTATAGACATTCTGCACGCATTGTTCACCCATCTTCTTTATCCTTAATTATCTAGAAACACTTTTGTACAAGCTAGGAAATTAATTTAAATGAAGAAGGTACAGTGTATGTATCATTCCAGGGGGAAAAGTTATATGATGTTTTATATCCTTTTCTTATTCAAAAAACCTCAATACAGTCCATTGCATCAAGCAATGTGAAGTTTGTTATGTTCCTAAAACGAGAATGATGAATTTATTTTAAATGATCATAAAGTAAACAACATCTCTCTATATAAATCTTTTCGAACACCTCAGTCGATGATCAGCCAATGATAACCACTCCTGCTTCCGCTGCGGTAGTTGTTGCTAAAAAGTAGAAATACATTTTATTCAAAAGTTTGCGGGAAAAGTGACGAAATTCCTTGTAAAGACAACTCTAGTTCGGAAGAAAAAGTTGATAAACATATTCATTAAGAGGTGACCATATGAAGCAGAAGCATTAAGTCGTACATTAAAACAGGATGTGAGGCAGTCCGAGAAATCATAATAATAGAACAATTCTACTCACTAGGTGGCGTCGGTGTTGTAACGGGTAGAGGCGAGGTCTTCGTCTCTGGGGACATGGTAGTAGGAAACGGGGCTTGCGTCACTATGTATGTGGAAGGAATAGGGGCGTCCGTTTCGGGGGGAGTTGTGGGTACTGGGGCGTTTGTTGTAGGTGGACTTGTGTCTATGGGAGCATCAGTCTGCGGTGGAATTGTATATATTGTGGTGTCGGGTTTGAAGGACGTGGTATCGGGATGAGGATGATGTATGAACACTGTTGAAGGTCCTGGTGGTTTACTTGTTGTTCTATCGGTATTAATATGATGATTTCCCGATGTGGTATGATGTATTTGGCCTGGGATGTGAGTATAATTTTCATTTAAAAACTTAAGGGAATTTGAAGGGAAAAAAGATAATCATGAAGATAACACGTGCATGTTTACGTTGAATGTTTACAATATTTGCACTGATTACACGTGTTTGAGACAGTTTGAAGAGTTCAGTTACTAGCAGTCCTAGATGAATTTTTGAATACTTCAATGATGATGCTGAACAGTTCTATTATATCATATAAGCTTTAATAATTACAAAATATGGTGAAATAAAACAGTAGCAGAATTCGGCCAGCCTATGCAGTCACACGCAATGAGAAGGCGAGTAGTAAATTTCTTGTATTAAAAAAGGAGGTCTAAGCATAAAAATGCCTATCGATTTTTTATCGTGTAAATTACATTTTAATATCTTTTTTCTTTTTTAATTACTTTTTTCAAAACTAAAAAAAAAAAATAACTAAACCAAAGTATTATTATTTTTTTTGTCTTCACAATTGTTTCTAGTATGTGCTTATGTATATGCTTTGAGATCTTTTTGTGAAGTGATTCACTTATATCTGGACGATTTCATTTGGGACGGAGGTGTCCGGATCAACGAGGTGTCATTGTATTTAGAAGAATACATTTATCTTTGTTGAAAAAGCATGTTCAGTTGCAAAGAAAAAGAAAATTTCAGTTGAAAAATTAATTACTTTTTTCCCTAAAAGAAAAAAAACCTGTTTAACTACTGTATACTGGATAATTTTCGGCCTCCCTTTTGCTCCTTTTGCCCTCGTTGCTTAACAAATTTAAAACGGGACAAAATATTTTACAAATGTAAACGGGCGAAAATAACACGGGGCGAAAATATCCCTGTACATAGTATTCTTACCGTATTGACAGATGAAGGAATAATGGTAGAATATACTGCTACAATCATAATCATGCCATCTAAACCCACTGTCTACTCTCATAAGAGCACAGTCTTCAAGCGATCCACTAGCAAGGAAAAATCCACTTTGAGATGGGCCTTGTCCGTGCTCCCAATTACTGTAACTCATCCTAGAATCACCTGTCAAATTTTGTTCCTATAATTCTTAAACTATACTTACATCTTACTAGTTAGTTCAACTCAATTTCAAGTCTTACACCGAGAAATTATACATGAAATATAAAGATGACGCACAGTTATCAAGATCAAAAGTCCATTGAAACAATACAGATTTGGAGCAGAGCAAACCCGGACCTCTAAAAGCACAAGAGGTGGGATCAGGTGCCACGGAGGAGTAAGCATCCCTTTTCGACCGGCTACACCCGCCGTGTGCTCCTTGTCATGATCGGACAAACGGAAAAATCCGTATACAATTCAGTGTGAAAATAATGGCTTAACAATTTGTATGAAAAACCTCAGTCAACATTCGACTTAATGATAGATTGTATTTGCTGAAAAGGTCATTGTATCGACCATGGAATTTGCAAAATGTTGACTTTAAACGAGACTGTTGATATTCTTGTTTCATCAACTTACGAGGGGTTATCAAAAAGTTCGTGGACAAGCGACATAAAAATTAAAACCGCTATGTGTACATCAATGAATTTTTAAACATTTAATAAGCATCATCTTTTCTACATGTGAAATAAACTATCAGTCATAAGTTTTATTTTTTAATGAATTGTAAATGTTTTTGTAAGTAATGGTATGCCCAGGCGGCGCAACCTCAAACATGATGTATTTTCTACCTTGAGTAACTGAGAAAAACTCTTCTAATATGAGCATTTGTCATCCGAAAATCATATTAATTCACTCATGTGATATGACACAATTTTTCCATAAAAGTTGCAATTTTTACCTCATTCTGTATATTCTACGAAATTTTGTCGTAAATTTTAGATTGAATGTCCAAACAATAAGGGGGTTAAAATGGCGCAGAAACGGGGTAGGGTATCATTTTACAACATTCTATAAAGTTTCAGGCCCTGGAAAACCTGTTTTTGACTTAGAAAATGTTTGAACAGGATACAGAGAAATAAACTCCATCCAGAGTACTTGTTTTTAAATACCAGAACAGATTCAGCAAGAAAAGAGACAACGGTTAATGTCGATTTGTAGTCAGAGTGTCCAAAGTCAGTCACGTCGAAAAGTGACGTTGATCATTGGTTGGCATTGAACTCCGACAAGAAAATTATGCTGGCAAAATCAAGCGAGGATCTTTTCCTATATATAGATTTAATATTCACAATATTAATGCATTGAAATCAGGTGTTCATGACATTGTAAAGTCATATAAACAAGACGGGTTTCGGTCTTTACTTCAGAGAATCTCATCAAGAAAAGTGTATTGAGGCAGAAGGAGCGGACATTGAGAAATATGACGTTGTCGGACGTCATGAAACTAAACGGCGCCTGCGCCGGGTGATCATACAATGCCCTTCTTATTTAATGATATTTTGGCTAATATTTGCCTTGTTTTAGAAATTGTTGGTAGGTAGAGTATGCTCTTGTAATATAAGATAATTTTCTCACTGTAAAAAACCTCTTATACATATGCACCCATTTTGAGACTCCGAATCATGGTATTACACAATCATGTATCATATGAAGTAGTTAGCTACATTATTATGGCATTATCCTTATTGCATCCAAGAACACGTAAAACTCACCTGATACCCACTTCCAATGTGATTCCGAGTCCCTGTCGGTCGCCCCAATCCAGAACCCGTCTTCCTCTGACCTTTGATGTGACAGAACGCTTTGGAGAAAATGCTGCATCCCAGAGTCCCGAATCTGAACTAAGTCTCCGCCCTCTTGACGACACTTGTGTCTTGCGTCATCCCAATCGTAGTTCCCATAATGCACCTTCAGACAGATATCCCTGTATATGTACAGGTCGCTTTTACTCAGATGTGGCGGACAGTTGTCAACGGGGAAACTATGAACTTCAAGAAAAGTATTAATTATTAATCATTTGACATATGGTCTCTTTCTACTGTTTGTTCGAAAGACATGATCGACACATTTCTCTACCCTAATGTAGGATCTTTGCTGAATGTCATTAATAGAGCCCGAAAAAAGGAATGTCAGATTGAAGACAATAATCTACCATTATCGGAAAAAATGAATGGCAAGACTTCATTGAAACATGCTCTCTCCGTGATCGGAAGGTTGTGTGTTCGAATCATGGCCGCGAATGACCTAAATCGTTAAAAAAATGGTAGCAACTGTTCCTTCGCCAAGCGCTCGGCACTTTGAAGTGAAAGTCCTTCGGATGAGACCTTAAAAACCAAGGCCCCCGTGTCACAGTGGGGGTTGGCACGATAAAGAACCCTCACTGCGCAATGGCCTTGAGTGCCGAGTAAAGGTCTAAATTTGGAGCCCTTCACCGGTATATGGTGACGTCTCTATATGAGTGAAATTCTCAAATGGGACGTAAAACAACATACAATCAAACAATCAATCTTTGCATCATTCACACTAGTATTCATGAACACTTACTCCCGGAAGTTAGTACTATAACCAGCCAATGTTATCACTGAACACATATAGGGCTGAGAAAACCTTATTTCTGTTTGAAATCCAAAAAAATGTATAAGTTCTGATTTTCAGGAATATTGCGCATGTAATTATAGAGGCTGGGTGCCTTGTTTTTAATTGTTTGATGATCTGTTTAAAGAAATCTTAAAGATGAAAATACAAGATGTTATTCTCGAAATCGATCTACTGGTAGTCTTTCAATTTAATTTTGAAGAAGTCTACTTACCGAGCTGGATCAGTAAGATGAAGAAGAAGCCGCAATATTGATCCATGTCCAACAGGAAGGACTATGTACCAGTACTTAATAGTATCTTAGTATTACGAAATAGAGTTCATTGTTTATCAGTCAAAGTCATTCCCACTGAAATATTGCACTCGTTTTCTGCTATCTTTTGATTGTACATGTTGGTATGAAAGCATTACAAAGGAACCAAAGACTTATCTGTAGATCCTTAACTCAAAGGAATAGCATTCGAACTACGCCTTCATCGAAAGAAAAGTGTCCCTTAAACGAAGGATTTGAAAAATTTGATGTTTTAAAAGAGTACCTTGTTGTCCATTGCAGTAAATGAAAGTTCCATAGTTTGAGTATAATCAATAGAAATTCATCTTTTTTTACTCAAAGTAAAGTTTTGAAGGCATCTCAATAAAAAAGCCTAGGACGTTTATTGCTTAATCATTGTGCATATATCTTTCATTCATTTTAATTTTCGAATTGGTTACTAAAAGATCATGAAACTCCTATATTCGAACATTACTTTCATATGTACTATTAAATTATGACTATATAAATAAGTTTGTTCATCAAGAAATGCATCTAAAAAAAAAACAACAAAAAACAAAAAAAAAAAAAAAACAAAAAAAAAAAACAAACAAACAAAAAAAAAAACAACAAACAAACAAAAACAAACAAACAAACAAAACAAAAGCCAAAAAAAAAAAAAGGAATCGCACACTTGTGTGTGATACTGTGTATTTTTTAAAAAATAAGAACACTTAATTAAAATATCTCGTTTAATTGAGACAGGGAGAAAATTTTTTATAGAAGCTGGATTCAAATCATGAAAAGAGCATAATCATTCTTTTAGGAGAGTGTTAATTCATAATAATGTCATTCTACTATTATTTATGTACTGACTTAAAATACTCACGAACATCATATTGATGCCTACCATAAAAAGTAGTTCAGCCACTGAAGTTGACATTAAATTCACTGGAAAATAAACGGAATGAAAACTGAAAAAATAACAAATAGTGACTGATATAAAAAAAAAATTCCACAAAAATACAAATATTTGACGAGGACATAAAACAGACCCCTTCCATGGTTGGATCAGGTGCCTAGGAGGAGTAAGCATTCCTTGTTGACCGGTCACACCCGCATTGAGCCCCATATATTGATGAGGTAGACAGAACGTTCCGTAGTCAAAATCAGTATAAAACAAGGACTTAACAATTGGTATGAAACAGATCAGCCAAACTATGACCCAATGATAGGTTATGTTTGCTAACGAGGTCATTATAACGCCCATAGAATTTACGAAATGCTAACTTGAAACGAGGTTGTTGAAATCTCTAACAGTACTACTGTCAGTAGCCTGCGCCAGTTTAAAAATTGGTCGTATACTCGGAGCATGCTCTTGAGTATCGGATAAGCTGGTAAATGAAACACCATATGCAGCATCAAAATCTGTGATTTTTCTACTCTTTATACAGCCATTTACGATAAATTAAAGTCTAAAGAGCAGGCATTTTGATATCATAGATAACTTTTTCATCAATAAAAATGGAGCTCGTAAATTTTCATATCTTGTGACTATTCGTCTACAAAATTACTTTGCTAAAATCAATCTGATTCTACATACAAGTACATTGTACTTTGAAGTTGATATAAAAAGGATGCTGAGTTCCTCATTGACAACATTTATGTAGTCTTTGGAGACTGAGTCCTCCAGCAATCTAATTGTGCTCCTTTATTTGCCGACCTGTTTTATATTCCTATGAAGGCAGAATTTATTAAAAAAAAAATTCTACACGAGAAGAAAACTTCTGCTGTGGCCTTCAAAATATCGACGATGTTTTATCTATCAACAATATTTACTTTCATTCATATGTCAATTCGCTATATCCAAGGGAACTCAAAATAAAAGACACTACTGAGTCTGCCTGTTTCATATTTGGATGTTTTACTGACTATATAAACGAATATGGTGAAAAATAATATCTAAACTTTATGGCAAACGGGATGACTTCAGCTTTTCTACCGTCAACTTCCCATATTTATTATATTCTAATATCTCCTGAATGAAATATGAAGATGACGAAAAGTAAACAAGCTCAAAAGTCCATCAGAACAAAAAAAAATGAGAGCAGAGCAAAGACGGACCATTTAAAACATCGGAGATGGGATTAGATGCCACAGAGGAGTAAGCATTCCTTGTCGACCGTTCACACCTGCCATCTGTCTGACATCTGCTCCTTAATCATGGGAAATTTTAATGAAACTGACTACAAACAATCGTTTTATTATTTGATAAAACGTAATTAGCGAATTATTCAATGAAATATGACGATAACAAACAGTATTCAGGCTCCAAAGCTCATTGGAACAATACAGATTGGAAGCAGAGCAAACACGGTCCTCTAAAAACATCAGAGGTGAGATCAGGTTCCATATAGGAGAAAACATCCGCTGTCGACCGGTCACATCCACCATGTGCTCCTTGTCATAATCTGGTAATCGAAATAATTCGTAGGCACTTCAGTGTGAAAAAAACTGGCCTAACAATTACATGTACTATGAAAAAGTTAGTCAACATTCGACTTAACGATATATTGTATTTGTTAACAAGGTCATTGTATCGGCTATAGAATTTGCCAAATGCTGTCTTTAAACAGGACTGGTGATATCCTTGTATCATCAAATTATTTGTCAATAGCTTGCCTCGTTTTGAAATTGTTCGTACGTATAGAGCATGCTCTTGCATATTGAATCAAGTGGGAAACATTAACTCTATATATACAGGATATACGGTTATATACAGGATTAAAATGGTAAACTGCTACTTAAATAAGGGAAGTTAATAATAAAAAAGTTGAAGTCATCACTTTTATAATAAAGTTAGGCTGTGATGTTGACATTTTTGTCTTTTTCTAGCAAAATATCCAAATATGAAACAGCAGATGTGTCAAACTCTTTGGTGTCTTTTATTTCGAGTTCAAAGGGATATATATTGAATCAACGTAGGAATGAAAATGAATATCGTTAATTGCTTAAACGTCCTCGATATACGTAACTGTCGAATTTAGGGCCACAGCAAGAGACCTACTCTTTATATGTAGAAGTTTCTGAAAAAATTCTTCTTCACATTAATACAAAAATAGGTCTTCTGCTCCACATTAATACAAATAGGTTTGCTAATAACGGGACACAGTTGGTACCCATGAGAATTCCGAGATTGTTGGAAGACGATTTCCAAAATCTACATAGATCTTGTCAATAAGAAAGTCAAGCATCTTTTTAATATCGGTTTCATATTTGGATATTTTACTAGAAAAAGACGTTAATGGTTACCTAACAACAAAGCTTTATGATAAACATGACGACTTCAACTTTTCAATTGTCAACTTCCCTTACTCATGTAGCAATGTGCCCTTATCACCCGCATAAGGGGTTTATGTCTCTCTCAAAGACCATGCTCTTGGTATGAACAATTTCTAAAACGAGGCAAGCTATTGACAAACACGTTGATGAAACAAGAATATCAACAGTCTCGTTTAAAGTCATCATTTCGGAAGTTTTATGGTCGATAAAATGACCTTGTCAGCAAATACGATCTATCATTAAGTCAAATGTTGACTAATGTTTTTAATACCAATTGTTAGACCATTATTTACAATCTGAATTGTCTGCGGATTTTCCGTTTTTCCCCAATCATGACAAGGAGCACACGACGGGTGTGACCGGTGGGCAGGGGATGCTCCATGGCACCTGATCCCACCTCTGATGTTTTAGAGGTCCGTGTTTGCTCTGCTCCTGATTTGTATTGTTTAAATAGACTTATGAGCACTGTTCGTTATCTCCATATTTCTTCTACTACTTCTGAGTACTTGGTGTACAATAGGAATGTACATATTGAGGCCAAAATAAAAAATAGGTTTGTTTCCCCTAACGCGACCGACCCACTTAAATCGTGCCGACTGAAAAGTTTTTTTTATAAGATTATTCAAATATTTATTTTTATTGTTTATCAACATTATAAAACACAATTTCATCAAAATTCGTTTTTTATCAGAACGGCGGCTTTTGTTTTACTCTCATTTGGCGCCCACAACATTTGGCCACAGAGGGTTATTTAGTGTTATAAAACAACGGCGATGTATCAATCTTAATACGCATTTTTAATTTATTAGAATCCTACACTCTTGAAACATTTCGTGAATTAAATATACCATGACTAAGGAGTGTTAAGATGGTATTTACAAATGTGTCTTCTAAAATTAACTTGCGTAGTAAGTATGACAAAGCCTGCCCCTTGAGCAGAAGAGGTGCCCAATTTGTGTATGCATATCAATAATTTCACTCCATTTCATTCGTTTAGATCTAAAAAACACTTCATGTATGGTTCTATTTTTACTATATAGGACCATATGATTTGTAAATATATCTTTGTATAATTATTTCATCTTGATGAATATAATTCGGATGTCGTTTCTTCATTCCTTTTATTTATGGGGTAAACTTCGTGACTATAACATTGGATATATGAAACTTTAATCATTTTAGATGTGGTTTGGTTGAATGAAATATTGTTTATACAGGTACTCTCTTTTCAAATAGTGTTGAAATCTTTAAAGTTGGCTTATGGTACGGTTTTCTGAGACGTCCAGTGTATTTTTCTTTTCTTTAGTTGGGCCCTTGAAAATAGGTTGTTTCTTTGCTTTAAAATACCTTTAAAAATTGCTGGGTCGACAACATTTGAACACCTGCCTGGTGGAGGGCTCCTAATTTAGACTTTTTCTCGGCACTTATGGCCATTGATCATAAAGCATCAATAAGGGATCTTTATTGTGTCAACATCTACATGTATACTGTGACACTGCATGGCCCTACGCTTTTTTACGGTCTCATTTGACTGACTATAGTTTCCACGCCCCACGTCGGGACCTGTGACTTAGAATAAGCTCCTGAATTACGTCGTTACTTCAAAACGAAACACTAGAATTACTTCGCCACGCAAGGCCCTTGACATTTTTTTTTGTGTAAGCACTCGAAGATGATAGTAGGTTTGAAAAAAATATACTCGGATGGCCGATGGTTGAGTATTTGCGAATCTTGTCTTTTTGTAAAAACTCAATTTCAATAAATTTACGCTGGCCTGAGATATTTCACAAGTTCAAATGAATAGTATTTGTGAAATAATTAACCATACATGTTGCTTTTAAATTTCATTTGTATGATATTCGGTTTAAAAATCGGTTTCTTTTATTCTTTCTTATTAATTTTATAGAGATATTATTCAATTTTCAGAATGTATTTTCAAAACTGCTGTCAGAAAAAAAAATAATTTACCTACCTACCTACTCAACTTGAAATTTTAGGGTCGGGTTAGGGGAAACAACGATATTTTTAATGATGGCCTGATCAAAATAATTTTGCAAAAGACCGATGACATGATAAGTAAATGTACGAGTTCCAATTTTATTGAAAAAGCAGCTATTAATGATGTCAAAAATCTTGGGCTTTAATTTCTCGTGGGGAATAGTTGTTTAAAGTGTTGAAAAGTCGTACATTTTGATGTTATTGATTTTGGCAAACTTTATATCAGATTTTCTAAAAGTTTCTTTGAGTTTTTAAGTATCTACATTTGATTAACACCACTTCTCGAATAAATTGTTGTTGAGTACTCCTGAAGTTTCTCCTTCACTACTGTTAATATCTTAGTGAGGAGTAAAGAAAGAGGCTTGGTAGAACATTTACTGGAACCCGATATGTATCTTTGTTTGTAAGGATTTTTATGTAGTTTTAAAGTCCAGTTTAGATATGTAATTCAAATTCAATTTGATTGTTAGGAATATTTAAAATATTAAAAACTGACACATGATTTCAAAAAATTTCCTCCTTAGAATGGGAACTATAAGTTGGATTACCACTTGCGGAATTTGATCCAAGCTCCTCTAAAATACAATTAATATTAATGAGACCAACAAACAAAGACAATGTTGTTACCTGCTTTGTTAGCTAGAACCAGTACATATTGATCGAATAATCTATCATACGGTGTTTATGTCTCCCAACTGATTCGATACGCAAACTCTGCTCTGAGTACAATCAAATTTTAAACGAGGCAAGCTACTGACAAATACGTTGATATTACAAGGAATTCAACAACCCCGTTTAAAGTCAGCTTTTTGCAAATTCTACGGTCAATAAAATGACCTTATTTGTGTACAACCTATTGTTGGGTTGTATTATGTTTGACATGTTAGGCCATTCCTTTTATACAACCTATTGTTGGGTTGTATTTTGTTTGACATGATAGGCCTTTCCTTTTATACTAAATTTGACTACGGAGTTCTCCGTCTACCTTATCAAAATACAGGGCTCATGGCGGGTATGACTGGTCGACAAACCCTAACCCTGTGACAGGGGATGCTTCCTAGGCACCTGATCCCACCTCTGGTCTTTCCAGGGGTCTGTGCCTTTGTTCTGTTCACGATTCGTTTTGTCTAGTGTATTTTTGAGATTGATAATTGCTCGTTTTCTTCACCTTTTACATCAAAGCAACAGTAGATCTTATCCAATTATCAGTACTGTTTTTTTCCTCAGTAAAAGAAGTAGTACAAGTTCTTTAAACAAATCCTGATATCAATTATGATTTATTAAAGTGAACAAGGAACTAGATATTTGAGGTATTTTTTCCGGATTCTTTCACATAACACTAAATCTTATCCAATGATGAGTACTCCTGCTTTCTCCTCAGTGGTAGAAGGAGGTGGTTTTCTGGCTAAAATACAAAATAAATTTATTTCCACGTTATTGTATTGTTAAATACTAGTTCTAGCAGAAACTGAGGACTCAAAAGTTGTGTCTTTTTATGCTATAGACATATGATATGCAAGAGCTTTGAAACTCCATCAAAGAACAAAATAAGCGTTTCCAGCCAATTATAGATAAACAACATGCATCTCTGTCATTTAGTCAATATTGAAAATCTGATAAGTTTAAAATCTATTTCTTTGTACATCAACTCACTAGATGCAAATCCGCCGCTGAAAGGATCACCGCCAGCACCACTAGGGACAGAGGGCGCCTTTGAAGGCAGTTCCGGTGTAGTGGCGGGGAGAGGGGCATTCGTGTTCACTGTTGTAGATGGGGAATGAGTGTCTGACATCATCTGAGCTGTCGATGACCTTGTCTTCTCACTAAACATTGTCGTCTTCTCGGTCCAAGGAACAAACCTTGTCGTCGTAAAGGTTTCTGGCTCAAATTTTGTTGTTGTTGGTGGAAGGTATTTCGTCGTGGTTGGAGGAACGTATTTCGTTGTGGTGGGAGGAACGTATTTCGTCGTGGTGGGAGGAACATATTTCGTTGTGGTAGGTGGAACGTATTTAGTTGTAGTGGGAGGAATGTATTTCGTCGTTGTAGGAGGAACGTATTTCGTCGTGGTTGGAGGAATGTATTTCGTCGTTGTGGGAGGAACGTATTTTGTTGTGGTAGGTGGAACGTACTTCGTTGTAGTAGGCGGAACATATTTAGAAGTCTTTGGATGAGTGTGATTAGAATGTACCTTCTGTGTTGAGCGTGGAATTTTTTCTTCGATGAAATAAATCAAACCATACATATTATCGATATGGATTTTAGAAAAATGTAGACATAAAGATTATATTCAATCATGGAAAAATAAACCATAAAAATCAAGTTTACTTACTGTGTTGGCATATAAATGAGTAATGATAAAAGAAATTAGAACATGGGTAGTCATGCCAACGGAATCCGTCCTGGATTTTCATCAATGCACAATCCTCCAAATCTCCGGCGGCAAACAGAAACCCCGACTGAGACGGTCCTTGACCCGGCTCCCAATTGCTGTACGGCATTCGAGGGTCACCTAAAGAGAATTAATAATCTGATTTATCAGTACTACCAAGAGATTGATAATAAAACAAACTTTTTTTTTGGGGGGGGGGGTTACCTGATACCCATCTCCAATGGGATTCTGAATTTAAATCTGTTGCTCCGATCCAAAATCCGTCTTCCTCCGATCGCTGTTTCTGAGGCAGTAAGTTGATCCTTATGTATTCTTGCATACCGGCAGTTCTTGGTTGTACTAGATCACCCCCTTCATTGAGACACAGCTTTCTGGCAGTTTCCCAGTCGAAGTCACCATAATATACCTTTAAACAGTATTCTCCAAACACATAGAGGTCGCTTTTACTTAAATGATGTGGACAGTCTGCAGTGTCCATACCAAAAGCTAAAACAAAGAAAAGACGTACATGTTACCCATTTCTATCCTTAATATTGTCGTTAGTTGCTTCTAATGCGATAGTTTTAATCGTATGTGGTTTATGCCAAAAATGTCAAAAAAATAAGACATAGCAGGGACTTTTTATTTAAGAAGTTGTAACAAATGACATGGATCTATGCCTCTTGTGGGGAATTTTGATCACTAAAGAGAATATAATTACCTGTTATAACTTACCATATACGTTTTAAACACTTTGCAACTCTTTGGGAATTATCAGAAGGAAAATATTACCAGTAATACATGACGTCAAAAGGTCAAGGTCATAATCATTAGATGCTTCAAAAATAGTCAAGTTACCGTATAATTAGTACTATATTATGTCTTACTATTAAGTCACCCAGCCAGATGATTTTCGAAGCTTATAGTATACAAAAAGGCTGCCAAGCGATAAGAATACGTGAATTCTGGGGACATTTCCTTGACCTTATAACCTCATATTTGCTATAGACACCCATTTCCCAGTTATCTCCCCTGTCCATGTCCAGTATCTAGAACATATTCATGAAATATTAAATCAATTTTCATAAGGTACCTATTTCAGTAATTTTCTGATCAAAACTGTTCATTACAAAATACAAGTATTTTGGCTTCATTTAGACAGAAACTCGAATCAAACACAAACTGTTAGGCAAAGGTTATTACTTTTACTAGATGAAGGATTTGTTTGGATACCAAAATATATATTTCAAGGCTCATGATAAGTTGATCCGTGTGTAACTAACATGTAAGGATGCAGTAAGGTGACAAGAGTTTGACTTCCTTTAATAAATGTCCCAAAACGTTAATGGTGATCTCAAAATCAGTACAGCGTTTGATGAAAGTGTACACATGACTTTTTTGCCTCTTTGATGAAAGTGTACACATGATTTTTTTTTTGCCTCTGTGATGAAAGTGTACAAATGATTTTTTGCCTCTTTGATGAAAGTGTACGAATGATTTTTTGCCTCTTTGATGAAATTGTACAAATGATTTTTTGCCTCTGATGAAAGTGTACAAATGATTTTTTGCCTCTTTGATGAAAGTGTACAAATGATTTTTTGCCTCTTTGATGAAAGTGTACAAATGATTTTTTTTTGCCCCTTTTGTTTTGCTGAGTGTATGATCAAAAGTCAAATGCAAATGACATAGCCATTGTTTTTTCATTGTTAAGAACGATACTTGAGGTTTGCTCTTCTATCACGAATCAAGGAAGGAAAAAAAAGGTTTCTGGATCAAAATGATTTTTTTAACTTTTGGAATAGATTTTAATAAGCCATTTTACAAATGCAGATACATGTGTATTCCAAATATTTTCTATTTGTCCCTGTCTCCATTTCTCAAAATAATTTCAAAAGTACATGTATTATACGTATTTTGTGTGTACTTTTGAAAAATTAATATGATGGAGAAAAACTTGATTTTTCTTCTGTTCAACCCTATCTATTCCTATCTACCAAGATATATATCAAAGTCACATGTCAGAACATTTTAAACAAAATTAACAACTAAAGGTAATTTATATTTTAAAAAAGCAAGCCATCAATTAACAATGAAACTAAATTAGATTCACATACCCCCATTCAGGAAGAATAAAATCAGAGAGAAATACAAATGTCCCATGTTGGTTGTTTTGCTTTAATGAAGGGTCAGCGTGCTAAGAGATCAACTGAGTAATTATCAAAGGTAACACAGCCACAGGTATAAACAGGTGATAACAAGGATCAGGTAAATAATGAATCAACAGAAAGGTTGCAGGTACAGTCCAGATTATCAACGCCAATAACTAAAATCTTCTACTGCCTGAGATTATTTTGCCTAAATTATTAACCGTTATGTAATTGGTTGATAAATTAGTTTTCATTAATATACTTATATCAATTTTTAAACTATATATCGACTGGATATTTCATTAATATTTGTTTCATCCATTTAAATCCCTTGAATTAACTATTAACACCCCCCCCCCCCCATTTTATAGTTGAAGTTCAACCTTTGAGATCTGTCAATCGGTGATAGACACAGCGTAACACAGCCTTCGTGTTAGCCTGCAGATGCGTTTTGGAACCATTTCTTATCAACAGTCACTAAGTGACGTTGTTGACGGAGGCTTGGTCTAAAATTAACGTTTGCATAAATAAGATAAAGTATATTCATTATCAAATTAGAAATATTCTGGTTCTCCTTGATGATACCTCTATAGCCTCGATTTGCCTCCTTTTGGATTTGATCTAGAGGTACCGGAAGCTTGCTTATTCCATCAATGATATTCTGTATCTTTTAAACATCTACTCTTTATTTATTCTTTTCTACAAGTATATATTTTCTTTATCTTTTAAACAGAGAACGGTATTTTGAGATGTAAACAATATGTTTTGGATAGGTACATAAGATGGCTTACTTATTTTCATTTATTCGTACCACCTATCTTTAGAGCCTATTTTGACTGACATGTTTCATCAGATCAGACATTTTATTATCTTTCACATGTGCACTTCTTTTGACAGGGCCACAATTCTCTGTATGCTTTTAAACTTATTTTGACTAGGATTGTTCCGTTTACCTGGTCAATACAGAGGGATCACGTTGAGTGTGATGAATCGACAAGGGATGCTTTCTTCTATTGTCTTATAGTTTTCAAGTTTCGGTCTCCATACTGAACACTGAGACAGAATTGTCTTTACAAAGGGCAAAAAATAAAGGCGAAGGAGAAAAGAGTGTCTTTCAACGATTTAAAAAAAGTTTATTGCCTAAAAGGAATTATTTTGGTAGAAGTAAATAGTTTAGGACAAAGTGCAAAGGCTAGTGTTTTTGACTAAATATTGGGTATTATAGGAAAGATGGATAACCAATTTTATTTCTAAATATCCAGATGAAAATTGATTTTAACAGATATTTTCAGGTATATTTGACCTGTTTAGGTTTGGCAATGTATAAAAGTATTTTTTGCCATTTTTTAATATTTATTAATTTTTATGTTGTAGGATTTCAAACAGGAAAATTAAAATTAATGTGAAAACGTCCGTGAAGCTTTGTTGTTATTTAATTCTGACTCAGCTTTGTAAAGAATAAAAGAACAGATTCAGAAAGTCAATATTTGTCGAGATCATTTAATCTTCAAGTCATACAGGTGCACCAGGTGATATCGATACCAGGTAAATAAGACAATAATCTAAGCGTGTAGCTGTGGAGTCCATCCTTAACCAGTCCTGCTCAAGTTGTCCGTGTGTGTGTTAGGATAAAAAAAAATCTCGAAGTAAAATGAAGTTTGAAAGTATCCTGAAAGACAGAATGATTTTATTCTTCAACAAACTGGAAAAAATTAACATTCAATCACGGCCCTTTTATTTACATAAGGCAGTATTTAAAAAAAAAAAACAGTCATCTTAAATGATAATCGACATATATATCGACGTTTCATGAATTAACACTAGCCATTTTCATGAGAAGGGGCACGCGGCGGGTGTGAATGTTCACTAGCTCCTTCAACTCCATGACACCTGAACCCCCCCTCCCCCGGTTTTAGAGGTTCATGTTGGCTCTGTTTATTGATTAATTGGAATCTTGAGCACGATTACTTCTCGTTATCGTCATATTTCACTAAATTAATATTCCAGAGAATTATTATTCACTCAAAGGAAATGTATATTTGAACCAAAACAAACACACAGAGATAAGACTGTGAGACAATCAATTATACATTTATTCTGATATATTTAACAATGCAGTCAGATTTCAAAGACTACATGTATATGCACATTTTGTTCATTTAATGATGAATGTCAATTTATCTTTAAATATCCATTTTATAAAAATTTTAGAATATTTATATGCAGAAATATTATCATGTTAAAGTGTTTTTAAACTTACAAATTTACTATGTTCTCTAGAGGTTAAAAAGTTATCTAATTTGGGTAATTTTTTTATATTAAGAAACATGTCTATGAAAAAGCAAAATGTAAATTTCTTCAGATATCTATTTTAGTGTTAACAGCCATACGCATTAATTTCCAATGATTTATTTTTATTTATATCTGAATCCATAAATGTTTAAATGCATTATTTCGGTATTATATATGTTCTACACTGTTGAATGTATACTAATTCTTTAATCTGATGAGCCATTCGCTTTAAAGAATAAATAAAACTGATACTAAAAACTGCATGAAACTAAAACAGGCAAGTATCAGGTTATTTCTAATTGGCAATTTACTCTAGGTCAGCTAAAAATCTACTTTGTTAAAAATTATTCTGATTCTACACACAAGAACTCTGAGGTTGATGTTAAAATGTCGCTTAAGTTTCTCATTGGCAATATCTATGAAGTCTTTGGAGAGCAGGTTGGAATTCCAAACGGCACTAATTCTGCTCTTTTATTAATGGACATGTTCTTATATTCCTCCAAAAATTCAAAACCTTCAACATGACAAGGAAAAAAATCTCTTTGGCCCTCAATTTGACATTTAGATTTATTAACTGCATTTTATTAATTAGCAATTATTACTTTCATTCTTATGTGAACTGCATCTATCTCGCTAAACTCGAAATAATACGCAGCAGAGTCTGTCACATCTGTTTCTTATTTGGAGTTTTACTGACTATAAACAAAAACGTCCAAGTAACAACTGTATGACAAAAGAGATGACGTCAAATTTTCCATCGTCAACTTTCCTTATTTATGTAGTAATATTCTGCTGTCACCTATACGAGTATATGGTGTTCATGTCTCCCCACTGATTCGATGCGCAAGAGAATGTGCAATACGATCAATTTTTAAGCCAGGGCAGGCTATTGACAAATAAGTTAATATTACATGGATTTCAACTAACTCGTTTAAAGTTAGCATTTCGATGTTTATTATAATGAAAATGTTAGCAAATATCATAGGGTCGTATTTTGAGTGACATATTTCATACCAATTGCTAGACCATTGTTTTATAATAAATTTGACCACAGATTGCTCTATCTACGTGATTAATACAGAGAGCTCTAGGCCGATGTGAGCAGGCAACAGGGAATGCTTATTCCTCCTAGGCACCTGGTCCCATTTCTAGTGTTTCTAGTGGTTCGTGTTTCATGCCTTGTTCACAAATTTGTATTTTTAAAAAGAATTTTGAAATCGAACATTGTTCGTTATCTTCGTTTTTTTCATTCTTATATAATAGCTTTAGATATCTATTCCATCTACCCATTCCCCTTGAATTTGAATTCCTCAATAGACAATAGTTCAAAAAAGTCTGAACAGACATCAAAACCCCTGTATAGACGTCATATGGACAAACCTCTTCTGAGAAGACTTCACATTTCCTGAACAGACTTCATATTCCCTGAACAAACTTCACATCCCCTGCAAACATCAAATCCCCTGAACAGATTTTACATCTCATTATCAGATTTCACATCCCCTGAACAGAATCACATCCCCTGAAAACACTTCACATCCCCTGAACATACTTTACAATCCCTGAACACACATCACATCCCCTGAACAAACTTCACTTCTACTGAAGTCTTCATATTCCTTTAACAGACTTCTTTCGAAACAATTTAATAAGAATGAAATTATTGATTGGAAATATTTTTTCTTGTCTCTCACATTCAAGAATTCCTATCATATATAACAGGTGAAGAGAACGAACAGTAATCAATCTCATAAACACGGAGCCTTGGAATCAGCAGGGGTGAGATCAGGAGCCTAGGAGGACTAAGCATCCCCTGTCGACCCTGTTGATAGAGTAATCAGTAGTCAGCTTGGAATAAAACAATGATCTAACAATTTATGGTATGAAACATGTCAAACAAAGTATACCGAACGGTGGGTTTTATTTCCATATAAGGTCATTAAAACGACCGTAGATTTTGCGAAAAACTGTTTTAGAACGCGGTTGTTGAAATCCTTGTAAGATTAACCTATTTGTCAGTAGCTTCCCTCGATTTAAAATTTGATCGTACTAAAAGCATGATTTTATGTATCTAATCAATTGGGAGACATAAACACCCTATGCAGGTGATGGTGCAATATTATGTCATAAATATGGAAAGATGATGATGGAAAAACTAGCTGATGTTATCCCATTTGTTTAGTTATTATATGGTCATTATCGAATATAGTCAGTAAACATCCAAATATGAAACAGAAATAACAGAATTTTTTGAAATACTTTTTTCTAATGATTATATAGGCAATGGAGAAAAAAGTATCAATACAAAAAAGAGTTTTTATAACCGCATTTCTAAGTAAGTTTTAATCTCGTAATAATGCTTCATTATGTATTTCTTCATATGTTTTTCGAAAAAAAGATTTGAGCAATTTGTAAAGGGCTAGTACCCTACATCTCTAATTTCACCATTGTTGACAAAATCTGTGACTTGCCTGTACTCGAAATCTATAGGCATATCTTGTATGCTCAATGGCGAATGAAGAGCAACATTATCATTTACAGTTGTGACACTTTTATTTCTAAGGATTATACACCCTTTAACTTACTTCTTGGTTCTCAAAATTATCTTTTAAATCTTTTTTTGTTAAAAAATTAAAAAAAAAAATTTCATTGATTTGACTTGACACATGAAATGCAGATTTCTAACAAGAACCTCAACAATAAACACAGTCGTGGAATGTAAATATATATACACTGTACATGTATGTTCAATTCACCATTTACTATATGGTTCAATATATATGTACAGTAATTTGGAAAAAAAATCATTCGGTGTAATTTATTTTTTTTATTCCCAAGATATCTGACAGTTTCCAAAATGCATATAAAATGTTATTTGTTGCGATTCATATTTTTTCAAATTAATTTGAATTGCTCTGCAGCACCGAAACGACTACTTTGCTTCGGTCATAGCTATATTTAGAGATCTGGGGAAGCGCCGTGCACTTTAAAATTATGCAGTTATCTTTATCGAGTATATGAGTAAGAGTACTGATTATTTACCGGTCTCATGTATAATCAGTTCAGAGGTGAACCGTTGTGCAATTTCTTGAACGATGACATCACTTCATTTTCTACAATTTTATTTACAATGACATCATTTACATGTTTTTAATCATCATGCCTTTATGTGGTTAACAGAAGAAGTGTTTATTAATGGACGTCTACAGTTATATTGAACATTTAATATTTCAACAACAAACGAGAAAATCTAGATCGCTGTGATGTCGGAAAACGAAGAGAAGCAGCCCTTGTTGTCGTCTGATTCTCAGAAGGAGAAATATTCTACGGAGTCTGGTGACAAAAACGAAACGAAACAGTAAGTCTACTCTTTATTTCTGAAAGGGGGCGGGTCCCTAATTAGCAAGGTCGACCAAGACCTTCGGCGGATCTAGGTATTTAAAAAACTGCGCTAGCACAGATCTTTTCAAAATATTTGATAATAATATGTTTACTTCGATATTGAGCTATTTATAATCACTTAAGCAGAGAATTGCACCTTTTTTAGATCAAGTGCATACACCAAGTTATGACTGCACTTTAAGAAAATTTGCATTAAATATTGCATTTGTTTGAACATGTGTTGTATACATGTTACCTGTGTAATTATTGTTAGTTAGCCTGATGTTTTAAAAAAAATCTGATAATTTATGCTATGTAATATTAAGAGTACAGATGTGTATTTAAGAGCCAGAGAACCGTAGTATTCACTTACACATTAATGTATGAGCCTAATGCTTTAATCACACAAGTATATAGATATGGGGACATCATAAATATTCTTTCTGATTCTTAAAGTTAAACCATAATTTAGAAGTGATTTTTTGTGTTTTGAGTCATTAATAAAGAGGCATTGATACATTTGCATTTCCGTTTCGTTGATAATTTTTAATTTTTCTCACAACATCTAAGTTATGAATTTCTACCGAAAACTTTGAAAGATGTAAACTAAATTGAAATCTGCATCTATGTCCCTTTTCTTTGAAGGAATATGTTAAAAAATCCGTAAAGTTAACCGTTGCTGACTAATGAGTTTGAAGAAATTGTCTGTTCTAAAAATAAAGAATGAAAAGTGTATTGCCGAAAGAAAGGACGGTGCTAGAACAGGTCTTCTAATTGTAATTACTATGAAATAGAGCATTTTATAAGATATTTAATACAATGTTAACGATGCAATACAACTGAATAGGTCTATTCAAGACCTCTGATATATTTAATTCTCTAAATTTCATCACAAAGAAAAGCAGTAAATTTCATTAATTTTGTTTTATCCTTTGTCCCTCGATAAGTTCTTTCTTTCGCGGAATGGACAGTTTTTGTCTTTCTCTTTTTTAAAATTCTTTCACTACTGTAAATCTTTTTTTTTTATTTCCGAGAATTTAAATTTTGCGTAATTACGTGAGACAGTTTGCTCGCAAAAATTTCATTCTCGCGTATATTTGTTTGTATAGATTATATAAAGAAATAACAAGAATTCATAAAAAAATATTGTCCCACTTATAAATACCAAATACTTATCTTGCGAGAATAGAGTCGCGGGGTCGCAAAAATTTGGAGCTACAGTTGTCTTCCAAACATGGATCCATGTATTTTCTCACTGGGTAACGATTAGGATTATCTCCCTTTGCTGTACTGTAAATGAGTACCTTTCAAATGTTGATAATTATAGGTATTCTATAGCTTACCCCTTATACGTATTGATTCTATAAATATTTCGGAATTTGACCGACTTCACTTAGATTTTGTATAGAAATCTTTCTATCGAATTTTTCCTTATCAAGAGCATTGACATTTTCCTCTCGAGTACGTCTTCTTATCAGAGGGAAACATAAATAAAGCGGGCACCTGTCCCAGTAAGGCACCCGTATGTAGTGCGAACATGGATCTGAAGAGTTTCTCAGCGTAGGTAATACATTATGTCTACAGAGATTAGTAAATATAATTAGTCTCAAAACTCTCATAACTCTCCTTTGTACTTCCAGGAATTCTCCTAAGTCGGCATCGTTCGGACAGCTGGTAAGACGACCCTTTGATACTATTTCCTTTCTATGTAGTTCAGAACCACCCGATTTACATAACGCGTTTTTCATATTCTTCATACAAGTATTATAAAAATATTACTAATTTAATATTAGGGAAGAGGCTTGAAATGAAAAAGAGCACTATTTGATATTGGAAACTGCAAAACAGGGGGACACTAGGGGCTAAGAACGTGGGAGGGTGGGTGAGGGATTGGGAAATAAAGAAGAGCCTCTAAGGAGGGCCATGGGATGATGTAAATTCCATGAGAAGATAAATACCTTCAGTTATATCATTTGAGAGGAAAAGGAATGCAAGGAAAACTAGATAGAGTGAAATAACAGTTGTCTATACATTGTAGTTCCGATATGCCACGGCTTTTGACAAATTCCTGATCCTGATTGGGAGTATCTTCGCTATAGCTGTGGGTGGAGGATGGCCGGCCCTGTCCGTCATCTTTGGAGAACTGACCGACACGTTTGTTACAGGTCAGTAATAAACTCAGACACTGACCATAATCACTGTCTTATCAATTAACTAACACAAAACATAAAACTAGAACAAGCTCATGCAGGAAAGACTTTGTAAGAAACACCTTGCACTGTTGACTCTCAAATGGAGTCATCTAAAAAAATACTTGTTGAATGTTTTAAATTAATTAGTTAAGTAAAAGTAAAAAAAAAAATAAAATTTAACAAACAATTATAATAAAAAATCAATTTCCTAGGTCCGGGCGGCGCTCAGGTGATCTGCGTCAATGGAAGCATCAGTTTAAACGTCACCGGAAATGGGACCGGGAACAACTCGTCCGTGGATGAGTTTAATGACAAAATGACCACTTACGCCTTCTACTACCTGTACATCGCCGGCATCGTCCTAGTGTCAGGGTACTTGCAGGTAAGAATCCTGACCCCTGGACCGTCTGGTAACTGACTTTATGTTTTATTTAAACACACTTAACTTCCACTAAGCGGTATTTAACAGATTATGTGTTGGACGACGACCTGCGAGAGACAGGTTCACACTATCCGGAAAGTCTACTTCCGGTCCATAGTCCGACAGGAAATAGGTTGGTTCGACAAACACCAGAGCGGGGAGTTGACTACTCGACTGGCAGAGTAAATATCCAGTTTATTTCCATTCAATTCTATCTGCAGTTGCAAAAGAGTGATGTAATTTAATAAAGTTCTTGCGTTTGAAACTAAAACATTATCTTGAAAATTGCACAACCAAACTCTTGATATCCCAGCACACTTTAAAAAGCTGCATAGTTTTATTTTTTGCTTCGTGTCGCTATTAAGGCAGCCTTAATTTTATAGCGATATCGGAAAAGTCAAAGATGGATTGGGGGACAAATTCAGCTTCACTCTTCAGTACACTGCGCAGTTCTTCTCGGGGTTTGCCATTGGCTTCTGGAAAAGCTGGAAAATGACGCTGGTAATGATGTCTATCACGCCGCTTTTGGCTGTCAGTGCTGCAGTTTTTTCTGTGGTAAGCGAGATTTGGTCATACTTACCAAACTATTTTTCATGATCAGAGGGTTTTCGTCGTAAGCCATTTTTTGTGAGAAGCCTGGTTCTATTACATACTGTGAAATCACTAATTTTCATTGGGGTTTAATTTTCGTTGTTTTCGGGGTATGCAGAGACCCACGAATTCATGTCCACCACGAAATGTAATTTTCACACATGCATTTCTTTTCAACAATTCTTGTTCCACGAAATAAAATCCCAAAGAATCCATATTTTTTCTCAAACCACGAAAATTTGACCTCACGAAAATATGTGATTTTACAATATTCTCTGTTATCTGAAAAACACACTAATTGCAATGGAAGAGATAAACAAAAATATTTTTATTTGATAAATTTAGAATTTAGTGAAGAAGCTCCTATATCTTAAGACAGCGTATCTTTTAGATGACTATTATGCGTAATATAAAATCGGTACGATGAACACAAAGGACAGATACTTTTTTCTGGCACATAAGTGTACTTAGATCTATCAGTGATGTACAAAAGGACATGTTTGTTTCAGTTTATCAGAAACTACACCAAAAGGGAACAGGAGTCGTACGCAGGCGCCGGAAGTGTGGCTGAGGAAGTCCTCTCCTGTATCCGGACCGTCATCTCCTTTAACGGACAAAGACAGGAGCAAGTCAGGTAATAAACCCTAACAAAGCTATCTACAGTTATACTTAGTATTAATTTGCACAGGATAGTAATCAGGGGACATACAGCTTGGTCAATATTAAAAGAAGGAATGTGAGAGAAGGTTATATGGGCACCATTGAATCTTGCTGTACTCAGCGCAAAGCCGTAGGTTGGAAGGATGAATATACAGAAAAATAATAATTCACATGATTATATTACAAGATTGTGTATATTTGTAATGAGTTAAACACTATAAACTTTTCATGAAAAAGAATAATTTATAAGAATGGAGAAATTTATTTTGTGTAGTTTTTGTTGATTTGTAGATATGAGAAAGCGTTGACGGAGAGCAAGAAGATCGGGGTCCGTAAGACGGTGGTCCAGGGCCTCATGATTGGCTCCATCATGTTCTTCATGTTCGGATCTTATGCCCTCGCCTTCTGGTAAGATATTGTGACCTACTCTCTGATAGAATATAATTTTTCAATGTGTGAGTAGAATCTTTTATCCTAACTTTCTGCAAGGTTTTGCTGCAGGATCTTGCACCCAAACCTTGTAACAAAACCAGTGGCCTCTGTCCCGATGACAAACCTTCCTGTCTGGATTCTTTTAAATATTCCCAATAGTTTTCACTCAGCAGGCATTTTCATACATGTAGTTCTTGTTGTACGAGGAATGAATTACCTGACTTGAATACCTCACTCATTTTGCATTCTTTGGAACTTCCATTATTACTTATCATTAAAATCCTTCGGTTCTGCTAAAGTTGGCATTATTTGTTGTGATTGTGTATTATTTGTTGTGATTGTTTATTATTTATTGTAATTGTTTATTATTTGTTGTGGTTGTTTATTATTTGCTGCGGTTGTTTATTATTTGCTGTGGTTGTTTATTATTTGTTGTGATTGTTTATTATTTGTTGTGATTGTTTATTATTTGTTGTCATTGTTTATTATTTGTTGTGGTTGTTTATTATTTGTTGTGGGTGTTTATTATTTGTTGTGATTGTTTATTATTTGTTGTGATTGTTTATTATTTGTTGTCATTGTTTATTATTTGTTGTGGTTGTTTATTATTTGTTGTGATTGTTTATTATTTGTTGTCATTGTTTATTATTTGTTGTGGTTGTTTATTATTTGTTGTGGGTATTTATTATTTGTTGTGATTGTTTATTATTTGCTGTGATTGTTTATTATTTGTTGTGGTTGTTTATTATTTGTTGTGGTTGTTTATTATTTGTTGTGATTGTTTATTATTTGTTGGGGTGGTTAATTATTTGTTGTCATTGTTTATTATTTGTTATGATTGTTTATTATTTGTTGTGGTTGTTTATTATTTGTTGTGGTTGTTTATTATTTGCTGTGGGTGTTTATAATTTGTTATGATTGTTTATGATTTGTTGTGATTGTTTATGATTTGTTGTGATTGTTTATTATTTGTTGTGATTGTTTATTATTTGTTGTGGTTGTTTATTATTTGTTGTGATTGTTTATTATTTGTTATGATTGTTTATCATTTGTTGTGGATGTTTATTATTTGTTGTGATTGTTTATTATTTGTTATGATTGTTTATTATTTGTTGTGGTTGTTTATTATTTGTTGTGATTGTTTATTATTTGTTGTGATTGTTTATTTATTGTGATTTCTTATCATTTTTATTTGATTTGCATTTCAGGTACGGATCAGAACAGGTCAAGGATTGGTACAATTCCTACTGTGCCGCTGAGAGAGAGGGGATTAGTCCCGGGGAAGTCCTTACGGTAAAAAAAACCCCTTTAGATCTCTCAAAAAGTTTATGAAATAAGCTTTTAGGAAATTATGTACTCACTACCTTTGTGTTATTTTAAGAGAGGGATATTTTTTTGCACAGAGTAATCTAAAATAATACTTTTAAGATTAAAAAAAAAGCAGATGTCTTTTTTGGCTGAAAAATATTTTTTTCGCGTTCGAATTCAACTGATTAAGATTTCCAATTTTTCACTGCTTTGAAAAGTGATGTTGAAAGATACTTGGAAATTCGGATTAACATCTGTAACACGATTACTCTAAATGATGCCTGATTTCTTCATTGACAAAATCTATGGTCAGCTGGTCGTCCACGAATCTTTTAAAATTCCCATAGTACTAATTGTGCCCCTTTATTAACAGACCTATTTTTGCATTCTTATAGGCATTAATTTATTAAAAAAAACTTCAACATGAATACTAAGTAGAAATCTCGTGCTGTGGCTTTCAGTTCGACATTTAGACATATCGAAGTTTTTATCAATAGATGGTTTTCCTATGACATATTTTGCCTTGGAGTTATTAATTCCCCTTGGCCGCCATCTTGTAGGTCAAAGTAGTGAATTTTCCTCTTTGAGCAACCAATTTTAAACATGCATGCCAGAAATATATGGTAAAAAATATTTACAATATTAAAATAATGAATTACAAGAAGCTTATATATACGTATATTCATAAGAAAATCAGTTTTATATTCACTTCAGTGCCCAGTATAACAAATTGAACTTGGTTGAATAATGAAGGGACCTGGGGATGTTGACCTACAATATGGCGGCCATGGGGAATAACTCTTGCTTAAATCACCTCGATGGAAAACCTTCTATTAACAATATTCGTTTTCATTCATTCATTAAGTATCCCATGCACTGAACTCAAAATGAACGACCCATCTGTTTCATATTCGGATAATTTATTTAAAATGAAATTGTTGTCAAACTGACAACTAAACATTATGATAACCGTGATGACTTCAACTTTTCTATGGTCAACTTCACTTAATTATATGTAGCAGCACACTTTTTATCACCTGCATTAGGTATTAATGTGTCATAGTTGACTCAATACGCAACAGAATGTTTTGCAAAGATACAATTTCTAAACCGAGGCAGACTACTAAAATATATGGAGATAACGAACAGTATTCGAGCTCAAAAGTCCATTAAACATTACAAAATAGGAGCAGAGCAAACACGGACCTCTAAGACACCAGAGGTGGGATCAGGTGCCATGGAGGAGTGAGCATCCCCTGCCGACCGGTCACACCCGCCGTGTGCTCCTTGTCATGATGGGAAAATAACGGAAAAATCCGTCGACAATTCAGTGTGAAAATAATGGCCTAACAATTAGTATGAAAAAGTCAGTCAGCATTTGACTTAATGATAGATTGTATTTGCTGACAAGGTTATTGTATCGACCATAGAACTTACGAAATGATGACTTTAAATGAGACTGCTGATATTCTTGTTTCATCAACATGTTTGTCAATAACTTACCTCGTTTTAGAAATTGTTCATACGTAGAGCATGTTCTTGCTTATCGAATCAACTGAGATATATAAACTCCGTATGCAGGTGATAAGGGTATATTAATTGCTGCATAGGTAAGGGAAGTTGACGATTGATAAGTTAAAGTCATCACGTTTATCATAAAGCTGACAAATGAAATTTTACTTGGGTATCAACAATTTCGTTTAAAGTCAACATTGGCAAATTCTAAGATCGATACAATGATCGTTTTTGCAACTAAAACCTGTTATTAGGTCGAATGTTGACTGATGTATTTAATAAATATTGTTAGGCCATTATCTTCATACTGAATTGTCCGTTTCTCTGTTCATGACAAAGGGCTCACGGCAGATATATGACCGTCGACAGGGGATGCTTACTCTTCCACGGCACCTGATTCCATCTCTGATGTTTTCAAAGTTCCTTGTTTGCTCTGCTCACAATTTGTATTGTTTAACTGGATCTTTAAGCATAGTTACTGTTTTTTATTTTCACGTTTCATATAATCTTATTTTTTTGGTTGTTATCCTTATTTGGATTGACAGGTATTTTTCTGCGTGATGATTGGTTCTTTCTCTATTGGAAATGCCGCCCCTCATCTCGGGTCAATATTTGGTGCCAAAGGTGCTGCTGCTGTGGTCTTTGAAACCATTGACAATGTAAGTGTAAGAAGAAAAGGGAAATAAAAAGAAAGCTGGCTTCAAACTTCAGTGGAAATCAAAAAAATTATTTACCTTTCAAAATTATAATTTGAAAACATGATTAAAGTAGTCAAATCAAGAGTTGATTATTTTAAAGTTATGGTTTATTGAGAACATCGTTTGTAGGGGAGCACTTGCTGAATAAAATGAAGAGATTTTTTTAAAATTTTTGTATAAAAAGGTACCCACAATAGATGCTACAGTCGACAAGGGACAGGTACCAAGTTCACTGGAGGGTGACATCGACTTTGTGGGCGTTGATTTCTCCTATCCTACACGGGAGGAGGTCCAGGTATGCCCACGCGTGCAGGCTGAAAGTCAAAATTATTACTTTCGCACAAAGTGTTTGAGATTTAACTTCCTTTTAAAAACATCTATTAGTATATAATGGTATGCTAAGGTGTTTTAATCTCTCACAGTCCAATTTGTTAGGTTTGAGTTTAAAATGGGAAAGCAGATAAAACAAATCAAATTTAAAATGCAGACGTTTTTATTATAATACATAAACCATAAATAAAAGCGTCTGTATTGTGTAAAACTGTGTATTGAATCAGACTGTCCGTCCTCAGTATATAAGGGTAATGGGTTATAACATATGAGTTGTGTACAGCACACCACTTGAAGTTTTTTTTCATTTTAGGTATTAAAGAACTTTAACCTGAATATAGGACACGGTAAGACAGTGGCGTTGGTGGGGGCAAGTGGTTGTGGAAAATCTACGGTCGTCAAACTAATCCAGAGAATGTATGATCCACAGAACGGACGGGTAGGTTATTAAAGACGTATTAAAAAATTTACAATATATACAAATCCTGTAAAGACAATAAGCTGGGGAAACCTATCTTTTATTAGTTAGTACTTTTTCCAATTGAATTGAACATTCTGAACTTTCTTGAGGAGAGCCTACTACGTGTCAGTTATGTTTTTTATAATCAAAAACAACAAATGCGCCTTTTATACTTTCTTATGTCTTGTGATATTACTTAGTACTCTGTTTTATATAAATTCTGAAGGTTTTATTAGACGGCAATGATTTGAAAGACCTGAACACCAACTGGCTCCGAAACAACATCGGTGTTGTCTCCCAGGAACCAGTCCTGTTCGCCATGACAATCGCCGAGAACATCAAACTGGGAAATCCTGACGCAACTATACAGGAAATACAGGACGCCGCGAAGGCAGCTAATGCACATGACTTTATCACTCAATTACCAAATGTAGGCGACTTTATCACTTAGTTACCTGCCATAATCACTCAGTTTATCACGTGACTTCATCACTCGGTAACCATGTAAAGCCATGCAATCACGTGACTTCATCATTCAGTAAACCACATGGCTTTATCATTCAGTAACCCAATGTAAAGCCATACAATCATGTGACTTCATCATTCAGTAAACCACATGGCTTTATCATTCAGTAACCCAATGTAAAGCCATACAATCACGTGACTTCATCATTCAATAAACCACATGGCTTTATCATTCAGTAACCCAATGTAAAGCCATACAATCACGTGACTTCATCATTCAGTAAACCACATGGCTTTATCATTCAGTAACCCAATGTAAAGCCACACAGCCACGTGGCTTTATCACTCAGTCAATCATGTAATTTTATCACTCCGTTGCAAGTTCATAAATTAACCCATCTCATCACTAAGTTACCATATTAAAGCCAGTAAGGGCTGCCCCACTTTAAAATGTTGATACAGATTAGCTCAGGTGAATTTTGATTAACTCACATCGTTTCCACTCTGGGATAAGTTAACCTACAACCATATTGTAGGCAAACGTAATCAGAACCGACTGTGATTTCATTATTTCACATACACTTTATGTACGGTTTTAACCCACATTAAGCTTACATGGCCTCAAGACCATGAATGAGAACAGACTTAAGTCAAAATTTTAAATTAATATAACTTTTGAAATAATTTTGATTGTACAAGAAAATTTTCGTCATATCTTTGAATTTAAATATTTTTCATATCTGCAAGTTTTTTTAGCACATAATTGCTAAGTGCAACTCAAGATATTCAAAATCAAACACTGGACTTAAGTTTGTTCTCAGTTTATGGTCTTTAAAAGGCTTGGTGTAATCAGGCCTAAAGTAGGACCACTTAACCACTAAATTAAATGACTTCATCACTTGGTAACCTTATGTAAGACCACTTAATCACTAAATTAAATGACTTCATCACTTGGTAACCTAATGTAAGACCACTTAACCACTAAATTAAATGACTTCATCACTTAGTTACCCAAGGTAAGACCACTTAACCACTAAATTAACTGACTTTCTCACTTAGTTACCTAATGTAAGACAACTTGATCACTAAATTTAAATGACTTCATCACTTGGTATCAATTTGTAAGACAACTTAATCACTAAATTAAATGACTTCATCATTCAGTTACCCAAGATAAGACCACTTAATCACTAAATTAAATGACTTCATCACTTGGTAACCTTATGTAAGACCACTTAATCACTGAATTAAATGACCTCCTCACGTAGTAACCTAATGTAAGACAACTTAACCACTAAATTAATGACTTCATCACTAGTAACCTAATGTAAGACCACTTAACCACTAAATTTAATGACTTCATCGCTCACTATGTGTAAAACAACTATATCATGATACTTTATAACTCAGTTTCTCTTGAGGCTGTTGCATGTAAAGAAGTCAGTTACCCGATGAAAGATCAATAAATCAGATGACTTCTTCATTCAGTTACACAATTTAAAGTCCTTAAATCACTTGTCTACATTTTATATCACTCAGTAACCCAGTGTAAAGCCACTTAATCACATAACTTCATTTACTCAGCCACACAATGGAAGGTCACTTAACATTCCTTAAGTTTTAGTCCGCAATATCTGCCGTTTTCCAGGCGTTTTTTTTAAGATTTTGATATTTTACGTGCCAGGAAAACGTCAGAACCGGCGCCATTATGAAATGCAGAAATTTTTCCGCTCCCATCTGAACTCGATTTTCGATAGTCGCAAATCGAATCAAATGTCAAACCCACAACTTAGCAATAGCAATTTGCTTCTAGTTTTTACCAGTATCGCTTAAAAGAAAATATCACTAGTACTCCACATTTCGATACAGGGTCTCACGAGTTTTCAGAATGCACGAAATCAAAACAAACCTTGACAGTTTGATAAAATGTTTTCACCAGACACTTTATATTACAAAGAACAACAAAAGCGATATTGGTAAGCACTAGAAGCATTGTAATATTGATAAGATGTGAGTTATAGACATTTAATTCGGTTCGCACATATCGAAAAGCGACCCGAGAATGCTCCTGTTGGATTCGGCGAATTTCCACTTTTCACAATGGCGCCAGTTCTGACGTTTTCCTATCATGTAAAATATCAATTCGTAAAAAAACGCCTGGAAAATGTCAGATATTTCGGACTACTTAAGTTTATGTCGCTTCTGGGAAGAGATACAGTTAAGTTCCTCTTTAACTAGCTCCAGTGCAAGATCAGACATGAACCTATAGTTGAAAATTGTACACCAGAAATACACCTGTTTTTGGTAGGGTTATCGAACATTGGTCGGGGAGAGGGGAGCTCAGCTGTCTGGGGGACAGAAACAGAGGGTCGCTATTGCCAGAGCGCTAATCAGAAACCCTCGTATTCTCCTTCTGGACGAGGCCACGTCAGCTTTAGACTCAGAGAGCGAGAACATTGTCCAGAAAGCACTGGACAAGGTGAGTGCTTTGTATTTCAATCATTTTTTGATAACTGCTCAAAAGAGACGGTCTTTCAACTCAAGTGTGTAGCTTAAGTTTAAGCTTTGAGCTTCTTTCCATTAAAAAAAGCAATAGATGGAAGTTTGTTTTTTTTAAATTTATAAACACTTCAAATTTAGGCTCGGCTTGGTCGAACAACAGTTATGATAGCTCATCGTCTGACTACTGTTCAAAACGCTGACATGATTTACGTGGTGGACAAAGGGGAGATAATTGAGTCTGGGACACATACAGAGCTTATGAAGAAGGAGGAGTTTTACTATCAGCTCGTGCAGGCCCAATCATTAGAATCTGATGATGAAAACGACAATGGTAAATAAAAAATTATTATTGAATTAAGAAAATCATTAATTGGTAAGATTCATGTCTCAGTCAGATCTATTTTTAAAGCGAATTGAAAAATTCGTTTTGGGTCGTAATACGACTCATCAGAAATTCCTGATTATCAAATGAAAAAAAATGAATCTTGATACATGTAGAAGAATCTGGTCCGGAAAAGCGTGCCTACAGACGTCAGAGGTCACGTGTGTCATTGTCGGAAAAGGGAGACCATCTAGTAAAGAAACAGCTCTCAAGGCAGTTGTCTGCATCTGAAAAAACAAAACAAGAAGAGGAAGAGGTTCGTATTTATTTAAATACACCTCACCTAAACTTCAAATTGATTTTAAATTAGTTTTCACTTATAAATATATATATTTAAATAATGTTTTTATGTTTAAAATCTCTTGAAGAAATGCATCATATATATTTTATTTCATTCTGTTTGCAATTAACATAAAATGATTTCGTCAAGATACTATAAATTTTATAAATCTTTCTGAATGAAACGTTCTTTGATACCTGTTAGGTTGTGAGTTCATGGTTTATATAATATTGATGTGACAATTTCTTGTTAATTGAATTTTGTCAGCAATATAACCACTTATTAAAATGTTTGCAAATCATCGAATGTTCACAGGATCTGCGGTCCAGATTCGCGCTTATACTTTAATTTTTACTTCTATATTGTGCAAGTGACTGAAATAAATCGTATTTTCTATGATAAAGAAAGAGGAGGAGGAGGAGGAATTCGAGAAGCCGAAGTACTTCCGAATATTGCGTGAGAATTTCCCAGAATGCCCTTTTCTGATTTTTGGCACATTGTTTTCCGCTATCCAAGGTTCTACAATGCCGCTCTTTGCTTTGTTTTTCGGAGAAATGATAAAGGTACGGTATTTATTCGTAAAAAAAAAGATCATCACGCATAAGCAAAATAGTATTACCTCTATTGTCAAGAGTCATTGCAAAAATCACGTCTGTATTTCATCGCTTAAGATTGTTTCTTTATCAAACATATTCAGCTGAATTATATTAGAATTTATTTTCAGAATATTTTAAAAGGACTTTTGTAAGCTTATAGCCATTTATCCAATCCAATTTAAAAATTAAATTATGCAAGAAATAACAAGATATGTATTTTATTTTTTAAAATGTATATCTTTGTGACGTTTTGTAAATTTTTGTCCAAAGGAAGAATCCAATACATAAATATTATATTTGTATTCTTTAAAAATTAAACTCATAACATCACAATTGGTTAAAAAAGGCTTTTACTCCTAGGTATTTATAGATATAAACGGCACTGATAACGTCTTATGGAGTTTAATGTTCCTGGCCCTTGGAGGGTTGAATTTTATGTGCCACTTTTTCATGGTGAGTAGATTGAACTGTAGATTTTTCGTAGTAAAACTTATTTTTGTGTTTATTGTCTCCTTAGTAAGTTGCATTAGAATTTAATTTCAGTTAAAGTTTTTGTATTTGTCTTGTGCATGTTTTCATTTATTCATTATAAAAAAAAATCGATTAATGTAGTTCACGTTCAGATATAGTGAAAACGTAATTCTAACTAAAAATACCCCTTCGTAATTTCAGAACGTGAACCTTGGCATAGCTGGAGAGCGGTTGACGTTTAGGCTGAGGCTGAAGTCATTTAAGGCGTACTTAAGACAAGATGCCTCCTATTTTGACGACCCCAAGCATGGCACCGGTGCTCTCACGACGCGATTGGCAACTGACGCCTCTCTTATTAAAACGGTTAGTAAGAGTAAAAAAATCTTGTAAATCTGCAGATTTCAAATTGTGTTATTTTCTTTTACAGTTTCAAGTGCATTTAATCGGATATGATTCGTAGTCTTTAACTATTCAACTTGACTTCTAGGCAACGGGTTTCCGGATAGGCACTATCCTGTCCTCGATAGTGAGTTTAGTGGCGGCCCTGGTGATAGCATTTTACTACGGCTGGAAGTTGGCGCTAGTTGTCCTCGCAGGAGTTCCCATATTAATGTTGTCAAGTGAGTTTCCAAGGCAAAGATCAAGTGAGGAGAGCAAGTGTGTGATCAAGCATTCATCCGCAGTAGTGTCAAAGAAAATTTTGCCTTTTTACTGTATACTCTTTCATTGAAGGAATGAATAAAAAATGGAGTGCAACCTAGCCCAAGATTGAATAATAATATATTTTTCTTTTCTTTTAACTATTTTTCTTCCTTTTAACAGCGAGAGCAAATTGTTGTATACTACAAAAAACCTCAAGTTTGACATCTGTTACAAATGACATCTTGCCATGTTTTGATAGGTAGTTTACAGATCAAGGTCGTGATGGGGAAACACAAAGAAGATCAAAGCAAAATGGAGGATGCTGGCAAGGTAATAAATCTGGAGGAAGGATTACAAGGCGATTTCCACGGTGTCCGATTGTTCTAGCATTTCATGTTTTGACCATCAAGAAACTGAGGCAAAGAAATGCATTTAGAAACAATTGATTATCAATTTGTATACGGTAAAATTTGATGAAATGCTTCATTGGATTAAAAAAAGAAATAAGCTAGAGAATTTAAGACTAATTTTGTTTTTATTTTTAAATTTCTTTTCGGTACGTAAATTAGGTCCAACGATCATGTAACATACGTATTAGTATGGATTAATTCATTTTGACTCTCCTTTAATCGCGCTATAACTCCATTGGCAAAGCTTCAGTAAATAGTAAACTTTGTTAATTTACTCCTAGACGTAAGTATCATGTTACAGTAAAAATAGATAATTTATCTTTTTATAAAAGTTTGATGTTCACAAAGAATATATCGTATGTAAATGCATTCGAATGATATATCAATCGTGTATTCTTTTCAGGTGGCCAGTGAGACAATTGACAACATTCGCACTGTGCAGTCTCTAACAAGAGAAAAATATTTTTATGACCTCTACGCGGCTAATTTAGAGAACCCTCTAAAGTGAGTTTTACAGAAATGAAGCAAAATTGTAAAGAAAAAGCAATATGTTTATGCAATAATTGATGCCAACAAATTTATGCACGAGTATTTAAAAAAAATCGTTTTTTTTTTAAACAATAAATCCATATTTGATAACATTAAGTACTAGTTCCAGAACATAATACATATGTATGTCGATGTCGCCCAAATAAAAGGTTAAGATATTTTGCAAGTTGTGAACGTAGATTATGTAAACTCACAGTTTAGTAAATTATGTCTTTCCTACATATGTATTAGTAGAAGGCATTTTGGGTTTGTTTAATACTGATTTTCGGGTTTATGATTCTGAATTATAAGGCAGGATAAGTGTGTTGTGCCTTTTGCAGATCGAGTCTAAAACAAGCTCAGATCTACGGGTTTGCTTATGGGTTTATAAGTCGTTTATTTGCCATTTACAGATCGAGTCTAAAACAAGCTCAGATCTACGGGTTTGCCTATGGGTTTAAAAGTCGTTTATTTACCATTTACAGATCGAGTCTAAAACAAGCTCAGATCTACGGGTTTGCCTATGGGTTTATAAGTCCGTTTTTTTGCCATTTACAGATCGAGTCTAAAACAAGCTCAGATCTACGGGTTTGCCTATGGGTTTATAAGTCCGTTTTTTGCCATTTACAGGTCGAGTCTAAAACAAGCTCAGATCTACGGGTTTGCCTATGGGTTTATAAGTCGGTTATTTGCCTTTTACAGGTCGAGTCTAAAACAAACTCAGATCTACGGGTTTGTCTATGGGTTTATAAGTCGGTTATTTGCCTTTTACAGGTCGAGTCTAAAACAAGCTCAGATCTACGGGTTTGTCTATGGGTTTATAAGTCGGTTATTTGCCTTTTACAGGTCCAGTCTAAACAAGCTCAGATCTACGGGTGTGCCTATGAGTTTATAAGTCCGTTTTTTGCTATTTACAGGTCGAGTCTACAACAAGCTCAGATCTACGGGTTTGCCTATGGGTTTATAAGTCGGTTATTTGCCTTTTACAGGTCGAGTCTAAAACAAGCTCAGATCTACGGGTTTGCCTATGGGTTTATAAGTCCGTTTTTTGCCATTTACAGGTCGAGTCTAGAACAAGCCCAGATCTACTGGTTTGCCTATGGGTTTATAAGTCGGTTATTTGCCTTTTACAGGTCCAGTCTAAAACAAGCTCAGATCTACGGGTTTGCCTATGGGTTTATAAGTCGGTTATTTGCCTTTTACAGATCGAGTCTAAAACAAGCTCAGATCTACGGGTTTGCCTATGGGTTTTCTCAGTGTGTGGTGTTCGCTATGTATGGCGGTTCCTTCCGTTTTGGTGCCTGGCAAGTGAGTTTAGGGGAGATGGCGCCGGAGGATGTTTACAAGTCAGTACATAAACTTTATTTTGAATCTTTATCCTTCAATTTTTGAAGAATATCATTAAATATTACAAGACTTGATATTAAAAAGATTTTCCTTTGCTTGCATTTAAATTTTAGTTTTCATAAAACCACATTCATTAGTTTTATATATAAAGGGATTTTACGTCTTTAATTTACATCTCCCTTTCGACGACGGCAGAATCAGATATTATTATACGCCGAATTCTTGTGATTGGTAATGTAAAAAAGAAATACTCGATTGATTTTTTTTAAAATCACTCTAATACAACACACAAGTACGCTGAAGTTGATGTTAAGGTGGAATGCTAAAGCAAAATTTTATTTAATGGATGTTTAAGAAATCTCTTTTGAAATACAGTTTCAGCGTGGAAAAATTGATATTAGCTCTATATGAATTTTTTTGTATTTTTTTCAAAGAAAATGTCAAATTTCAAATTACAAGGTCATCTGGATAAGAAATCCTGTCTTTTTAGCTTTTTAGTTCAAGTTGGAATTACTTTGTTTCAGGGTGAAGGATGGAAATTCTTTTCTAATCCAGTTTTGATTAAGTCTAGTATGTTATTTCCATACTCAAACATAGACATCTTTGTTTGAGTAAATGTGTAACTTTCATGGATATAGCTGAGTACATGTGTAACTTTCATGTATATTTGATCTCTTAAATTTAATACATCACTATTGATTCTTTGTTTTTGAACAATTTATCCAAGAACGCAGGACCCCAAATTCTCTGTTAAATATTCGCAAATAAATAAATTTAACGCGCTTTCTTGAGACTCACATTTTAACATTTAATTTGGCTGCAACAACCATTGTTCTGTTGCATATTTATAGTATTACAATACCGGTTGACAGGGGATGCTTACTCCTCTTAGGCACCTAGTCCCACCTCTGTTGTTTTAGAGGTCGGTGTTTGCCCTGCTAACAATTTGTATTGTTTCAATGGACTTTTGAGCTTGATTACTGTCCGGTATCTTCATATTTTATTGTTATAGCACTAATAGTTTTTTTTCTATTTGTTTGTAATATTTTAAATTTTCAAAGTTTTTACTGTACTTTATTGTCAAATTTTTACACTGTTGGGCCTATGGCACTCCTTAGTGAAAATTATAAGAAACTAATACTGCCTTTATATGGAAAGATTTTAGAACATAATTTTAAAATGCTAGGAAGGATGTACTATTCCAAAGTTGAAATATTGACTTTAAAGGGGAAAAAATTGCCAATCAATCAATCTCTACTGCCACTATTCTCCTTGTCATTTATGGCTATATTTTTCCTATTTCAGAGTCTTTTTTGCCATAGCATTTACTGGAATGACGATTGGACAGGCCAGTTCCTTTTTACCTGATTATTCTAAAGCTCAGCACGCAGCAGGTCTGATATTCAAGATATTGGAAACTATCCCAGGCATAGATATCTACTCGCAACGTGGAACATATCTGGTAATGAAACCAAGTATTGATAATTGCCTTTGAAAGTTTATTTTGACAAGGAAAACATTTCATCTAGGAAAGTACTAAATGCACTCATAAAAAAGATTAAAGATTTTTTTTTTCAAATTGTACATGTATTGTAACCGTCTTCATTCCCTTATTGCCTCATGTATCTGTTTGGCGACTTCACTTCTTCAGAGTTTTAAGTTTCATTATATAATCAAAAGGAGTGTGAAGCCTTACACTCCGTTTATTTATCAAACTATACAATTCATATTCATTCTTTTGTTCCAGAACAATGTGGACGGTCGAATCGTCTTTAAAAACGTGTCCTTTAGCTATCCAATGAGGCCAGATGTGCGGGTGTTAAAATCTTTAAGTTTTACTGTGGAGCCAGGACAGACAGTAGCTTTAGTTGGACCGAGTGGGTGTGGCAAATCTACAGCTATATCATTGCTACAAAGGTTCTATGACGTACAGGATGGAGAAATAGTACGTATGGTAGTGGTTACCTTGGAAAAAATAAGATTTTGTGTGTTTAAGTAAAAAAAGATGAAGAAAACTAACAGTGATTGATCTGAAAAATCCACAAACAATTCAAATCTGTGAATAGGGTATAAACCACAGACCCCCGGAAATTCCAGAGTTGGGATAAGGTGTCTAGGAGGAGTAATTCTCAGTCAAATTTAGGATAAAAACAAAGGTCTAACAGTTGGTATAAAATATGTACATGTATCAAAGTACGAGGGTTGATCCAAAATTAATGTCACAACTACTATAAAATCTTTAATAATTAAAATATTATCAACCAGATTTGACATACTAATACTAATACGCCTATCTATTTTGAACTTTGCTATAAAATTTCTTTTGGTTATATCAGAAACTTTTTAAAATATTAAGACAAACACAACGTTAGATTTTGTTTATTGCCGCACGACAACAATGTCACTGACGTCGTTATAACGTTACTTTTCAGCACTCATTTTCAGTTCATCCGCATATCTTTTTAACCTCACATGCTTTTTTTAAAAAAATTATCTTTACTGTCATTTTGCTATAAACTGTCTTGTTTTGAGTTGAAGTATTAAAGTTATTTGAACTTTAAATTTATTTCTAAATTCATTTCTTTTTTGCGTAAATTTTATGTATCATCAGATTCAAAATGAGTGTTGAAGAGAAATGTCATAACGACGTCGGTACATTCTTGCGGTGCAGCGGTAGACGAGACCCAACGTTGTGCTTATTTAGATAGTTTATAAAGTATTCTATATATCTAAATCAATTTTTAGGTCAAAAGGAAATATAGATAGAGGTATTAGTATGTTAATTTTTGATGAAAACTTATTATTATTAAAGATTTTATAGCAGTTGTGACATTAATTTTGGATTAACCCTCGTACGACCCAATGAAAGGTTGTATTTGCTAATAATGTCATTATAATGACCGTGAAATTTCAAAAATGGTTACTTTAAATGAGATTTTTGAATTCCCTCTAGCATCAACTTATTTGTCAGTTGCCTGCAAAGGTTTAATAAATTGATCATACTCGAAGCATGCTGATGAGTATCGAATATCATGGGAGACAAACACTATTTGGAGGTGATAGTGGAATATTATTACATGAATAAGGAAAGTTGACGATGAAAAATCTGAAGTTATCTCGTTTGTCATACAGTTTAGTTGTTAATTTGCCCTTATTGCCTATGGTTAGTAAGACTTCAAAATATGAAACAGATGTGACAGACTCTGGGGTGTCTTTTATTTCTAGTTCACTGGAATATATCGAGTCAACATATCTGAATGTTGAGTTGAAGACCAGAGGAAGTGTTTTCTTCTTCACATTAGATTTTTTTTATATAAATTAATTTTCATAGGAAAATAAAAATTGGTCCACTTATAAAGGAGCACATTTAGGCAGTACCCATCGAAATTGTAACACATTGTTGGAAGACCTTGTCTCCAAAGACTACATATGTTGTCAATAAGGAACTCCAGCATCTTTGATATCAACCTCAGAGTACTTATGTGTAGAATCAGAGTGGTTATTTTGCAAAGTAATTTTGTAGATAGCAATCGCAAGATACATGTATGAAAATTTCCCAGTCCCGATTTTAATGAAGGAGTAGTTGTCTAAGATAGAAAAAGCTTACTTATTAATTTATCATGAGGAATGGTTCTAAAGGCGTAGAAACGTAATATATTTTGAAGTTACTGACTTCTGAAAAATTTTGATTTTAAATTAAAACTAAAAGTTCTTTTGAGTTTTTGAGAATCCACATTTGATTTACACCAATTTTTCCAATATGCTGTAGCAGGGTACGTTTGAAGTTTCTCCTTTACAGCAGTTAATATTTTTGTGAGGAGTAAAGAAAGGGGCTTAGGGAAACAGTTGCTGGGCCCGTCAATGTATCTTTGGAAAGTTTTAAAGAAACTTAAGAATCTAGTATAGGTAGGGTAGAGCCAACTCACTTTTGTTGACTGGAAAACTTTTAAAGACTGAAATTAGCTTTTGAAAAATTTCATCTTTAGAAAGTGAACTTTGAGTCAAAGTTGGATTTCCAGATTAGAATTTGAACCAGGTTCTTGTAAAACAGCTGTAATAATGAGCCTTACAGACGAAGACGATATTGTTACAAGCATTGTCTGCTGTTTCCATTACATATTGTCCATGTAGTCTTTCTAATTCTTGTATCACTTCCGATTTTGTGAAAGCGAAAGGATGAATGGTTTGTATGTGGTCTTTTAACTTATTAATACGATTCTCTAGTACACTAGTATTTCTAAAACTCTTAAGGACATACGCAACATACCTTACCTGCTGATAATTTTTCAAGATATTCTTAATTTAAGATTATAGTAACATCAGGTGTTCGTAGACAAAAAATCAACATGCATTACCAGGGGTTTTGAAAAGATATCAATTGATGAAAATTCTTGTATAATTCAAAGAAAAATGTACAAAAATTACTAAACATATATTCTAGATGTTTTGTTTATCCAAGCTTGTTTTAGAAAAGGTGTACAACAGCATATATAGACAATAAAATGCTTCACACGATTCCTTTAAGTATAGGAACTCTTCAACTCCAGGGAAAAAGACAATAAAGTTCAAACTACGTTGCATATGTCCTTAATCCATTGTGACAAAGTGTTCAGGTCTTCTTCTTCATATTTTGCCATCGTCTGGCATTATCTTTGATAGAATTCATGATAGAAATGAATTACTGTCACCATTTGAAAGATATAGGGTCCTCTGAGTTTAGATTTTTAGGTCATCATTTTGAACTATACGTACATCACCAGTAATTATATGTCCAGCCGGACTATAGTTGAGGGAAGATGAAGAGGACGATTATTTAAGAGGATTTTGTTTAAGATGCTCAATATCTAGCCACTTTTAACTTGTTTATAATTAAAAAAAGTATGGAAGCAATAATTGGGGGATATCTGTAGCAAATGCAGGATATAGACTTGAAATATGGTGGAATGCAAGACTAAACTTTTTTTTATGATTAAGAATGTTACTAATGGACTTTCGCGAGAAGCGCTGACTTTTACAATCGACGGCTTACTTTTACACCAGAAAAATATACGGAAGCTCTTTTGCGATATAAATATTTAGCTTAACAGTTAATAAAACGATAATAATGGACCATTTCAAAGCTCATATTACGTTGTCTAGAAAGGGATCGGCAACAATCCTTCATTCAACCCCCTCCCTTCCCACCTTGACTAACTTCTGCCAAGTTTTCCTTCAAGAATGTATTTTCTTTTTTTATTTAATTCTCCTTTAGAAAATGAAAATAAAAAGAGATACTATCTCTCATAAGCAAGTCATTTTAAGTAATTTTATTCTACCTCTAATCATCTCTTGTGTTGGTAAATAATGTTAGCGCCCCTAATACCATAACTATAACCTATATTAATGTTTCTTTATCTATTATCAATTCGGTACCTCCGCATATAAGGCAGGTTTAAATGTCAAAGTAAGCCGTCAACTGTAAAAGTCAGTGCTTCTCGCAAAAGTCCAATGTTAACAGCATCTATTCCTTTGTTGGCAAATTTAAGTTTAAGGAGCGGATTGAATCAAATTTATCTTTTGACACACGTGGTGGCTTAGGGAGCCTATACTGGGTAACATCCATAATCACACACATTAGCTTGATTTCTGCAATTGAAAAATACAAGTATATCAGACACAATCATTATGCATGGATACTTGAAAAGTTTGATTGTTTTACATTATAAATAATTCATGCAGCATGTAGACAATATAATCTATGTAACAATACAAATTCATTTCTTTGATTCTCTTGTAGAATGTTGACGGCATAGATATCCGAGATTTAAATCTCTCTCGTCTCCGTTCATTTATTAGCGTGGTCAGCCAGGAACCGATTTTGTTTGACTGCAGCATCCGGGAGAATATTTCCTATGGTGTAGACACCGATGTGGGAATGGACGACGTAATCGAAGCAGCAAGGAAGGCTAATATCCATGACTTTATCACACAACTTCCGGCGGTTTGTCTTTTTTGACTATAGAACATATACTAAGCTTTGACCAGATTCAGAATAATCGTGAATTTTTTGTCGTGCATCATTTACAAAACCGACATTTATGTTATTTAAGGTTACTAAAATCAAAAGCAGTTAGGGTAAAAGTATGCTATACTTTTAAATGTGTTTTAATAAATGAAGGGAAGTAGATTTATTTGATGGTATATCTATAAAGATAAATTTAATGACTGGTAAATATATAGGGCTATGAGACAGTGGTTGGAGAAAAGGGAACACAGTTGTCTGGAGGACAGAAGCAGAGGGTGGCTATAGCACGTGCCATCGTGCGTAACCCAAAAATACTGCTTCTTGACGAGGCGACTTCTGCGCTTGACACAGAGTCTGAAAAGGTTAGTTCTAGCTTTTTAATTTGTTTTTTACTGAAAGACTTTAATAACAGTACGATTTTACTAATAAATTTCCAACTTTACAGCAAGTCCAGGCGGCTCTAGACACTGCCCAAGAGGGCCGGACTTGTATTGTGATAGCACATCGTCTGTCAACAATACAAAACTGTGACGTCATTTATGTTATCGATGATGGACAGGTCGTGGAGAGTGGATCACATCATGCATTGTTATCATTAAAGGGAGTTTACTCTGCTCTAGTCAGTGCGCAGCAGTTTACAAAGTAAACGGAGTTTAAAAAATGACTGAGAGCTTTTAATCGATTGGAACTATATATTTACAGTGTACCGCATTCAGGGACAATGTGATAATTGTGAGGTGTGAAAGATGTATAGTTGTTTTAAGTTTTTGAAATATTTCATGGGTGTGTGCATGACTTTGACTTGATTTTCAAATATGCCTTGAACAAAACATAAAATATGACATTTTGCATAAAATATTTAATTTTTTGTGTTTTATTGTCACAATAAAATGAATGTTGTCACATTTATATTCAATTTTAAGAGTGAAGCAACATAAAACAAAAAGACATAAATCCTTCACCTTCTTCAAATAGAAAACCTGACATTTCTAGAGCTATTAACCAATCCTTTCAGTGATTTTCCACGGACAGCTATTTTGTTTTTTGGTTAAAACAGCTTCTTGCCCTAGCCATCTTTTTTTCTGTGTAATACACATCTCCCCGTCAATAAACTTGTATAGAGACTTCCTAGTTAATATTAATGCTCTCCATCTTTCCATCTTTTCAGCATAGCTTGTCTGATTCTTTTCATTCTCATTCAATTTTTTTCTCTAAATTTGGTTTCCCCTAGAGTTTTCCCTACTTTATCTAGGAAGAAGTGACGCTTTCTAAAAATAAGGAAAAGTTCTTGAACATGTCTAGTAAGAATTTGAAAATTTGGAATTCTCTTTTTGTGTAAAATGTCGGCATACCACTTTTTCTTTACTTCAAGGACAACATAATTACCAAACCCTCTTGTCCTCATGGCATATATATATATATATATATATATATATATATATATATATATATATATATATATATATATATATATATATATAAAGCACTAAAAACCAACAACACTGTATATCCTAAGTGTCGGATCTACTAAGTAGATACAAGGTCACGGATGGAAATTTATATAAAGCACTAAAAATGACCAACGACACGAACAATAATAATTGTCAAATTTTCGGGACAACCTGTCCCTTCCTCAGGACAAAGAAAAAAGTTAAGAAGTCATAAAAACAAAGGAAATAGAGAAGCAAAAACAACTAGCACTACTACTAAACTACCAATCGCTAAATATTTACAATGTTACATGTTTAATTTGGAGTTTATAAACAGTTGTGAACAAAGAAATCCGGAGTGCTATGAATTGCGTCCGGTCTATCGGGTGTACTCTGGTGAGTACACCCGATAGACCGGACGCAATTCATAGCGCTCCGGATTTCTTTGTTCACAACTGTTTATAAACTCCAAATTAAACATGTAACATTGTAAATATTTAGTGTTTGGTAGTTTAGTAGTAGTGCTAGTTGTTTTTGCTTCTCTATTTCCTTTGTTTTTATGACTTCTTAACTTTTTTCTTTGTCCTGAGGAAGGGACAGGTTGTCCCGAAAATTTGACAATTATTATTGTTCGTGTCGTTGGTCATTTTTAGTGCTTTATATATATATATATATATATATATATATATATATATATATATATATATATATATATATATATATATATATATATATATATATATATATATATATATATCATTAAGGCTATCTGAGTAGTCATTTGTCCCTATCTGATGCCCTATGCCTTATGCTGTGTATTTAGTTTCCTTTTAGTTAATAGATACATGATTGTAATTAAATAAATTCATCTATCCATATTTACCTGTTTGAAGATTCATATAGGTAAATCTGTAAGAAAGTTGGTAATAAACCAGATGCTGATATAAATATACCACATACGGCTGTAACATTTTACAATGCATGGATTAATAAAAAATTCTGGACATTAATTGGTCATTACACATCGTAGATAACAAAATAATTTCAAGACCTACAGGCTAAGCGAAAGAAAAAAAAATGAAGTTTTCATAATTCAGCTCAATATGTACGTGAACAGTAGCCAAAAGGGAAAAAGTCCAAACAAGTACAATTAAAAAAGTCGTCATTCTGTTTAACATTCTTTGTGTTCAGTTCACTTGTTGCTTCCTCTGTCGTTCTTCAAAATGTATAATTCTTCTTGTTTAGCAACTATTCCAGTCAAAACGTCCAGTCTCTTGTTTTAATCTTGTTTTAAATAATGACAATAGAATATGCATTGTCATACTATTCTAGAAGTTCTAACAAGTCAGAGACCTTATTACAGGTTTTTGATTGGAAAGACAATTTTCCTTTAAATGTGTTACAAATTCACTTGAAAGATGGGGATGCATACAAAGGTAAGTTTTGATTTGATTTTGTTGTTGAATTTTGTTTTTATATCAATGTTAGTTTGAAGCTATTACGTATATATGTACAATATACCTGTTTTTATATCAATGTGGATCTTAAATTGTCCAAGGAAAAGAAATGGAAGGATAATGTTTTAAAGTATAGGTACATAGTCCTAACTCTATTAAATAAAGGAAACTTTAAAAACTTTCTCTGATTCACTTGACTTTGACACACAACTGCATTCATGTGAAACACACATATATACTGCCTTAACATAAAGTACTGAAAACAAGACCCTGAATTAAAACATAAAAGTCTGTTGGCTACTCCATTTGCTAACTGATATTATTCTTAACAATATTTTTGACAAAAAAGAATGGGTTTATATCTCCAATAAAGGTCTGACCGTAAATGTTTAAACTTCGGAGATTCTCGATCTTTGAGAACTGTAAAACACGCTTATGACGAAACTCAAAATAAATACAACGCAAATAACTAGATTTTCTATGTAGGTAAGTTGGGGTTTTGGGGGTAAATGCTTTGTTTTTAACATATTTTAAAATGCTCATAAACAAGGGTTAGAAAAGTTCGCGGACACAGTGGTTTTTTGGGTATTTCATTTGTACTTTGAAGAATAACGTATGTTTGATGAAATTATTTTTTATTGATATATATTGATAATTTTGAAAATACACAATGATTTTTATTTTGCGGTCATGATTCACGGAACAGTCACCGGACGTTTCTTGACGTGATAACCTGATTCCAAACCTGTCAATCTTTTTCAAGTTTTAAATATCCTTCAGTTCGTCAGATTTTTCATGTCTTTTTCCTATCTAAAAAATGTATGACAATAACAAGACATGTCACTTTTTCCTAAAATGTCTTTTGTGGCGTATCACATATCAATGAGATCCTAAAATCACTGTGTACGCAGTTTAATGTTCAGATATGGAAAGTATGGAAACGATGCGAAATCTACAGGAGCAATGTCTAGGCGATAAGGGGTTTGTTGCAGGAGTTGATCATTAAAATGTCAAAATTTTCCATTTTTCAAAAACATGCTACCATTTGAACACTTCAGTCCTTAGAGAAGGCAATAAACAGCAGCATCTAAAAACAATAAAACCTCTTTTGGACATTTTTCCTGCCAGCACACATGAGTTTTAAACAGCTCGGTGCTCCAAACGTTCAATGGCGTTGTAAATCTTACGCAGTTATTATATACAATTAGCAATAAACCAGTCACATCTTCTTCAATTTAGTTCAAAAATTCGCCAAACGATTTATTGAATATTGTGGCGACAGAAGAAATATCGTAAATCTTTATGCGCTACAACAGTGAAATTTATAATTTCGAAAAATATATATGAAATAAAAAAGTGACTCGCTCCTTGGGGCATATTTTATTTTTATGATATAGCTGTATATTTTTAAAAGATTATCGGAAAACATCAAACAATTGTATTTTTATTGGAAAATACGTATATTTATCATCTGCAGAATTTTATTGAATTCATGCAAATAGCGCGTTCACAATTACTGTTCGCGAATTTGTTTAATAATCCTATTACAACAGTTAGATATAAGAATTTAAAAAAAGAAGAAAAAGTGAAAATGTATATGTGTTATAACAATAATTGTCGACAAAATCTACCGTGATAAGAAAGAAGATCGGCGATCAAGCTAAGAAAAAATACGTATGGTTCGATAAATAAGATAGTGAAAAATTATATCTCAAATTAAAAAATAATTTTCATTAATATTTCAGATAATATTAATGTAAACCTCATGCAAAATATTCAGAAATTACAATTATTTTACAAGTGTAAAAATGATTCGTTAATAAAACAGTTTACATACACCAAAGATGGCAAAAATTATCATTTATTCATATTGTAAATCTTTTTTTTCTATTTAATGGGTCTTCGCTCCATCTTTTGAAAGTATTTCTTCAAAGTGTGTTAAAATTATACATTTTTCCGTATATAAAATGCGGAGCAAGGACCTAATTCATTTGAAAGAAACGAAATTCGTATCTTTCCGAGAAATATTTTAGTCCAGTTAATCAATAGTCACACCACACAAGATTTAAATGCCACTACCTGTTATGAGCTGTGTGGTGTAGTGGTAGTGGTCTCTATGGCCAATATCTGAATTTCGGTATTTTAACTGCTTGGTTTCAAATCCCAAGAATTCATTTATTTTAATTCATTTATTTTTTTACCATCTAATTTTTTCCGCAGAAAAATTTTTTTTTTTTTCGGTCATAATTTCATACTTTACAATAGTAAGACCTTGGCCCTAGATACGTATTTCACAAATTGAATTTGCTTTTTATACATTTGAAGCTATAGGCATTTTGCATGTCCGTAAATATCACTTTAATGGAAAATTTATTCATTTGTAAGAGTCTGCTTTAAGGTTTTTTTTCTTGGAATCATATTTATAAAAAGCAAAGAAAACATGGAGCACATAAAAGTCATTAGTCTTGATATGTTTAACGACGAGGAATGCAGCAATGTTTTGTTATGTTTTCAATACAAATCTCATTATTATGTTTAGACCCGAAGTTAATCAAGTAAGGAATACAACTGTATTAAAACTGTATTTGTAAAAAAGGAAATAGCTGCACAGTTACTACATGTATAAGCTGAATCTGAATTATTCTGAACCAGAAAATATTTTCATCCCCTGGCTTTGATTAAACTGTAAGAGAGAAAAAAATTATGTTTAAAATTTTATTATTTATTTATCTGGCTTTTTCGGGAGTTGAACCGATGGGCCCTTCCTCCGGGCATAGCATTGATACCACCTGACCATCTTGTTTTTTTTTTGTCATTATATTATTTTACATAACACTGGAAATAGCATGGAATTTGAAATTCTGGTACTAATAATAACATAGGAAAATGAAGTATTGATATATGAAGTTAAAAAAATTGAATACACTGTGATCAAAGAATAAAACGTGAGGCATACATATAGAAAATATACTTTAGAGACGAAGTTAATTAACGTTTATACTTATATCAATGAGACCAATTT